GGGAAAAGGACCGACGGGGGGTCAAGGGGCGGAGCCCCGGAAGCTCAGGGGGTATGGGCATTTAATTACGATCAGATAAACATATTTTGATACCCTATTCATGACACTGGCAGGTCACTAATTGGCGTGGGGTCCAGGGGGCTGAGCCCCCTGAAACTAAGGGATTTGAGGCAGTTTATAAAGCTCAGATAAGCATTCAAGGGACGCCTTAGGCGGTTAGGCCCCCTGGTGTGGTTGAGGGGGCGGAGCCCTCTGAAGCTCAGGGGTTTTCAGGGGCGGATCTAGCTTTTTGCTAAGGGGGACTGACCCAATGTCGATGCGGAGCATCGTCCACGAGCCGCAAAGCGGCGATTTTGTTTCTGTTGTGTGGACCCAATGACGATGCAGATCATCGTCCTATTGCCGCGTAGCGGCGAGGCAATTTTTTTGGTGCTATTTTTGACCCCCGTAATATTTTCCTGGCATCTATTAACACAATGGAGACCATGAAAAGCAGTGCATGATAACGTCTTTTTAAATCAAGTTTAATACACAGTTATATCCAGTTATCATGTGTTGCGTTTTTCTATACACATCACATTTTCACTTGGCAGTGAGGGGGGGGGGGGGGTTAAACCTCCTACCCCCCTCCTGTAGATCCGCCCCTGGTTTTGGTCAGATGAGCATATTTTGATACCATATTTGTGACACTGGCATGATATTATTTGGCGTGGGATCTAGGGGGCGGTGCCCCCAGAAGCTCAGGGGTCTTACGAATTAAATTACCGTCAGATGAGTATCAGGAGCCCGCCTTCGGGCCCTAGATGGGGTCCTGGGGGGCAGAGCCCCCGGAAGCTCAGAGGTTTTAGGCATTTAATTACGGTCAGATGAGCATGTGTTGATACCTTATTTGTGACACTGGCAGATCACTACTTGGCGTGGGGTCCAGAGGGCGGAGCCCCCGGAAGCTCAGGGGTTTTTAAGGCATTATGGCCCTAGGGCCTTTGGTTAGATTCAGGAGGCATAGCCCCTGGAAGTTTAGGGGTTTTATGCGTTTGATTACGGTCAGATGAGCATTTTTTGTAATACCTTATTTGTGACACTGGCAGGACACTTATTGGCGCGGGGTCCAGAGGGCGGAGCCCCCGGAAGCTCAGTGGATCTAGGCATTAAATTACCTTCACACGAGCATCCAGGGGCCCGCCTTAGGGCCCTAGTTGGAATCCAGGGGGGCAGAGCCCTCGGAATCTCAGGGGTTTTCGGCATTAAATCACGGTCAGATGAGCATATTTTGATATCTCGTTATTTTTGTGACACTGGCAGGTCACTATTCTTTCTTTCTTTCTATTTCATATGCTTTTTCAAAAAAAGTGGAGGGGAAGCTCGAGGTCCCCGAGCTCCGCCGTTCCACGGACCCTGACATGTAAGCCTTTAAATAAGCATATTTCTCGCCTGACGGTAATTTTAGAAATTTGTCATTTTCCAAGAAACGTATAAAAAAGTATAATTTACTAAAAAGTGAGGAAAAATCTCGGAAAATTATGTCATTTCAGCAACATTTGTAAATCACCGGTATCGAAATAGAAATAAACCACGGTTGAATGGGCACCCCACCCCCATCCGTACGCCAGTGCACCCCCCCCCCTCGATTTACACCTTGTTGGGAGGGGGAATCGCATCTGATCTCCCCTACCTTACTTCTTTATCTTTTCTTTCTTTACCTTTCTCTTCCCTTCCTTCTCTCTCTTTTGGGTTTGTTGGCGGGATTAATCGCAACTGATCTTCCCTCTTGTTCACCCTTTTCTTTTCGTCTTCCTCTTTTTGTTCATTTTTTTAGCTCTCCTTGTTCCATTTCCCTTCCTTCTCTCTTTTTTTTTTGGCGGGGTCGGGAGAGACAAGGGCATTTTGCTCCCCCCCCCCCCCGATCCACAACTTGTTGGCGAGAAAATTGCAACTAATATCCCCCTGCTTTTCTTTTCTTCTTCCTCTTTTTTTCTTCTTTCCCTATCCATCCTTCTCTCTTATTTTTTGATTGGGGGGAGGTAACAGCCTGGGAGGCAAGGCCCTCCCCCCCCCCCGATCTCCTTCTTTTCCCCCTTTTATTTTCTTCCTCCTCTTCTTTCTTTCCTCTTCTCTCCTCTTTCCCTTTACCTTCTTTTCCATTCCCTTCTTTTCCTTCTCTCTCTCGCTCCCTTTGCCGGGGGATGGGGACAAGGCCCGCTCGCCCCCTGGATCCGCGCCTGGTCCTAGAGGCAACTACCCCCCCCCCCCCGAACAACTACCCCCAGACAAGTACCCCTATGACAACCATCCTCTAGGACCACTACCCCCTCCCCGGACAACTACCCCCAGATAACTACCCCCTATTATAGTTGTCCGGTTGGTAGTTGTCCTGGGGGGGGGGGTGGATGTCCTTTAGGCGTTGTAACCTTATATTATTCTGTCCACAATAATTTGTCATCAATGACTGTACCTAGGTAGGTATATTTTTCCACAATGCCAATATCTACACCATCCATCTGTATTGGTTCATTACAAGATGGCCTTGCCTTTCTAAAATCAAATATCATCTCTTTCTGTTTTGGGAGCATTTAACTGTAGGAAGACATCGTTACACCATGTTGTAAAAATGTGTCAACTCATTCCGATAATTCTCTTCTCCTCTGTTTATTAGACCAATCAATACTGTGTCGTCTGCATATTTCAAGATGGTTATATCATTATTTACTGATAAAGGCTGTATAGTTGCATTGCTGAAGAAAAAAAACAGTAAATAATCCGCTTCAGGGATTTTCTTCGGAGAAAACTGCCTTCGGGCAAATAACGTCAACAAAAGATACCTCCTCCCTAAAATATTTCCGATCAATATTCCTTCTCATCCCTACCTCTTATTGACGAGATGGAAATAAGAAACGCGACTTGACGCCGTTTTGGAAGAGCCGACATCAGTCTTTCAGAGGTTCATCATGAAAAGTTTAAATTTAAATATGTCTTTGGCTATAAAGAAGTTCTCCCGCCATAGCATTTATTACAAATTTGGTTTCTTTTCGATAACTTTGCAATACATGTTCATTTCCTATTATCATATTCGATTTGATGTATGCGCGGTGGCATTGTGCAAATTAATTTAGGCCTGTTTGGGGTTTACTTCTCATGATGGCTCGAAGGTCACTTTGTTTTCAAAGTTTTCAAAGCAAAAGAATTGATGTGGGTTTATTGTGAAAGTTCTACACCCACAAACACATATTTTGGGCAAGATGTGCCTGCCATTTACAAATCAAACCTATAATTTTCTGGCCTTAAAATGTTGTTTAGCAAATAATTATGTAATTAATAAACTTGCACTGCAAAAAGGCCGCACTACAAAAACGTAACAAACATTCCGTTTCCAAAGTTTACAACTGGGAAAGTGTGCCCGTACGCCTAACAGTAGCACGTCTTCGTTACAAACTCAATTGTAAGCCATGGTCTTATTTGTCTTTGAGCTGATTACTTTACTCGATGAAGCAAACAAGTTTTTGTCCACAACTTTCTATTCGACATCTATCATTCCTTGTTTGCTTTCTACTGTATAATCCCTTCTTGTACGTGAGTGATAGGAGGGCCACATAGAGTGGAAGTGTATCATAGAAAAGGTGTCACCAGATAAGCGTGGCTCTTCAGCAGGAACGTAGCCACGGGGGGGGGGGGGGGGGGACGTGCCCCCTAAATTTCCTAGATCGGTTGAACTTTTTGGGACCCCTTTTTTAACCTCGATCGATTACATGTATGTGCCCCCCCCCCCAAACATCAAACTCTGGCTACGTGCCTGCTCTTCAGATGTCCTCATATTCAAAATATGAGGAGTAACATAACAGCTAAAGGTTGGGGACCACACTTTCATGCCACATGTTTGTTTAGTCCCATAATTATGTACATTTATGTGTACTGCGGATGTTACCTTTTTAGCAAGACTGGGCCAATTTCTTATCATTTTGATCAGGAGTGAAATTAGGAATTATCTTAGTTCCAAAACATCACAATATACACCAATAGTTATCTGCTAAATCCTACATGATCAACCATTTCAAATCACTTTCCAAAATTTCTTTTACAATCCAAACGCAAGACCAGTGACCCGTTTCACAAAGCCATCAATTACAAATGACAAAATCAGTGACAAATCATGACCAATCAGAAGCAAGGATTTCAGTAGCTTATAACAAAAACTGTCATTTGTCACTGATAACAAGTTTTGTGAAACACCCCCCCCCCCCCCCAGAACTCGTCCTGTTCAAGCCGCGCGGTTGTCAAGTAGCACCCAATGCCTACAATTCTTACGTAATCAAGTTTGAGCGAGAGTTCCATGATTTTAAGCCATTGTCTGAGATGGTGATTCAGTGGCCTTGTCTTTCTACACGACATGTTCGCCTAGGGCGGATCGATCGAAAGCTTCAATTATAAGTCACAAATTAAGCGGCATCAAGAAAACATTTAACCCCGTGTCTCAACAAGAAAGCGTGATAACTCTTCTAATAGTGGGCTTTGTCGCGTGGACAATGAAAATCTATAAGTAACGATTTTTAGCCGCTGTAGGATGTATATATAGGACCATGACAGCATTAAAATTAAGAGACAAACGTATTTGTTACGCGTTTCTTCAGGATACTCGCGTTCATCTCATTCACTCTCAAAACTGACGAAAGTGAGGATGAGAATTGATTTTGTCTTCTCACCGTTTGATTTCGATTGTGCAAACTTCAGAGGATAGGCAGGAGTGCTACAATTATATTTGTGGAAAAGGTAAAAAAAGAGGATACCGACAAGCCACATCTCGGACAGACTTCCTCAAGATCGGGGAATATCTTCACGAAGTGATTGAATTTTAGAAAAGGCGAATTAGTTGGACTCTTTCGGGAATTTTGTTTGCGTCATTGGTCATCTTTAGCTCATTAATTTCATTAATGCAGTTTTAAAGATCTTTGTACCAAAGAATATAAGTAGTCTCTGGCTCCATTATAAGGCGTGTTTGGAATAGTTGGTGGCAGTTTTAAACAACACTTCGATGATATGCAGAATGTTGGTTGTCTTAGCTTGACTTGTGAAATATAATTGTCCTTAACTTGATAATTACGATAAAGTGGTTAAGAAGGTTGAAAGTGTGATTCAAAATCAAGATTTCCAGATGTCATCGTCGAAAATTATTCTAGAGGACAGCGAACTAGCAGCACTTTATGCTGACCTCATGGCTTCACCAAAAGGCAAATTAAGCACCATCACGACAGTAACTTGTGAAGTGAGTAAAGATGATTCGACCGAGGCATCGACTTCGCCCGCGGTCATCGACGACGACGACGTTGGTTATCATGACGCATTCGATAAGGTAGACGACATCGAAAACGCCTCGCCTCGAAAGGAAGATGCGACCCGCCCGAGCCCATGGAGAAAGTTCGGGGGCAACGGCGAGAGTAACAAGGCGAGGGTGATGTTCAAGGCGGCTGCGTTCGTCTCGGGCGCCGCCGCTCAGCGTCGTTTTCGTAAAGCGAACAAGCCTTCGAGGTCGAAGAGAAACCAAGTTGCCAGCGAAACGTCATTGCATTATGACTGTGAAGAAATGAAGGAGGTCTTCCAAAAAGAGGATCACCTGTCGGGTGTCGGCAAGAGCTACACAAGACTTGGTTCTGTCATGAAGCTTTCTGAGGTGAGTGTTGGCTAGGTTTTTGGGTCGGTAAAGCAATGCGAGTATAGACAATAATTTCCCGCATGAAAGATTAATGTTACAACGAAGGTAGTGTTATAGTTTTAAAGGATGAAATTGAATGTAAAAAAAAGAAGAAAAACATTAAATGTGGAATTTTGGGTGTTCACGCTTGTATTTCTTCAAGAAAAGACTGCAGAAGTAAAATCCAACCCTACTTTCAGACCTTACTGCCTATTTATACATGTTTCCAATAGTATCTGGGAATTGACGACTGTTACAGCCAAAGTCAAACTTGAAAGCCTTAGAAAAATACGATAGTGAAAATATTTACTTAGTAAGTTACATTATTGATTTAACCTTTTGAATGATGTTTGATTGCATGAATTACAAAGACCGGTGTGTTTACCCCCTTCCCAGCAGTTACGGTGACAAGAGGGACGTGTCCCCAAATGAGTCTCTATAGCAATATAGATTTGCACGACGTTAACGTGGACCGCTACGTGAGTTAAGGGAATGTGACCTCCTTTTAAGGCACTGCCAGGCACTGCCCTTGCCTTAAAAGGACGTCACATTGTCTTAAAAGGCTGTCTCACGTAGCGGTCCACGTTCACGTCGTGTAAATCTAAAAGTCCCTGTTGTTTAAAGGGACTGTCACTCGGCCATTTTCAAAGGAACGGTCAAAAACAAAAGTGTTAATAATTATACCAGACTTGGTGGCTTACAATGATGCACAGGTTTAGGATTCCGAATGAAAGTTCATGTTGCTTGGTCGCTACGTTCCCCCGCAAATGTGTATTTCATTCAATTCAATTCATTCTTTCCACACTGCGATACAAATGACAATAAGAACATACAAAATAACCTATAGGCAAATAGCAATGCAGTAAAGGTAAAAAGAAATTCAAGAACAATACAAGGTATAGTGCGAAATAACAATAAATAGAAAGACCAAAAAACATATCAAAATGCAAAGGGACAAACAAAGGCCAAATGCCTATCACAGGCTTGTCCCCTTAAATATAAGGTACGTAATGATAATAAAGTCTGTTAAATGTAACGTAAATAATATGCAAATATTTCGTGTTCGATCACAACGTACAATGAGGAAACTGCCCATAATTTCTATCCTGCGAAGTGTAAGAATCATATTATGAGATGAGAACTCCCCCGCCTCACCCCAACTGATAGCTCCCCCGCTCTAAAAGCATAATGTTCTTTAAAAAAGCAATTCGATTTTTTTTTTTAAAGCTCTAAGATAATGTACTCAAATAATGTTTGTAAATCTTGCCCAAATTTTCTATCAAGACTATATTAGGATTACGATAGGTGATTGAATGTGCTTTAAATTATTTTTCATTACTACATGTACTACGATTTTGTTTTTCTTCCTCGAAAAGACAAACAAAAATTGTATCACAATATGCAATTGTGGAGGGGGACCGGGGACGGTGCTTTCTTCACAGACCCATCTTCTGTTTTGTTCGCTTTGATGTTTTCCCCACCCCGGTCGTGAAAAAGACGTCGGCGACCCTCGATGGTATAGGTTCTTGACATGTGTCACACGCATGCTCTGTCTAAAATGAAGACGTAGTAGTCATATAACTCATATTAAAAATGTAGAGCCATCCAATTTCTAGAACCAATTTTAATTCCTGCATGTTCATATTTGTCTTATTGCCAGTGCCAACACCATTTAGATCTATACTCAGTCTTGTGTAAATAGAGCTTGAACCATTAGGCCACATCCGTCCCTTGTCTTCCCCTCAAAATATTAATGAATTTCTGCTCCGTCTAATCAAGATCAAATGGGAAACTTACCAATAACGGAAACCTAGCTCTTTCAAATTCACCTCATGATCAGTAGGTGTCATTAGTGACATCAGCCCTGATTAAATCCCCATTGTCTTGTATTTGTTTAGCTGTCTTCTATTCCTTTTAGCGCGTGACTTTGCAATCCTTTTTGTTTTTTTCAAGATCGGAGAAATGAAAAGTGGTGGCGAAAGTAATCGATCAAGTACCAAATAATGGAAACGTTACCACGCGCTTGCGTGAGGCCATTAAATGCATTGTTCACGTAATCATTTGCGGTGTGAAAGAAATTACGTCAACGTTGTCATTATGACATCGGGGTAATATTGTATGATGTATAGCACTTTATAATTTATGCATGACATAGCACATAATTATCTTTGCTTACAATAAGAAGAAAGAGAATCAGAACATGGTTTTAAAACCCAAACTTTCAAGCGAAAGAAAGTTCTAAAGAAAATAACAATGAAGTAAGTCAGGTGAATAACTACAAACAATACATTTATATGTCGATAGCTAATGCTACGGTCACAGAGGTTCGTACGAATATCCCTGTTTTTCCATTGCCTTTCCGAATTGACCTCCATTGTCTGAAAATCGTTCGTACGGCATTCGTAGCAGTTCGTAATGGCATTTGTGACCGAGGGTTAAATAGAAAATGTTTGAAAGTCTTTACTTTGTTTCTTTTTAACATTGTGTACTCAAGAAGCGAGGGTCCATTATCTCAAAATTCAAATGGGCAATGGCGGATCCAGGTGGCACAGGGGCACCTCCCCCCCCCCCTCTTATGACGCACGTCGAGTGATATCTTTTTGGTCTCTCATGATGTACTTATAAATCATTCACAGTTCAATGGGATGGAGGAGTTGATTTAAAGATACTATGTCCCTCTTGCAGCCATCATCAAATTCTGTAGAACTTTGCAGGAATTATGAATATGCCATGTAGGTCCTATTTGTAAATTTCAAACGACATCAGTGTCCCAATATTCGAATTATGCGAGGAAACCCGTTTACTTTTCAGACTTCCCTATCAGACACTATTGAGTGACTGACTGACATCTTTCTTTCTAAATAATAACATACATAAAATGAGCTGTAATGTAACAGGTATATGAGCATTTTTGTCTGCATTAATAACCCACTACTAGTAATGGTCAAAATTAAACCGATTGAATCTTTATCCAGCACAAAACATACGACCATTTGATCTGAAATCAGACTATTACTTAGGTGATTGCAATCACTTAATATGTCGATTTGACAACTAATTAGGTCGTTATTTTCCCACAAAAGGCTATTTTCAAACCCTTCTTGATTTGAGAGAATTTCTAAATAAATATTGTCTTTCAAATGACGTTGGAATTTAATATTTTTGACCTGCAAAAAGTGGAACATAGTACCTTTAATATCATGTATTGAGGTTTAAATAGAATTGTTAAAATGTCTTTTTTGCTTTACCCTAGGCCGTTCGGCGGGGGAATGTCGAAGAAGTAAAATTGAGGTTGGCAGATAGCAAAGACGCTCTACTCAATAAGCTGGACAGGAACGGACTGAGTGCTCTCCATCACGCATCGGCTTCTAATCAAATCGCTGTGATGAAAAGACTGCTCGAGCAGAAAGCAGGTAAGCCCTCAGTCACACCGCCAAACAGACGTCAAACCGATTCCAAACAGACCGATTTTTACCATGGCGGATAATACCGCAGACAAATCGCCAAACTGACTCTAGACGGACCGATGTTTCGCCATCATATCTCAGTCGTGTCAGTCACACCGCCAAACCCACGCCAAACCGATTTCAGACGGACCAATTTGGCCAGGGCGAATAATACCGCAGTCATTACGCCAAACCGACTCTGGACGGACAAATAAATTGGCTCTAAACCGATTCCAGACGTACCGATTTTGGTCGTTGGAGACGATCTAAATTTTGTTTGGTCTATAGTCGATCTGGTGTCGGTTTCACTGGTGTGACTGAGATTTTTTACAATCTCAGTCACACCGACAAACCGGCTCCAACCGACTCCAGACAGAACGACTTTTGATCTTTGCGGGGAATGTTATTTTGTTGTTGTTCGGTCTTTTGTTCGGATGTTCGGTGTTCGAGTTCTTTCAAAATTTCTAAGCATCACTCGTTGTAAAGGCAACGCTGATGAACCGTATTTAATGGGCATGCCAATGCCCTCAAAAACTACATACCTGCTCTGCGTCCAAGTTTAGTAACTTAATCACAGGTCATCGTACCACTATTATTACCAAGTGAGAACAGTACAAATAAATGTGAAATTTGAGAATAAGGGTGAAAAAGAGGGGAGAGAAGAGAATGTGAAAGATAACGCAACGAGAAGACATCACAACCCTCTTCCACATTCTCTCCTAATAGGTGCACTTGTAAATTTGCATATCATCCAACGAGAACGAATATTTTTCTCACCCCATGGTGCCATTATGTCATCAATGGCTCGGCCAATAGTACGCCACTGCCTCGATGTGTTCCATAAACTAGCTTAATTACCCCCCACCCCCTCCAAAAAAAAAGTATAAAATTAATGGTTGTGCTTTGACCAGAAGACTAATGCCAAAGTCGTTAACTCTCAAATTTACCCTTTATCTATTCAAAGAAATCAACATCAGAACGACAGACGGGAATTCGTCAACTCCCCTTCACCTTGCAGCCAAGAAGGACAGCGTTGAGGCCGTCAAACTCCTCTGCGTTCACCGAGCCAACATCGAGGCACATCAGACCAACGGGTGGACGCCCCTACATGTCGCCGCTAGATACGGGTCGAGAGAGATGATAGAGGTAAGTAGTTGATCCGGTCGACAGATTTACGTAATCCTCTACAGTTTCGATGTTATATTCTATTTTTATATACCTTTATTTATTTCTCTATATCGTCTCACTTTGTTTTGTATGAAGAGCATTTCTACTTTGATATTGATTTCTATTGGTTTTTATTTCAGAAGATGGGATTGGTTTAGTTTTAAAGCCACTGTTGATAATTTGTTACGACGTATTTATGACAATTTAAAATACAGTATAATTTTATGCACTCAGCCGTTGATACAATAATCTTATAATATGGATTGCCGGAGAAGTTGCATGGAATTTCTATCAGAGAAAGTAAAGTTTCTAGAATGTCTCCTCGCAGACGTGTGGAAGACGGTTAGGCTACAGTCAAGACAAAACTGAACAAGTTGAAATGTCATAACAAAATATTTGGGCAATAGTGAGGGAATGATATCATCAGCTTGCTAATTTTCATACAGCCTATGTGATACCGTGGACCTACCACGTGATATATATCACTTTTTCATGAAATTATGTGAAACTTAAAAATTCCATAAATTTCTTATCTTTCGTCCGATTTTGATGACAAATTAACCGTTTGTTTAATGTTCCCTATTTATTCAATTCAAATTTCAAATGGGTCGGACATCCCCTTTGAATTCTGGATTTTTAACTTCATGAATAGCATAATACAATACTGACATATAAACACATCTTCATCATTTTGTGTAGGTTATGCTTGATTTCGGAAAGGCTGACGTCAATTCTCTCGACCATGACCTCATGTCACCTCTTCACGTTGCAGCAACCAAAAGAGACACCGATATTTGTTTAGCATTGGTAAGCATTTGTAGCGGTTTTAAGTTTTAAAAGAAAATGGAAATTGGCTCTTTTTCTCCACACCAAAAATTATTTGTTAAGAACATGTGACGAAGAAGAGAGTCTGTCGGGGGGGGGGGGGGGGGGGGGGGGAACAAATTCGATTTGCCAAAACTGGTGAATACTATTTTGGATAAAAAACCCAAGAGCACACCGCTTGCTTTTACCGTTGGTATTTGTATTGTCTGGTCGTATAGCGAGCAGATGAACCCATTTGCAATGTGTCTCGTATGGTCCACCTACATTTACTTTGGCAGCAACTTGGTTTTTCAAATTTCCTCAGATTAAAGTCGAACCGTCAAAATATGATGTTAATTTATGGACACGAACGCAGTACATCTTTTTCTTTTCCTTTTTCTTTCTTTCATTTTTCATTTCTTCTTCTTTCAGATAAATCGTGGAGCACTGCTGCAGGCTATGGACAAACACTCGGCCACGCCCTTAATGGCTGCCGCCTCCGTAGGCAACGCAGCCACCGCCCAAATACTTATTGAAATGGGTACGTAATGAGCTATGTTTCAAAAATTGTTGCAATGACAATCAATAACTCCTTTCAAAGCAATGTATTTTTTTAAATTGAATATAACATTAACGATCAACAGGTTTGGTAACCTCAATGTCATGTGATAGATTGTACCTATCTTGTTATTATATTATTAAATGGAGACAAAATGATAAAGTAGATAATAAAATAGTAGGCCTATACTGAATATATTGATTGATTGATGGTTGGATAGATGGATGGATGGAGAGAATGATGGATTAATTGATATATTGATTAATTGACTAATTTTTTCCCTCTTTTTTACGAACTCTTCATTTGTAGCTCCGAAATGTGGAATAAAGGTGGCCGATTATTTGAGGGACTACGACAACGAGGAAAACTCCGTACTTCACATCGCCGTCAGGAGTAGGAAGCTTGAGGTACGCTAACCTATATCACAGCATGACAACTGTCTTATGCCTTATGTGTTATGTGTTATGTCTTATGCCGTATGTCGTATGCCTTATGTCTTATGTATATGTATTATGCCTTAATATGTCTTATGCCTTATGTCTAATGAATCATGCTTATGTCTTAATATGCCTTTATATCTTAAATGTTGGTGTGTTGTGTATTATGTATTATGTCTTATGATAGTGACACTTCAATGTAAGACTGCGAAGGACTGCACAATGTCAAATTGATATCGTTAACGAAATATGAATGCAAAATAAACAGCGCAGACATTGTGTTGAATCACTGTTCATGGGTTGAATTACCTTCACAAAACTGATTATCGAATTAATAGGGCTATCAAAATTACGCCCGTGTGCAATGGGCGTACATTGAAGTAGCACGTAGATTTAAAGTTTATCTGTACTAGTTTATAGGAATGATTAGACCACTCTGCAAGGTCACTGGACAGGTGGTTATCTCATCAACTCAGTTCTCAATTAACATAAGAAAAAGCGGATCATGGGGGACCAATGGTCACCGGTTAGGCATTGTTTTCTATATAGAGGGAGCAAGTAGCTACAAGAAGGACAGTGTGGCTTTAAAATCAAGAGCATTCTTACATAACCTACAAACGTACAACTGCTGATCAAAATGTGAAATATGTATTTCTTTTACAGTTGGTTGAACTGCTCCTCCAACATGGCGCCAATGCAAATGAACAGAAATCGAATGGGGCCTGCCCGCTTCATGAGGCCGCGGTCACCGGGGCAGAGGACATTGCGCATGCGCTCTTGCGCTATGGAGCATCCATCCTGATGGAAGATGACGAAGGAATGACGTCACTGCACAGGTGAAAATCGTTTATAGCATTATTGATTCCAAATTTAATTTCACTTTGGCGAACATTTAACCTCAGGGGTTTGTTTCATCCGAATGCTAGTGCACTTCAATTAAAAATGGAAGTAAAATTAATATTCACAATCTGAGGTTTTCGGTAACACCATGTGGTAGACTTACTGAAAAAGGTTGTTGAATTATTTGTTCGTTAACAGAACCCGCTTATGGTGCGTTTAGAGGAATAAGTATAAGAGGAATACCAATAATTCTTTTTAGAACTACATTCTTAATTTTTAACTCTTCAAATTTAATCTGTTCACAACCTTCTCAATCTCGACCATTCGAGCATTTCTTCATTCAAATCATCCAGTCATTCCAGTCATAAAGCGAGTATCTATGAATTTTTGAAAAGTCTAATTCCCTTTCAGGAAAAGAAAATAGTTTCTTTTTAGGACTTACAAAGATCTTTTTTGTTCGTTGTTTTTTTCTTCAAACAGGGCTGCTATGCATGATCGATGCAGAATGATCAATTTACTCATCAAAGAGGTAAACAAAAAAAATCTAAGAATATTCTGATTTCATTTAACTACATAGTACAGAGAGAACATGAATTCGCTATTAAAACTCTAATCATAATAGAACAGTTGAGTAAAAGTTCAGTTTCTTAACTAAAACAGCTGCTTGACTAGTTTATAGCTCCTCAAATAATGTCAAAATGGATCTATTTCCGAAATGGGTATGAATTCTTGCAAAACATGAACGGCAATATTCTATCTTCATGACCAGGGGAGGGGATGAGGGCCAATCAAGTGGAAAATGATACGTTCTAAATATACACATTCAATTGAAAATATATTAGAAGCCACCGATTCCCCCCCCCCCCCGGAATCTGGAATCGATGCCCTGTAAATACCGTACGATTAGGCCAGCATATAAACATAAATACTTTTGACATTACATGATTAGACCTCGTACATGTTGTATACGTGAGTCAGCGATATCAAGACAAATAGTTAACAATGCCCAAATATCCGAAAAAGAGTCGTCATAAATTAATAATTTCTTTCTGATAGGGAGCGGAGATCGAAAACCGTGACGACTATGGTTTCACACCCCTGATCTGTGCTGCGTGGAAAGGCCACAAGGGGGCCGCGTCAGCTCTCTTTTCGTACGGGGCCGACATCGAAGGTTGGTTTCATCTTATTCCCACTAAAATAATCAACATAATTCAAATTCGAAATCGATGATTACTTATTTCGATGAACCCTGTTTTCATACGCTGCCGACATACCCACTGTATATAGGCCTTAACAATGCGTTAGGTTGATTCTTCAAAACTCTTTGCGATCATGTTGACTGTAAACATCGTGATAACCCCGCGAAACGTAATGTCATGCCTGAATGAATATTAAGTTTGAAACTAATGAGAGAGAGTGTAATCATTGTGAAAGCCTTTTTGTATGAGCGGAATCGTAAACATTACGAAACTACCCTGACTCGTGATTATATGCCCAATTGAAAACGTTGATAGCAATTTAAATGAAGAAGACTAACCAATGTGAACACCCCGTGAAACGTAATTGCATGCCCAAATGAAGATTTTTTTTGAGAGAAAAAGAGCGAGAGAAATTTTGAACGGCCCTTAAAACACAGTTTTATTCTCAAATGAACATTTTATTAGCGATGGATGAGAAATCGAGGACTTGCCTTCACTGGGCGGCAGAAAACGACCGACCGGACATCATCGAACTCCTAATGGATCACGGAGGTGAGAAACTAGTCAACCATCTCGATAAGAACGACCACACGCCACTGTACTACGCAGCCGAAGTTGGTGACCTGGAGGTAAGTTTAATAGAAGGAGGTCATTATGAAGTTGCAATCAATAATTGCAAAATTACAATCTTCGATTACTCGTGCCGCTTTAAAGCGTTTGTGTGACCTTTAAATGGGACGATGGGAGCGATATATTCAATAGGGGTGCTAAGGGCAGAGATGCCCCGTCAATTGTGAATCTAATATTCTGCAGCTTCTTTGACAAGCAAAAAGAAAGAGAGAAGTCGTTAAAACATTATTTGGGATACCTGTCCAATGCAAAATACCTGGGATTTTTATTCATCAGTGCCCTCTAAAAATAAGGAACACCGCCGACTCTTTTATTCAGGGGAGCGAAAAGGAAAACAAAGCCAGGGCCCTGCAGCAACACAAGCAAGATGATTAATCATCGGGCACATCTATTACAAAAGTACAGAAGATTCATTTCAACACCTACACTGTACGTCTTATTATGTTCTCCTTTTTTTGTATGTCTTTGTCATATTAAATGTATCTGTTCCTTTCTTGCTGAAGTATCAATAATGACATGTAACAACAACAATAATGATTTGTCACCAGAATTAACATATATAATCTAATTTTGCACCAAGCAATTTTATTCAGGGGAGCGAAAAGGAAAACTTGGCCAGTGTCCTGCAGCAACCCAACCAAGATGATCAATCATCGGTCACATCTATTAGAAAAGTGGAGAAGATTCATTTCAACACCTACGTCTGTTCTTTTGTTTTGTTTATGTTTTTGTCATAATGTCTCTGTTCCTTTCTTGCTGAGGTATCACTAATGAGATGCAACAACAACAACAAGAGAAATTTGTCACAAGAATTAACATGATAATCTAATTTTACATCAACTGCAGATTCTAAAATTGTTGATCAAAAATGGTGCCCAGCTTGATGTCCGTGATACGACGGGAAAGACGGCTCTGCATGTAGCCGCCAAGTAAGTCTCATTTCCCCCATGATATAGCTGCAAAGTAATTATTCTGAATTTAAGTTTAAACCTTTACATCTCATAGAATAATATAATTTTAGTAAAATGCAGAACGTATTTTAAATCCGCAACACAAGCTACACAAACAGTCAGAAGACCACGACGTGGAAATTTGAAAAAAGAAAGAAAGAAAGAAAGAAAAAGACGATAATTTTAACTATGATGATGATGACGATGATGGTGGTAGTAGTGTTAATAATGGTGATGTTGATAACGGTGGCAGTGATAATGATTATGAGGATGAGTAAAATGAGAAGTGGAATGGTGATGATGATACTGATGATGGTGATAATGATGACGAGGAAGAAAACGAAGATTGTAATGATATAACCCCCCCCCCCCCTCTCCTATCAGGTTGGGGCGGCAGGCATTTTCTGAGGAGCTACTTCGCCTCTGTCCTCGGCTGTTAACCGAGGAGGACCTCCAAAGCCAAACACCGCTTCATCTGGCTAGTAGCAACAGACATCATTACCTCGTGCAATCACTCCTACGATCTGGCTCTGATGTCTCTAATAGGTAATGCTCGTTGTACACGAAGTGTCATTTTTCACTGACGCTATCTTTTGGCGCATCATGAGAAAGAGACATCGTGTATTAAAACATGAATGCAAAATAAATGCGGCAAATATCGCTTTGAATTATTGCCTACATAGGTTTTTTAAATTAAAAGCGTAGATAATAAAGCAGTTGAAATGACGCCTCGTGTGCGCGGAGCATAATAATTATCCGATCCCTTTAACGTATGATCATCTTAATATTCTAAAGTCAATCTTGAATTCTGGTAATGGAATAACATTTTGAAACAAACTAGCTTAATCATGTTGAATTCTTTATTATGCGGTATATGGGTGGTTCGGACCAGTAAGATATAATTAAACAAATGAAAACTTTAATACTGGCGACCATGTTGGCTGAAAAGCACTATACATTTTGAGACTGTGTCTTAAAAAAAATATATAGGTACTTCGTGACACAATGCCCTTTGAAAAACTTCCTTAACTTTCACTTCGACAACACTAAAGCTGCAAAATGCATCAAAGTGATTTACAATCGAGTCTTCGAATCCATTCAATCTCTGAAAATAACTATGACGTTTGTCAAATAAAATCAGGGACGGAGATTACAAGACATCATTGATGTTGGCAGCATCTAACAACGACGTCGAGACCATGGTCGTTCTCATCGAAAACCACGCCGACATCAACGCTGTCGACAGCGACAAGGTGAGTTACTTTAACACTGTGTAAAGATTACAGTTATTACGATCTGTTCTATACAACGAGGATGAGTTTTTGATGTTACTGCAGCCTACATGTTCGATAGGCTAGTACAGATAACATTTATATTAATGTTCATAATAACCTGATAGATTGTCATAAATTACTAAAGGCATTGGAATAATCCATATATGTTTCTTACCTCGTGTTATACCGTTGCATTCTCTATAATCACAACAACTATGAATTCATACAGAACCTCTAATAATGATTGATCAACAATTTTCTTCACGAATGATATAACGAACGCGGCCTAAATTGTAACACGAAATTTAACATCCATCCCCTTTCGAAGAACACCGCCCTCCACATGTGTTGCCTTAGCAACGCGACTGATGCTGCCAACCTGTTACTCGTGAATGATGCCGACCTCACCCTCATCAACGACGATTCTCTCACCCCACTGCAACTGGCTATTGAGATGGATGCCAAAGATATTGCCACGGCTATCATTCGAAGTGACAAGTAAGTACAGTCAAACCTGTCTTTAGCGACCGCCCAAGGGAAAACACACAAAGTGGTCTTTGTAGACAGGTTCCTTTAGTACATGTTTCAATGAGAAATAATTTTCAAGGGGAACAAAAAATGTGGTCTTTGTAGACAGGTGGTCGCTGCAGCTGTTTTGACTGTACATGTTTTAGGCTATAGTTATGTTATAAAAATCTTGAAGGGTTCATTTTAGAACGATGTCTTACCTTAGTCTGAGGATAAAAATGGACTGATGGGGGAACTAGTTAAAAGTCTAGTTTCAGTATTTTCAAAGGATAAACATTTTTATTAACTTGACATCAATCAATGAAGTGAAGATATTCATGACAATTTTTTTTATTTAGGGTGAGCGTCTATATTGAGTAACTGTGATAGGGTACCTCATTTTTATTTTATCATACCCAATCGTTGCCAGGAATGGAAGAATCAAAACATTTACACCAATTTTTTGGGGGCGGGGGTCAGATCGTTGTCGCGGCCTATCTTAGGTATTTTTTTCAAAAACCCACATTTATCGACATGTCTACGTGTAAGTAATTTTTTCTTTCCTTCAAAACTAGTCTACCTTTTAAGAATGATATTATTTTCTTGTTGAAGGTGGGACTCGGCCATGTCAGCCCGTAATCAGGAGAAGTTGACACCCATGAAGGCACTCATTGAAAAGCTCCCGGATGTCGCCATGCTAGTCTTCGATAAATGCGTCGAGAAGTCGGATCTGCCACCCAACGATCCCCGTTACACGGTATGATACCATTGAGCCAAAATAAATGTACAGATAAAATAATCACGATAGGCTTACATTTAATTTCAGAATATCCGCCGACATAATAATGTCTAAAATCCATTTTTTAGGGGCGATATAAGTGCACTTAAAAATTGAATGACCTATGTTCATTATGTTGTAAAGGTCATGCATACCAGCTGGAGAGAGTATTTTAATTGTTTAATTGTTTACATGAACATATTTATTCGAAAGTCATAAGTCCAAACTATTTGATAGTCATAAGGATATCAGACGGGACATTTCTTTGCCAAAATACAGTAATCACGCATAATTTCTGTATACCAGATCGATTCGAGCTGTTGAAGTCGAGTGGTTTACGCACTTGACTTCAAATGCAAAGGGCCGACATCGCAATAATGTCCTTTGGCAAGGCATTAATCTACATTTTCCAATCCATACCCAAAAGAGAAATGGGGACATAGTACGATGACGAAAGACTTTGTGTTAGCGATTGCCATATGCTCTCACGATGACCATTTCTGGTAGGAATACTCCCCAGGGAGTGGAAATGGTGATGAATCCGATAAACAGGATGATGACATACATTATATTTAAAGCGCTTAGAGACGGTATTTCGTATTAAGTGCTATATAAATCCCTATTATTATTATTGATTGATAAAATATTATTTATTTATATTTCCTCAGGTAACCTACAGCTTCAAATACATCGACCCTGGCCTTTCCGATGAATCTTTCAGGCATAACGGAGAAAGATATGCAGCTTTGGAGGTAAAGTACACCGTTGCCCACAGAGACTGAAAATTAAAAATTGATCACATTCTCCTCTCATAGCAGAAATTTATAAGAAAGAAAATGCAACAATGAACCCCTCAACTAACCCCAAACTCTTTCGGATGATGACGTTAAAGGTCGGTCCCCAGACGTAAATAATCATATCTGATTGATACACGTCTGTAAAATCCAAATAACACAAATACTGCAATTATTTTGTTACTTTTCTAATTTATTTGTTCATGTGGCCCTATATATACTCCTTTGAATTCAAATGACAAGTGATTCTGATCTTCAACAGACGATGTCAAAGTGTGGACGACAAGAGCTTCTGGCCCATGAACTCTCTCGAGGTCTGATCGACCGGAAATGGTGAGTATAATGTAGCAGATACCACTTAAAGGGGGTGTAGCATGACGAGACTACTCGTCTTTCCCGTGGCCTGACTCGGGGCCAATCGGGTATCGGACGACGCGACCGCAGTATTCACGCTCGTGCAACATACGCGAAACTGAAGCGTGAAGAGAACTTCGGTCTGTTTCGCGAACGCTTGCGCGCGCTGACCGTTATAATCAAGTCCATTCGTTTACGTACAGTTGTCCAAAAGAAGTCGTAGATGGCGTTAACCAGTATTCGCCATGCTACACCTCCTTTAAAACTCCTTTTAAAACTGACTCTCATCAAGCTCATTGGACTTTCGCATGGGCAAGGTGGATGTGTCTCGAGTGTTTCATCCTGCATTTTAATTCAAAGACACACTTTTATAATATAAAGGTCATTAACAATTTTGGAAGTAAAGAACATAATCATCCAAATGTAAATATCCTATGAACGGGTTCATGATGGGTTGAAAGTCCACCCCCCCCCCCCCCTTCGAGAGTATAGAGAGCAAAAATGTGATGAAGTCCGGATGATAAAATCCGGATTCTTCCTTTTCAGATCTCCGGAATGCATGATTACCAGCAATTTTTTTACCAGGTTTAAAGGCCCACTGCACTACTTGTAGCTACTTGCGCCCTCTATATAACAAACAATGCCTAATCGGTGACCATTGGTCCCCCATGATCCTCTTTTTCTTATGTTAATTGAGAGCTGAGTTGATGAGATAACCACCTGTCCAGTGACCTTGCAGGGCAGTCTAATCCCTCCTGTAAACTACGGCAGATAAGCTTTAAACAGTATGATGAAAGCCCTAATCTTCACTCTTTACCGCGTATGCCTGTGCAGTTAACAACTTAATTATTCATACCCTTACCACGTTTTGTATTTGTTTATGTATTCTTGTGTTACGAAAAGTACAAAGAACGAAAAACATACGAGGGGTAAGAATACTTTAGTTGTAAATTGTGTTTGGTTCCATATTTTATATACTTTTTCATTCGAGAGATCAATATTCATTTTAATCGTATAATTCCAATCATCTTCCTCATCAATCTTTGCAGCTCCTTTGATCAAACTTCGAGATACCATCAAAGATCAATCCTCTTTTTTTAAAAATTTGCTTTCAGGAATATCTGTTCCAGATACGTCTTCTACACGCACTTCATCTTATACTTCCTATTCGCGGTTGCCATGGTTTTCCTGAGTGCCGTAGCTGGGCGGGAGTTGAGATACACAATGGACGGCATGTGCGCTCAGATCAATCTGACAAGCAGTTCTTACCTAGCATCAATCATCTATCAAGATCCGGTAATTCTAGCCTAATAAATTCATTTTAATTTTCAAAGGTAAGCCCCAGGCAGACATGAATTCAGATAGTGTTTTTGAGGGTTTAGCTAACAATAATTATACATTACAGGTGAATGGAATATTTGTATTGAGGCACTTCACAAAGACGTAAGCTTTAGATTTGGTTACATTACGCAAATATAATAATAATAATAATAATACTTCACAATTATAACGCACCTGGTACTTTATTTTTTAGGCGCAGTATATATTATTACCCAGTTCATCGGATTCAGGCTTACCCGCACACAATGTATGCACATTCTCCACTCCCTGGGGAGCATTCCGGTCAGTCGTACCCATTTAACACCTGCGTGGAGAGTCTTGCCAAAAGACATTAGGGACTTTTAGATTGAGTGGATGAGAACACGACGAACGCCGACTGATCATGCGTGTCAACGTACTCAACTGCCCATGTTGACTACAATTAGAAATCTTTTAGATTGCACTAGACGATATACATGCATGCAGGAAGTAACACTATGAACATGACGGACAATAGACCATTTTCGTAATGTAACCAAATTTAATGCACACACGTCTTTGTGTAGTGCCTCAATACAAATTATTTCATTCACCTGATAAGAATAATAGTAATTCAATAGTCAGAATGCAAACTGCATATATCAAGTGTTGCTAGGTAGGTCAAGCCATAATGTTTGTCCAACCTGGCAACTACTAATGTATGCAGTTTGGATTATGTCTATTGAAATACTATTATTCTTACCCGGTGAATGAAATAATTTGTATTGAGGCACTTCACAAAGACTTTATGCATTAAATTTGGTTACATTACGAAGATGGCCTATTGCTACATGGTAGAATATCCCTTCACTGCTATTATGTAGAAATGTGTAGAACAGGTGAATATGCATGTGACACTTCTTCTACACATTTTTACCTAATAGCAGGGAAGGGATGTTCCTTTGTCTACCTAAGGAACTGTATATTTTATGCGCACGCGGCATATACTAGTACCGTACTAGATTTAGGAAAATCAAGGTTGACGCATTCTCGATCGCCAACTGAGACGACGTGACGCATGCGCAGTGCCTTAAAATGACGTCACACGTTGCAGTCAAAGCTGTCGACGTGCAAATCTAAAAGTCCCTATTACTTAGTGCCGAGGCGGGACTCGAAACCCGTACAAACGGTGATCTGCAGTCGATTGGCTTATCCACTAGACCACAACAATTCTACAGTAACAAAAACAATATTACATTGTATTCTATTGTTTCCATTTATTTTGCAGGACGGGATGTATTCCTATTCTGCAGTTAGTATTACCGTCGCACGTATCTACATCTTCTCATACTCCGTCGTATCTCTAGTATTCGAAATTCCCGAGCTTATGTTGAAGGTGAGCCCAGTTTGATGTTTTCGATTAGTTACAGCCAGCCTTATTTTATTCTACATATATTCTTTTGTCATGTGTAAAATTTGCAATGTTTTGTTTGTTATATTTGTGTAAAACTGCAAAAGAAAAAGAAAATCAAACAGAAATAAATAAATAAAATAAAATAAAATCAAGTATCCATTTCACAGAAACTGTTCCTTAAACATATTTATAAAAGTCATTCGATTTCCTTAAGTATGACAATTTGTATGTGCTATCAAGCATTGAAGCAATAATCGTTAGTATCCATTTTTTGGACGGGATTGGTATTTGGTGAAGAGGAGATAAGACATAGAAAAGGACAGATACAATTATGCAAATCAGGAGTGGAGAATATTATGTGAGAGTTACAACAAACACAAGAATATCATTGAATATTAGTAGAAAATTCAACAGACGAAACTAAAGAAATTGAAAAGTTATTATTCGTAATAACTTTTGGAAATACAGAAATGTTAAAAGCAATATATCGAAATAAGACCTAAAGAATGAAATTGTTGCTTCGAAGTTATGAATCTGATGGAATTGTGGAAAATGGGACGAGAGACTACCCTTGATAAAAGGTTAATTCGCGTTTAATTGTAATCTTATTGTTTCAACCCTCATTGCGATTTGTCTGAGTGAATATGATATATTTTCCAGATACCTTCACAAAGGCGTCAAACTATATTTGAGATTGAAAAAAAAACAGTGACATGTAACCTGGGGGTGTTTCACAAAGATCCTGATTTGAAATTATCTCTAAGGTGGACTTAACAATTATGGAAAGCCGTTAGCATCTTTGAAATATTTTGTAAAAGTTATTTCAAAAGGCATAAACTGTTGATCCAAATCATTTATATTTTCTATTACCAAGGAGATTTCACGTGCTTGATGTGGACTTAATGAAAAGTCAAAAATACTTGAATTTTTTTCTTTTGAATAGATTTTATTTCAAGGCTACAAATGGCCTCCCATGATGTTTAAGCCCAACTAAGAGTTAAGTTCGACTTCGGATCTTTGTGAAACACCCCCCCCCCCTGATGTACTTTGTTTTTCACCCTGCACACGTACACAGCGCTTGCACTTTCTCCTGGAGACTGGGAAGTACCTCAACATGGTGCTCTATGCCACAGCTATCCTCTACACCTACCCACCAGATCGGGTGCCCTGTATTCCAGAATACATGTTTGGGGTGATGGCCACGTTCCTAAGCTGGGTCAAACTCTTCTCGAACCTTAACGTGTCAGTGAGATCTTCTTTTTTTTTTTAATCTACTTGGAATTTGAAATATTATTCAAGTTATTTACTAACTGTGTTTAAAGATTAAAGATCTTAAGCTGGGTGAAGCTCTACTCGAACCTTAACGTGTCAGTGAGATCATTTTTGTTAATCAACTTAGAATTTGAAATGTTATTGCAGTTATTTACTAACTGTGTTTAAAGAAGATAAAAGATCTTAAGTTGGAAGAAGTTCTTCTCGAACCTTAACGTGTCAGTGAGATCATTTTTTAAAAATCTAACTTAGAATTTGAAATGTTATTGCAGTTATTTACTAACTGTGTTTAAAGAAGATTAAAGATCTTGAGATTAAAGATCTGGAAGAAGCTCTTCTCGAACCTTAACGTGTGAGATGATTTTCTTTAATCTACTTAGAATTGAAATGTTATTGCAGTTATTTACTAACTGTGTTTAAAGAAGATAAAAGATTTTAAGTTAGATTTTAAGTTGGAAGAAGCTCTTCTCGAACCTTAACGTGTGAGATCTTTTTAAATTTTAATATACTTAGAATTTGAAGTATTATTGAAGTTATTCACTAACTGTGTTTAAATATTTGTGTAATATGTGATGAAAATCAGTCGTTTCCAAGCATAAATTGTTTAAATGTAATTTCCAGGGACACAACATCAAGCGATAATATAATTTTGTAATGAAAGCATACAAACAAATGATGACAATAATAGCAATAAAAGAAGAACAACAAGAAGAAAGAAATGTCTGGGGATTGCTAAAAAGAAAAACGAATATCGAATGAAGTTTGCAATATCAAATGAAGTTTGCAATATCAGATAGAAGATGAGACTTGTTTGTAACTATGTCGATAAGTAATCAAAGCATTTTATGGTACAAAATAAAGAAGCACATCATAAATTAAGTCGAATTTTAAAGGAAAAGAGAAATCCACTAAAATCAATATCAAGTGACGTCATTCAGAACGACAATGGATTCTTCTTTTGTTGATCTTCTGGATATTGTAGAGTTAAAGGTCTCTTGTGGGTGCTGTTTTAGTCGACAAAATAAATATAGCGATATACCGACTCGGAGTTTGTATGAGAATAAAAACAATATCTGAAATGATTAAAATCGAAGAGCGGAAGCGGAGGTCTTCGTTTGTGATTGGAGATCGGAATCTTGAATAGTTTACCTGAAGAGCGAAGATGGCAGGAAGATATGAAAGAATTGTGCTTGTATATGTTATCGACAAACAAACATAGGCCGTACATCCATGGCCATGAAGAAGCATAACTTTAAGTCGTCTTTGAAAAGATCCTTGGCGGATCCAGGGGCCACATGGGGTATGTGCCCCCCCCCCCACCCGCCAATTCAAATTAAAAGATGATAGAAAGGGGTGAATAAAAAGGGGGTAGAAAAGAGGATGTTAGAAAAGGAGAAGAATGACAGAAATAAATTGCTACTCATGTTTATGTGACTCTTTTTTTGGAGGGAGGGGTGGTTGCTTGTAAAAGAATTTTCGAATACTTGCCCGCTTTTCCCTGTCAGAGGATTCTGGATCCGCTACCGATAAATGTATACCGTCTTGGAATTGCAATTAAATACGATTAAACCGGTCAACAAATGGATGCTCATATTTTACCTTGGATATTCTTTTCTTCCTTTCATTTAATTGAATCTTACAGGATCGAATCGCTTGGTATTTACGTCCTGATGTTCTTTCAAACTCTACTTACACTCTTAAAGGTAAAGGTTGTGTGGTTCATGTCTAGTCGGTTCGTATTTTTAAGAATGTTTACAAATTATTGTCTTCATTGTTCAATATGAATAATACCTGCTTTGCAAAGTGAAATGTAAACGAATGGCTTTTTGAAAGATTTGAGTGGGAGGAGGGTATGTCTCGACCTTTTTCATCTGGTAATTAAATCGCTCCGTTATTCCATGACTACATACGGGCTACATACATTTATTGCTCTGTCTTTCTGTCTTTCTCCTGAGTTTTATGGTCTAAGAGTGTTTCTTTAAAGGAAGTGCATCCGGTTAGCCGGGTAATAATAATATATATTAATATCTGTAAAGCTCTTAGAGACGATTTCTTATTAAGCGCTTCTTAACTCCACATTTGTTATTACATGTCTATATATATGTCTATATATGTATAGTATTTGTAAGAAGTTAATCTTTTCAACTTATGGTACAGTGTAACATAAAAGAAATACATGTAATCGAAATTGAATGACATATAGGCAACTTTCTCTTTCTCTAATCTCAGGCGATGGCAGTATACCTTGGTTTGATCATGGCCTTCGCCGTATCTTTCACGATGTGTTTACAAGGGAAAGTGGTAAGTCTCCCAATAAAAATGATAACCATTCAACAAATCATCCGGTTCAGACGCATGATTCTTGATTTCATATAAAGCATGGCATCGTGATCTCGAGCGTAAACATTGCGAATGATCCGATCAGACTCGAGTTATTCAGTATTCTTACAAAGTAACTCTGCGGTTGTCTGATGGTTTATTCAAAAGGTCGAAGCTTGCACGCAATGAATGGCGTATTCATAGAGGCAAATTGTGCAATTTTAATTTATAATATGCATGTAAAGAAAACCTTTTTTAGATATACATGTAATGCAGAACTTTAAACGAATGTGAATGGAAAAGCACTTTGAAATTCTTGTTTTTTTAACTATATAAGGTATGTTTTTATATTTCGCGTTTGATGCATAAGATGTTCATTTGCATATTTTGATATACACTAACTTCCAAACTTTATACCATGATGCATGCTTATCTAAATGGCCACTATTCCGAGCTACATCTGACACTATTATCAGTAATCAATTACAATAATTCTTGTTTTATTTGTATTCCTTGTTCCAAAGTTCGGCTTCACCGATGAAAGGCTTTCGGTGATCGCGACCTTCACGATGCTCTTGGGCGAAATCAACAGAGGGGACATCTTCAATGCACGTATCGATCTGGAGCCGTTTGCCATGCTCACCGAATTGATTTTCTGCATCTTCATTTTCTTAATGCCGATGGTTTTAGCTAATCTGACGGTATGGATGTATTCGTTGCCATAGCGATTAAGTGGCAGGAATGCCGGTATAGCAAATGTGGTGATGGTGATCAGGATGTGTGTTCTATAACAAATTGACAGTTAATATTTCCAGAAATCGAGCAATTTTCATGACCTTGAGATAATTATAGCCTGGCGCATCACCCATTAAATGAGAGAAATGTACGATGTCCGAGTAGACCAATGTCAAACTACAATTGGCTCTACAACAATGAAATAGTCTTTGATACCCTTTCTTGAAGAAAAAAAATATATAATTGGCCGTGTAATAGTAATATAATGGAAGCGAAGCGGAATCATGATGGACATGTGCATTATACTCTAGCTGATTTAATAGTGGGATGAAAAAATAAAATGGTCATGTCAAATTAAAACTGTTCAAATATTAATTGCGTTGTATTTATTTCACTGCGCTTAGATGAGATGTTACAGTAAGAGCATTTAAACATTTACAAAATATAACATTTAATTGTCTATTTACATGCTCCAAGTCAACCATCAAAAAGAACTTTTAATATCACTCTATATTTTTTTGTTAAAGCAAGCGTGAAGACTATTTTTTTTAGCCTTTTTGTCCGAATTAATATTTATTTAGGGATTCACCTTTTTTGCTCTTATTCCAGATTGGTATTTCTGTAGGAGATATTGATGGGATCAGGAAGGATGCAACACTAAAGATGATGGAGATTGAGGTAGGATTTATCATAAAAGGACCCTGGTGGTAAACATGTAATAGAAAATACAGGATTACCAATCCATTTGTAATGACCTTCCACTGAGCTAAATAAACGAATACGTCTTTCCCATTTTGATTGTGGAGAGTCGTATACGGTTCTAAAGGACTGAACCAAATTACTGTTTAAACATACCGCATATAAACGTACGTTTTTAATGTTAGATGTTTTATTTTTTAAAACTCGCATAAACATGAAAATGGAAAGCCAAATGATATTGATATCACACGCATATTTGTTATGTTAGATTATGAAAAGCTCACATAAACATGAAGAAGATAACATGAATGGATTGTTGTTTGTTTTCACTTCAGGTTGACAACATCTGTACTTTGGATAGGAAGCTACCGGTAAGAGTGCAACGGTACTATCATGAAGAAAAATACACGGCACGGCCAAATACAAAACTATGGGGCCTGTGGAAAAGCGTAAGTGTGGTGGTTTGATAGTTTTTGTGTATACCTGACTGCTATTAAGTAAACAACCAGGCATTAACCAGGATTACTACCTTACATAAAGGGCACTATAGCGCATCGACTTGGTTTTGAACCCGGGACCTCCCGGTGATGAGACCACTGCCCTACCACTGAACCATCGCACCTCTTTATTTTTTTCTTTCTAAGTTGTTCTTTCTCATCTCAGTAGTATTGACTTTCATTTCCACACATAACATTGTGTATACTCTACAGTCTACACGTTCCCTACGATTAGCTGAAGTTTATTACATAATTCCTGGGATGGTTTGAGATGTGAAAATGCTCAGTACGATAACTTATGATGGCACTTAATTAGGATCCAGTAGAAAAGCTGAACAGAACTGCTCCATTTTCGCGGAGGTGGGATGCATGGGTGCAAATTCGTTTGGTTAAAAAAAGGGGTATTCGACCTACCCCCCCCCCCCCCCCCCCCTCCGCCACTACATCGAGCTTCTCTCTCGAGTGGGCCCTGTAAACTTCATTACTACTATCACCGTCGCTATATCTGTATTACTACAAATTGTCTTGAAATTCATTCCTCAATATTACAAAGTTTCAATCCTTAATAAAATAAAATATTCCTGTTTTATGTGAACTCCAGCATCAATCTATTCCTACCAACAGCATAACGACTGTCATCGTTATTTTGCTACAATTCCATCATGACATAAATAAAATGAAAACTTCTGTCACCATTTTTTAAAAATAATTTAAGACCGTTTTGTATAGTGTGCTCAAGCACCAATTCATACAAAATCAAAACAGAGCAATTAAAATAATCATGGAGAATGACATGAATAATAACTTAATATTTCTCACCTTTTGATCCAGTTCAAGCGGGTGTTTTTCCTCATCAACGATGATGACGACCAAGCAGAGACGAGCTCGTCTTCGCAAGACGACACGATGTCGGAGTTGTCTGAGCACAGGGCTATGTAAGTAGAACAGCGTCTGGTTTAAGAACGAGTCACTGAGAATGTCATAGTGATAATACGTGTGAATAAAATGCAATGCTTTGTTGGAGCATAGAAATAATTAAGTCTGACAGTAGATCATTCTAAAATCATCCTCGATGTACTAAGTTACGAGTAAATTTATAATGCTAGGTATGTTCTCATGTTCACGTAACACAAAGTGAGTAGAATATAACTATCTTTGGTTGATAACGGATTTATAATTATGAGGATGCCAATATCTAACAAAGGAATAGCTCGGAATAATTAATTTAATTAAGTTTATTAATTTCCATAAAAATCACATTACAAGAACACATACATTTGCCAAAGGTACTGTAAATAACATGCAAAATATTTCACTAGAATATACACAAGTACATTACATAAGTACAAAGGAATAGCTCGGAATAGCTCGACTTGAGATTTTAAAATTTAAAATAGTATAGAAACAGCATTCAAATATACAATGTTCAGTCATGAATTGAGTTAACTGTTTGGTATTTGACACATCAATGAATCAGATAGCATATAGCATAATATTTAATAAATAATCAGAAAAGTAACTTGAACTTTAGAAAGAAAATCTAATCACAGATTGTATATCTTCTCTCTTTAACTTCTATTCCTATGTTCAGACTCAAGCTGTTATCAGTCCAGATGAAGAACCATGGTGACATTCTCAAACGTCTGGCAGAAAAGGAAGGCATCGATGTCGCCATCTTGACTAAAACATCAACAGTTAAAATGAGATAGTCGTCATAAAGTGTCGTGATTTTAGGTGTAGTGTGATTTTAGGTGTGCCGAATTATTGTACCAAGTGACAATCACTGCCTGCTCGTACACGAAAAGTCTCACTTTTCTGCGCCGTTTCTCTCGTCAAATTGAATGGAGATAAATTCATTTGATTTTTTCCCTTCTTTTTTCTCCTTTTTTTTTGTTGGGGGGGGGGGGGGGGTGGGCCTCTGGCGTTTTGGGAGTGACTATAAATCTTATTCAATATCTGTGGAATAGTTACGTTGTAAACCAGTCACAAAAAGGATTACTTTTGTCAAAACCACACAAATTCTATCACCAAGTATTCAAGTCTTTGTTGGTGTTTACATTATTTTTCTCTTCAGTATTTTGTATTACATTATGGTATATATTACTAGATGTTTAGTTTGAAATATCCTATATTTATTTGATGGAGAATTTATATTGATGTGCACTGAGATATTATATTTTTCATTCATTCAATGTTGGAGTTATTATGGTATGTGTCACTGATATCCTAGTTAGTTGTATATAGATAATCGAGAGATCCTATTATTACAATTATATTTCCTCAGCCGTTTCAATGTAACCGAAAAGGAAGTCTCAATGTACCTTGTTCCAACATTGTTTTGATTGTGGTTTGCTTTCAGTTATATTGATATGCCCCTTGTCTTTCATCTTTGGAGTGTGACGTAACTGCACATATTTTAGGCAACCTGGGAGGAGAGGGGAGAGGACGGGAGGGGAGGGGGTAAGCTTTCAAGCCTTATTTACCGCCATTGGACTATTCGATTTTGAATTTGTCAGACCCATAGAAATTATACGAAATTCATATTTTCTTGTAAAGAGTATTGTTTATGAAAAATAAAAACTTTCTAAATACAATGTCATGTTCATCGTTATCATCTGTTATTGTAATATTGGGATATGGCAGACAATTTACAACATATAATGCAAATTTATACTCGTTCACGAGCAATTAAATTATGACTTGACCCTAACGACACATAATGTATGCAATTTGCACTTTGACTATTGAACTACAATTATTCATATCAGGTGTGTGAAAATATTTGTAACGAGGCACTGAAAAAACACGTGTGAATTAAATTTGATTACGTTACGAAAATGGCGTATTGTATGCTTTAACTGAGCCCATAGATAGTGTTTTAAAACGATATGTTAACTGCTGTAAGCCTACGTGTCTTAAGCCATATCCCATTGCCACGCCGCCGAGAATTTATGCATTTTCAATTAAGACTAAGATTGATTTGTTACAAGGCAATAGCTTCTCATCACTAAAAATACTCACTTTGCCTTTTTCAGTTCCTTTTGCGATTACAGTGAGCAAATTTGTACTTCCAAGAGACCTGTTCTTGTTGCATGCTTCTCTCCAGAACCCATAATAGTCACTATTCAATAAGCCATTTTCGAAATGTAACCAAATTTAATGCAAACGTCTTTGTGAAGTGCTTAGTTGCGAATTATTTCATTCACCTGCTACTAACAGTGGCATCTCTATGGATATAATCCACTTTGCATACATTATTTGTTGCCATGTCGGGTAAATTTCAGGCCAGTTTTTCAGTTCTCAAGAGAATCTTTTGTGCATATCTTATGCATAAATTAGTAGTAAACTGTTCTATTTGGATGAGCATGAAAGAAGCGGCGGAAAAGCATTTTGACATTTATTTGCCCAACAAGAATGATGCAGACCCTCTTTAGCTCTTTACAATGGTGTGCTTAATATATTGGGAAAAAGTGATATGCAAAATTGTTTTCCCCCAATGTGGGTTAAAGCCCCACTGTCCTACTTGTAGCTACTTGCTCCCTCTATATAGAACACTTCCCCAATCGGTGCCTGTTGGTCCCCCATGACCCTCTTTTTCTTATGTTAGTTGAGAGCTGAGTTAATGAGATAGCCACGTGTCAGTGACCTCGCTGTGTGGTCTAATCCCTTCTGGCCCAGTAGTATTGACGGTCTTTAATATTCAACGCATTTTAAAGTACATTCGTTTTGCTGTAACGCTCCTTGTCCATCATGTCACTCTTTTAAAACTCTAAAGTCAACACAATATGATAATAATGAAGAAAAAACAAGGAAGTATGCTGTTTTCCTTTTATTAACATCAATAAGAAATAGAAAAATCATGCAGTTGTGTTTATATGAAATTGTTAAAGTCTTAGGGAAAGAATCGAATAACTTATTGTGAATTTTGTTGATTTTCTAGAGATTTTCCTACAAAATAGTACATTTGTATATATTATCAAAGGGCGCAATGTCTGTAAAAATGTATCTATGAAATACTGAGCTCTATATATTAATTCACAATATCAAGAAATTAGAGATTCATATTTTGACAAAGGTAAGAATTCTTGAAACAATTTTGTACAATTAAGACGATTTAGAATCCTATTTCACAACACTGATCACATCACGCAATTTATAAATACTATCCTTTGACAGTACAAGGTATTTTATAAAAACACATAAACAAATTAAAATTTATAGTTGAATATTAGACACAAATACACAATGATAGACTGAAACATTTACATGTACATTGATTGCTGGGGACATGAAAAGTAATTTAAGTTTATGAAAAATGCATAATCGTACTATAATCTTCTTCCAAATTTAGAATTTACATCATGCAAGTATATAATTATGAATATTGTACTCATAAAGATTTACATAATCAAGTCACTTTCTCTAGTGTCCAGTGCATGACGTGCTTGGAAATCAGTTGCAAAACTGAACGAACCGACCCTATATTTGGAATAAAGACGGGTATACCTAATAATTAATTTACATATACGCACTACCTGAAATTCTCGTTCAAATTAAGCGTGTGCCGTGTTCGTAATAAACTTACTGAAAAAGGGACATTTAATCTATTCACTGACGCTGAAATAATCATTACACGAACTCGAATTGAAAACAGTGTTTTTGTAATAATACTAATATTGTTAAGATTTTGATTGCTTGATAGTCAGCCGCTTATAAGTCTAAAAGAAAACTCGATTTAATTGAAAATACTATATTTTCGTAAATAGGTAACATAGAAATTTAAAGGTGTTATTTATCTTTTGAAAATACAGGTTCAAACATCGGTACAAACTGCATTGGGGAGCAAAATTGTATGATTGGTGACGATGGTCTATGGATATCCTTTGAAATTACTCCTCTGATTACAATGTTGACATGAGGGTTATATATATATATATATATATACTCCCGGATTAAAATAATTCTTCCAATTATTATTGAAATCAAAGTTAGAATTACCCTTCATGAGCTTTAATCACCTCTTAAAACTTTCAGAAGTATTTAAGATTGTAAATAGTACTTGTGAACGATCAGGATGAAACTACATGTTGAATATGAGCTAGGTTTTCAATAAGCTTATGTGAAGATTGTCTCAAATTTTTTTCAAATAATTATTTGGCACTGCCTCATTTAATATATCAAAGTTTTGATATTTTTAAGAGTTTTGGTTTTACAGTCAGTGATATCAGAAGTGACACAGAGATGTGCAAAGACACTGCTTAATGTTAAGTTCAATCAAATTTTAAATAACGAATATTCATAGACTTTCTGTTGCAGGAAGACTTTGGCTCTTTCTTTGGTTTCAGCATTTGATATAATGTATGTTTTCTTTCTAGGCATAAACTAGACAACACCTTCATTCAATGGCACTTCTTTTTTCCTTTTTAAGTATTTTTTGTATTGTCTTCATTCAATACATGTACATTATACAAATACAGGTTATTTCAAATAAATGATGGCTATTTAACAGCTATCGTACAACAGTTATTGATCTTGATCTTAACTGCTATTCAAATTGTATTGCATTCTGATACATTTAAAAACGCATCACTTTTGCCGCTTGCTTCATGAATATATAACCGCGCAAATCTGTATCGATTTCTAATAACTAAAATTGTCTGTTTTCTGATTGTATGTCTGTCTGTTTGCATGAATAACTTCATCCAATGTCTGTGTTTGATTTATTATTCATTATTTATGCATAGCCTGACGAAGGTGATCCCTTTTTTGTCCATGTATTCGGAATTTTCAGCAACTTTTGTGGCTCTGTCTCAATCTTTCTCTCTGACTAGCTGTCTTTTCCTCTCTCTCTCTCTCTCTCTCTCTCTCTTCTCTCTCCTCTCTCTCTCTCTCTCTCTCTCTCTCTCTCTCTTCTCTCCTCTCTCTCTCTCTCTCTCTCTCCCTGCTCCCTGCCCCCTCCCCTTCTCTCCCTCCTTTCTCTCTTCATCACTACGCTACGGACGATGACGGGTCATTTCTATCGCGCTCGTCCGCCGGAGGATCGTCGTAGAGCTCGTCCAGGGCTTCGAAGTCCTGAAGCCGTGATTGGACGCCCTCTTTGTCCGCCATTCGTCTCAGAATATCCCCCTGCTGTTTCATCATCAGTCTCAAAGACGACAGGCTACAGAAAAATGAGAAGGAAAAATTGTCGAAAATTTCACCTATGTTATCACTCCATACGAAAACCGATTTTTGTTGTTGTTGTTGTTGTTGTTGTAAATAGAAAATCTATGTGAAGAATGACCGGGTCAAGTCCTGTTCGAAAATGAATGTTAGAATCTATTCTACATCGAGGTAAACAGCGCTCACAACCTATCCTTGAGAAAACGTTGTATTGAAAGGCAATTATTTCATATGTCTGAGTCATTCGTTCAATTGATAGTAATAAAAGCACAGTGATAAGTTCTGTTTAAAAAAGATATTGAAAACGCATCCATATTTATTTAGGAACTATTCTATATCGAAGTAAACAGCGCTCTCTACGTTTCTTTTTTAAAACGTCGGAATGAAGGATTTTTTTAGCATCAATTCAATGTTATTATAGCATTATTAAAATGATTAATATACTGCACGATCGACAGTGGATATGAACTTATGAAATATATATATATATATATATATACAAATATGAGAGACCCTGATTGAACCTATTCAAATCAATCCAAAACTGTAGCCCGCAGCGGGGGCTAGGGTAGGGGGCAGTTTCCATCAATAAAAAACACACAAAGAAAATGCAATAAATTTTCAATAATTTATTGCATTTTACCCCGGTTCCCAACATAAAAAGATCCTTTGTGTGCCCATGCCTTGAGCCATAATGCATGTCCGTCCAGAGGATTTTTTTTATGTAGGGGACCGGGGTAAAATGCAATAAATTATTGAAAATTTATTGCATTTTCTTTTCTTTTTTTTTAATTCATGGAAACTGCCCCCTACCCTAGCCCATGCTGCGTACAGTCATGGTTCAGTGACAAAGCAATGGCCTCGTAACTGTGAGGCCCCAGGATCAAAACCGTGTCGATGTGCTATGTTAGTGCCCTTTTGTGGGGCATTATTCCTCATTACTGTCATTTATGACTTAAGGACGTAGTTCCCTAGTTGATGAGCATAATAGCATACACATGCTTTAGCAGTCACGCAAAACACACATTGTCAAATTATTATTCAATAAAATCTGAGAATGTATACTATTATCTAGATCTATTATTTCTAAATTATTTTTAAAATAATTCCATAAATTGGGGTAAAACAAAAAGATTCCAACTTTATGAGCGACAGTGTACATGTGGAGGTGTTGTGGTATGGTGGTTTTCCCATTTGACCCTCATTCCAAAGGTTGAGGTTTCGAACCCCAGCCCGGCACTAACGTCGTGTGGTAAGACTTTAATCCACATTCACCACTCTCAACCCAGGTGTAAATGAGTGCTTGATAATCGCTAGGGTAAAATTAATTGCGGGGCCCTCAGGAAGAACAGCATTGAAGCTGATGATGTTTCTCTAGTTAAAAAAGATTCTCATTATTATTTATTAAAAATCTAAATCTTACGCGGCTTTGTGTCTTTGAAGCTCTTCCAGTACGTGTTCTGAGTTTCTTGGTTCCGATTTGTCGTCTGTCTCCACAAAAGCTGCATCTTCCTTCGGGAAGAACTAGAAAGGGGAGAGGAAAGAAGTTGAAATCTCGGAAACTTCACCATTCTCAACAAAACAAAATCGTATAAAAATCAACAAAAACATGGCATTACATTCCCGTTTTCTACGATAATTTTTGTAATAATATTTGCCCGAATAACATTTGGATATAATCATCACTATTACAGAATCATTTGATCGCCTTCAATCACTCTATGATGAACTTATATAACATATTTGGTAAAAAATCTGTCTTGGAGACCTTACAATTTGGGTAAGGACATCGTTTTGTGCACGAAATATTTATAGCTTCAGTCAAATACATGGAAAATTTATTAACAAATCAAGAAATGCGTTTGTAGAACCCGAGAACTACTGGAAATTTTTTTTCAACATTACATTACATTACATTACATCTTCAATAAGTTCCCGCCCACTTTGTCAGCACATTTGCTCTGGGCTGCCCCCGAAGAGGTTTTTATTTTCTTTAAGGCGGAACTGCACTACTTTTAGCTACTTGCGCCCTCTATATAGCAAACAATGCCGAAGCGGTACCCGTTGATTCCCGTTGCAACGCGTTGGTCCCTTTATATGTTCCCCTTCTCCTCATGTTAATTGAGAGCTGATTGGATGAGATAACCACCTGTCAGTGACCACTCAAGGACGTCTAATTCCTCCTTGCCAAGCTGGTGCTGATAGGCTTTAAAGCTTATCTGTACTAGTTTATACGAGGGATAAGACCACTCTGTAAGGTCACTGACAGATGGTTATCTCATCAAATCAGCTCTCAATTAAAATAAGAAAACGGAGATCTCTGGGGACCTATGGTCACCGATTAGGCATTGTTTTCTATATAGAGGGCGCAAGTAGCTATTAGTATTACAGTGGGGCTTTAATAATATGACTTACCCATGACAGGTACTGTGGTCTGTCCTTGGTAACCTTGACAATATGATCAGGCTGGAAGAGTAAGCGTTGAAGCCAGAGAGGGAACTTCCCTTCCAAATGATACACGTAATCCGCCTTAAAATAGACAAAACAGTGTAATCGATTAAAGGCTTTATATAATATTATGTCGTATTGAACTGTTTGTATTGCTTTACTTACATCATGGGTCTAACTATCATATACAACGTGTATGGCGGGGGGGGGGGTGTTTGTAGTAACCTACAACGTAGCTTCTGCCATATGGTACGAAAGTCGGGGGAGTTTTAAATAATTCCCCATATATAAATGTCCATGTTATTGTCGTTGTTGTTTAGATTTATAAGCGTTTATAATTCAGGAGTGAATATTTACGCTTCTACTATTACATTCACTTTTTTTAATATGTGGATTTGGATAAATTGGATTCCTAAAATTTAAACTTCTTATTTAATGTTAAAGAGGTCAGTGGCTGGCGAGCAAAGGGCTTATTTTTGTCTTAATTAAGTTTCAAGGTAAAATATTAAATAAAAAATAAAGGGGTGAAAATAGGGGAGGGTCTACACTGGCTTCTCCATAGGCTGGATACGCCAATGTAACCAATCGCCCTCAATAATAGGAATTGATTTATTTTTTTACGAGATACAAGCCTAGAAGTGAATGAATGCGTTTATCAATGTGGATTCTGTTTTATGTATAACGTAACGTAATGTAGCGTAACGCAACGCAATGTTTCTCTCAAAAACGAATGAAATTAATTACCTGAATGGAATTCCTCTTGATGAAAGCCTTCTTTTGAATGCCGTCGATGTCTCCGACTGCAATACCAATCTATCCAGGATGATATAAGAAAATTATGAAAACAGTTGTCTTTACAAAGGCAAGTGCTCAAAGGAGAAATTAAGAATATTTGTTTTCCTCTTCGTCAAACACAGATACTGATATACAAGAACAGAAAATAGGTATATGAAATGATTTGCCCAAACCCCAAAAATACAAAAAGATACAAAGAAATCATAAAACAGGGTGGAGTTAGGAGGTGATAATATAAAATCATTATTTGAAGTGAAATGTATAATTGGTGAAATAAAAGATTGGCCGAAATCATAAACAAAGCACATAATTTTCCAAGGTTCATTTTCAAGAACACTTTCAGTGGCTATGGGTTATGTCATCCGTACTACCTGACCTTTAAGCATAGAATGATAATTTTTTTGTGTGTGAACAATTCAAATCATGGAAATAGCTTCAAAGTCATAATAACCTCCTAAATCCGTAAATTAACTTTTGTAATTGAAAACCAAAAAAACATCAACTATGTAGCAGTAAAAGACGAATAACAGTATTGCAAATGTGAAGAAGAAAATGTAATAAATCTAGCTCCTGCCCTGAAAGAGTAAAATGCTACTCACCGTCAGGTTGTTGAGCACCATTGGCATGAGAAAGAGGAACACAATGAAGAGTATATACACTATGACAGCGAACGGTGCTAAGGACTGTTCCGCGTTGAAGATATCGTCCTTGTTCAACTCGCCCAACATCATCGTGATCACCGACAGGAAAGACTGTTCGCTGCTCGCAAATCGGTACTGTGGTGACAGAGAACAGCCATTATATCACGACGTTATTGAATTGGAAAGACAACAATATGATGATGATGATGATGATGATGATGATTATGGTGGTTATTTTACCTGACTGCTAAGAAAGCATAAATGCTTGTAAGTAAGCAACCAGACGGCCGGCGGCTTTAGGTCCTCTCCGAGAGACCTGGTAATGAGGATTAATGCCTTACCAAAAGGCACTAGCGCATCGACTTGGTTTAATCATGATTATATGGAGGCGCGATGTCTCAGTGGTTGAGCAGTGGTCCCATAACCAGGAGGTCCTGGGTTCGAAACCAAGTCGATACGCTAGTGCCTGTTGGTAAGACATTAATCCTCATTACCAAGTCTCTCGGAGATGACTTAAAAGTCATTGGTCCCTCGATTACTTACTTATTTACTTACAAGCTTACATTATGCTCTCTTAGCAGTCAGGTAAAAGAAAAAAACAAACGAACAAACAGACAAGCAAAGCAACCATGAATAGAAGCCTGAGCTGCATCATTCATGTTAATGATACATAAACGAACATGTTGAAAAAGAAACAAACATTACACTTAAAAGCCAGATAAAAATGGCATTCATATGTCATTTGGTAAGAAGAATTAGTTATTAAATATGAACCCAATACTTGTCCATATTACTCTAACAAACCCCACACATTGCATAAAATTAAAGAAAAATAGAAAAAGAAAAAGAACAATTATATTGTATATTGAATAGTACTGTCAGAACTGTATTAGTATTTATGTCATACCTTATCACATGCCACGACAGGGTTCATGCAGGACCCTTGTATACATTTAAACAAGATCTATGATAAATAAAATGAATAATTAAAAAAACAATAATTATAATCTAAATACTTAAAGGGGATGTAGCATGACGAGACTACGTGTCTTTTCCGTGACCTGATTCGGGGCCGACCGCAATAGCCTACGTATTAACGTGCGGTCTGTTTCGCGAACGCTAGCGCGCTGACCCAATTAACCAAGTCTATTCGTTTACATGCAATTGTCTGAAAGAAGACATAGATGGCGTCAACCAGTATTTCCCATGCTACAGCCCCTTTAAAATATGGAAATCCTAAATGAAACGTTTCTCTTACCGTTTGACTTAGACACATCGAAAAGGTGACTGAGAATGCGATAACGAACATAACATACACCGACATAGCCTGTTGATGCAAAGAAACCAATAAAAAGCATTTTGAGATCTGGGGAGAGGTAAAAAATAATTTGTAAACGTTATCATTGTTATTATGCAAGTGTGGAAGACCATCAGAGAAAAAAACGCTCCCTGAAAAGCATGGCTCTTCCACGGGGGGATACTCAGATTTGGGCGGGGGTGTGCCGCTCAAGCCTCGAAACCCCTACCCATTATTAGGGTCTTTTGGGTCATTTTTCTCGAAAAAGGCTCATTTTCACAATTTCGGGTGTACTGAAATTTTGCAAATTTTGAAAAACGGACCCATTTTTAATGGTATTTATGTAAAAAGTGGGACCCATGTTTAGGGATTTTTCGTGAAAAGGTGACCCATTAGAGCGGCCCACCCCATATGTCCTAATAATGTGAGTACCCCTCCCCCAGGGGCTCTTCAAATGCCTTCACATTCTAAATAATTATGACAAGTAACAGCTTAAAAACGCGGCCCGATTTTTATGCCACATATTTGTGTAGTCCCATATACATCTTTCTGTGTACAATGCTTGTTACTTTTACCAAGACTGGGCCAAATTTCTTATCGTTTTGATGGCTCCAGAACCTTGCAGTACTCACTAACACTTATATGCTAGATTATCAACTATTTCTGATCGATTCCACACCGTTTCTTTCACACTGCAATCGTATGACCCAAACTCAACTTTATCTTTAAATCCAAGAAAAATAAAACATTGATGTTTATCCTAGCCCAAGTAGAAATGTTCCTATAATATTTTTGATCACATTACCTTGAGTAGAGATCGAAGGGTCTCCATAAACATCAGTACATAAAGCCCTGTTGTCTTGAAACTAATATGGGGGAAACAAAAATAAAACAATGTGAGAAATCACATATTAGATAAAAAGGTAGATCTATGTATTACTTGAACAACATGCATTTATGATTTTTAAAGTTACTGTAAATCGAACATCTCATTCGTAATTATATTCATGATTATGTTCTGGAAAGGTTTTATTTCCAAATAAAATTGAAATAGTGTTTCAATCTTAATATCTTAAAGGTGGTGATACGAGGAGTTCTGTGCCACGGCCATTTAACCGATTCGCGGGCGTTTCAGTGGTTGTATGATGTCAATCGCTTCTAAAAATGTCAGCAACATTTACAATTTTATTCAAAAGCGACAGATTAAGAAAAATACAAAGACAGGGCAAATCAATTTATTTGAAACAGTCAATTGCATCATCTCTCCCTCTCTCACTCTATCTACCCACTCTCTCTCCCTCTCTTCTTTCTTTCTCTTTCTCTTTTCTACCTCTCACTCTCTTCTGTGTTCTTCTCCCTCTCCATCACTCTCTGCCCCCTCGCTCCATTCCTCCTTTCTCTCTCTCTCTCTCTCTCTCTCTCTCTGTTCTCCTCCTTCCCCTTTCGCCCCCCTCTCTCTCTCTCTGTCTCTCTCTCTCTTTCTTTCTCTTTTCTTCTTTACCTGTCACTCTCTTCTGTGTTCTTCTCCCTCTCCATCACTCTCTGCCCCCTCGCTCCATTCCTCCTTTCTCTCTCTCTCTCTCTCTCTCTTTCTTTCTCTCTCTCTCTCTCTGTTCTCCTCCTTCCCCTTTCGCCCCCCTCTCTCTCTCTCTCTCTCTCTCTCTTTCTTTCTCTTTTTCTTCTTTACCTGTCACTCTCTTCTGTGTTCTTCTCCCTCTCCCTCTCCATCACTATCTGTGCCTCCCAATCTCTCTCTCTCTCTCTCTCTCTCTCCCTCTCTCCCTTCCTCCTTTCTCTATCTCTTTCTCTTTCTTTCTCTGTTCTCCTCCTTCCCCTCTCCAGCTCCCTCTCCCTTCTTCTTCCTATCCATCAGAGATATTGCAAGAAGCGTTCATACATACCCCTTGAAGTACATGATGAACTTCATCCATGAGAAGAAGATGGACATGATACCGGCTGTCCAGTTCCGATAGCAGAGCAATCTCCCCGGTGGGAACACGAAGATCATGGCTGTCACCAGGCATACCCAGTCTACCAGGTTCGATGTATCCGTGAAGTATTTCAGCCGCTTTAAATTCAAACAAAATGGAAACATTCGATTTGAATAACATATATCTGAGCCCTGTCTTATAAAGAGAGTTACAAATGATCCGAATTGATCGTAAATCCTATAATCAATCGAAAGCGTTTATCGACAGTCCCTCAAGGTAAGGCACCGAAATTCTTTTTCTTCTTCTGGACATTCTTCTTCTACGTGTTTTTCCTGTTCTTCTTCTGGTTCTTCTTATTCGTGTTGATGTTGTTGTTGTTTTTCTTCTTCTTCTTCTCCTGTCTCTTCTTCATCTTCTCCTCCTTTCCCCCTTATTTTTCTTCTTCTTATTATTATTTTCATTCTCCTTCTCCTCCTTCATATCCTTCTTCTTCTTCTTCTTCTTCTTCTTCTTCTTCTTCTTCTTTGTTTCCCTTCTTTATAATCTTCTTCTTCTTCTCCGTCTTTTTGGGGGGATGCTTCTTCTTATTATTATTCTTCTTCTTCTCTCTTTGCTCCTTCTCCTTCTCCTACTTCTTCTTCTTTTCGTTTTTTTTTCTTCCTTTTTCGGTTGAAAATACATACGAAAATAATCCTGATTATGATCAATGTCAAACGTGATAAGTCTGTCAGAATTGGTTGAAACGGGAATGAACCTTTTGCGTGTTTTGTATATTTAGTTAATATTTTTATCATCATTGAATGGTTTACATCAAAAATACTGAAAATAGCTGCCCGAGAACTGAGTTATATTCAGTTTACAATGAAAGCACATGAAATACAATGTTAAGACAATTATTACATAAAGCTTAAGAGAATACATTCAAAGATAACATATTATTCAAAAACTAAGTATAATTAAGACTATTCTAAAAGTTAACTCCTACAGCTGTGATATCGTATCTTTTTTAATACTGAAATCATATGAGAGAAATCTTGAGGGCAAAAAAACTAGTAATATTCTGTGACATTTATGACTTTCTTTGCGTATTAAATTCATCAAAGTACATGTCGAGATGAAAACACACGTAGGAACCAACATGTCACTCTTAATTCTTCAACATTTATTAAGCACGAGTATAACAAAAAAATGTTTCCGGAAATTAGAAAAACAATTTTAGTAATGCAAATGTGACAGACGTGCTACTTACCACGACGTACATTTCGCCCAATTCTCCAACGATAACAGATAAACAGTAAGCTAGTATCATGTATGACAAGATTGCTGGTGTGCCATCGGCGAAGTAGTAATAATCCGACTGAAATTGAAAGAAAATAGTAAATAGGTTAAAGGCATTGTTTAACAGTGTTTCCAACAAATCTGAGATGTATGGCCCTACGTGTTATCAGTGTATGTGATATGGTGTAATATTGAAGCCCTAACAAAATTGCGCTTCAAAATGATCATGAAGTGCTTCAAAAAAGTTATAATCTTTGACTTTGAGTGACCGGATTTACCATAATCATTTCCCGCAATAGACTGTAGTGTTATAATCAACTGTCCAAAACAGTTTGGCAAACAGTTTTTGATATTTCTAATTTCAACCATAAATATCATGATAATCGGACAGGCGATCGGTTTGTAAAAGTCATGGGATTCCGGGCTGACATAAAGGTTTATAATTATGATTGTAGCATGAGCTATATCCAGGATTTGTTTTAGAATCTGAGACAAAGATACCCGATCCTTATACTGCTGTCATGACCATACGTCCACACTCAACACAATTCGTTATTCTTTATCGAGTTCTACTTTGAAACAATGCCCAGACCCGTATTTCGTTATACGACGTTTCTTTATACGACGTATCGTTAGTAAGGGTACGCACACACAATTTCATCGTATGGCTATCCCGTTTCGGGATAGTTATACGATGAATTTGTTGTGTGTGGACACGGGGTTACGTACTTGGTCCACTGGCCGTCTGGTGTAGGTCTTGTTTTAGTGGTTGCTTAGAAGTCAAACCCGACCCCCCCCCCAAAAAAAAAAAAAAAAAAAAAATAATAATAATAATAATAATAATAATAAAAAAAAAAATTAAAAAAAATTTAAAAAAAAAATTAAAAAAAATAAATAAATAAATAAATAAAAAATTAACAAATAAATAAATAAAATAAAAAATAATAAATAAATAAATAAATAAATTTAAAAAAAAAATTAAAAAAATCCATGCCACCACATGTCGCAGTGGCATAGTGGTTTACTAATTCGACTAGCAATCTATTTTTATCTATTTCATTTATTTAGATTAGCCAGTGATTGTGTTACAGAAAGGACGTCCTTTTGTAGGGCGCTTTGCCTCTCCCGAAACAGGCGGGAAAAAAGGGGAATATATGTCGTAGCATAAATACATATCATGGGGAAGGAATGTATGATGCGTTCCTTGCATACTAGGAACACGAGGTGTTTTGTTAAAATGGTTTGAAAGCTATTTAACAAACTGAAAACAATATGTTCTTTTTAATAAAATTAAATCTGATTTTAAAACCATAGGGTGTGGTGTACCTCAAGGCTCGATATCGGGACCCTTATTATTTCTTATATACATGAACGATATTACTCATAAGACTTCATTGTGCTTTCTTGCCGGTTCCTCATTCGTATATGTATTTGTATTTTATGTTTATCTTTCGTTATGTTATTCGTATGTTCTTTACTTATCTGTAAATATAAATGTTATGATTATGTATGTTTTAATATGACGAAAGGAATAAAATGAATTGAATTGAAGTAGGTGACATACAAATACTGGAGCTTCAGGAGTGTTATACCATGTCAGACTGACATGAGCCCCAATATAAGAATCGAATGATTATTATGGTTATAGGACACCTAACCCCTGGACAACCACCCTCCGGATAGCCACCTATAGGACAACTACCCCCTATAGGACAACTATCTCCGGACAACTACCCCCATACATCTACCTCCTAGGACAACCACCCTCTAGGACAACTACCCCCGGACAACTACCCCAGACAACTACCCCCTATAAAAACCACACTCTAGGACAACTACCGATTGATAATTACCCTAAGTGGTTATTGTCCGGGGTAGTTGGGTTATAGTTAACATAGGTGGTAGATGTCAAGGAGTTATATGTCCTAGGCAGGCGCGTACGCAGGATATTTTCAAGGGGGGGGGGGGTTAACATTTATAAATCGGTCCGAAAATTTCGCAACGACTCAGCCAGCGGGGTTTTTTTTGGTCTCGAAATTTGACATTTTGCTCAGTTGGGGGGGGGGGGGGTAAGGTCACCTTTTAAAAAAAAATCAAAAGGGGGGTTTTAGGTTTTTTTAGGGGGGTTTACATACATAAAATTACCAAAGGGGGGGTTAACCCCCCCCCCCCAACCCCCCCCCCCCCCCCCCCCCCCTGCGTACGCGCCTGGTCCTAGGGTGGTTATCCGGGTGGTTATCCAGGGGGTAGGTTCCCGGATACGGATTATTATATTTCTCATCATTATTTTGCTTAATATTATCATAAGAATTAGACAATTTCTTGTTGTTGTTTTGTTGTCACTCTTGATGTTGCTAATATGATTATCACAAATATTAGTGCTGGTATCAAGATTATTAATATTATTGTCACAATCGTCATCATAATCGTCATTTAAATCATCGATTTCATCATTGTTAATGACACTATTATAATCATGACAAAAATAACTTCGTATACTTTTCATCCAAATTATTTTGGGCGATCATCAATTTTCAATCCCTCAACCCGAAAGAGGCCGGGCTATTTGAGGTCTTCATGCGGTCGGGGGGGGGGGGGGAGGGGCATTATGCCCCCCCCCCCCCCTCCCCTATGATCTCGGCCTAGGAAGGTCCAATTAAAGTGAAAATTTGCATGGTGATAGATTGAAGTATATTGAATATGATGGTAATGTTTATTTTCTTTTATGTTTATTTGTTTGTTTTGTATTAATATTTTTATGGCAATATGCATTTTTGGGAGGAAATATACTTACACACGCACATTTGTGAGAATTACATATTTTTATAGACATATGAAGATATTTTGTCACCTAACACCCGGACCTTAGGTCCGCCCATAACAAATTTGGTATCAAAATGTGCGGGAGACATGAGGGGGAAAAGTCATATAATTTCAGCGCCAAAGGTACAGGGGTTTTGATGCAGTGGCTACAATTCGACGGGAGGGGGGCATGATGGCCCCGGGTCTTATTGGGGTTAAAATAAAGTCAATCATAAATTTTATAGAGATAAATAGACCAATCTTTACCGAGGCGTCGTATATGTAGTAATCCGAGATGGACGGGGCTATCGAGGCGTTGAAATAGGGGCAGGTTGCGTCAACTGGCGAATATGACAGAAGACTCCAGAATGGAGGAAGGAGCGGAGCGAGGATCGTATATGTCGTCATCAAAGCCAGAAACATGATGTAGAAGAGAAGGTCTAGGTAGTAGAATATTCGGCCAAATCGATCCCTGGATTGAGAGAGAGAGCGACAGAGAGACAGATAGACAGATAGAAAGAAGGAATGGGAGAAAGAGAGAGAAATAGAGAGGAAGAGAGAGATATGGGGAGAAGGAGAGAGAAAGAGAGAGAGAGAGAGGGGTCGAGACAGACAGACATATATATATAGAAAGAGAGAGAGAGAGAGAGAGAGAGAGAGATGGCAGAATTGAGAGACACATTTGGTTGTTCCCCAGGTTCCTTCAAACAAAAAAACCTATCCAAGACAGTCTTAAAAATAACTTTCAATTAGCATGATCTTGTGTTCTATATTTGATAAAACTCGTCACGTTGAACCCCCTCAAACATCTCGCCCAAAGGACGTAGGCATAACAATACATCGTCCCATAATATTATGCCCGTTGCACACGAGACGTCATTTGGCTGACGTTAGACTGCGTCAACGATGGGCGTGGTCTCTGACGCGCCCTGTGAGAGTTACATCGTACACAAAGTGAATGCAACATGAATTTTGAAATACTAGCGTATGAGATCACCATCTCTGCGAGCCTGATTAGCGCAAGTGATAGCGCAATCAAATTGACGCTTCATGCATGTGCAACTGGCATTATAGAACGATGTGTTTTGATGTCAGTGTTCTCTGGGCGAGATGTCTATATCTAGTTAGAACTCAACATGGAATCATAAAATACTGGCCGTATAAGCAGTTATTTTTGGACAGTCTTGCAAAGTTTTAAGCGAAGGAACCTAGGGAATCGGGATTGTACCAGTTCCGTGATACTGCAAACATAATTGTTTATCACGAGTTTATCAGGTAAATATTAGTATCATGTCAAAAGTAGAACATTCTCTATATTCCCAAGTACGATACATGAAATGTCTCACAAAAGTGTCTTTCTATAGGTTAACGCTTCTTTTCTGAAAATGAAATAAATTTGATGGCTCATTTCAGACTGTTTTTTTAAAAGTTAACATTCAACAAAATATTAGTCTTTCCGTGTCTAATTCTGGAACATGAAGAGGCACAGTATCTTCATCAATATCTTGTTCCGTGCTAAAAATAAAATCTCTGGGAACATAAGACTAGTGTTTTTTATGTTTGTCTAATGTATTACAACTTATAGGCATCCACCAGAAAGAAACACAACGTTTGTATGAAGGAAATATTACGTAAGAGTCGATATACGGAAAGTAAGCAGGGAAATGGTCTCTCTCTCTCTCCAATCTGCTTGATGTCAGTAATCGTGAATTACGATCGAACCATTTGCCGTTCAGGGTCCCGTTTCATAAAATTCGTTATCAATAACAAGTGCTAAATTTCTATGACGAATTTGCTCTCAGCCAATCAAATGCCAGGATTTCAGTAGCTTATAACAGTTATTGCAACTTGTTATTGATAAGAATTTCAGGAAACTAGGGCCCAAGATGAACATATATTTACCATTTTCTCTTGAGGATGCTCTGTGATAACTCGTGGGCCAAAAGCTTCTCTCTTCCGTACATGCACATTGTCTGTGGGGAAAATAAAGTAGAAACAACTAAACAAATATATCTATCAGTATTTTGGTCTTTAAAAGAAGAGGGTATGGGGGTATATTTTGATTTTAAAGGGAAAGTTGAGTTATGTTATAGAGGGTGCTACACAAACTAATTTTTTCGTGAGATAATGAAAAACTGAGTGTCAAATTGGAAAGAGCATACAATTTAAATGACAAAATCATCTTTGTTTGCTCCAAATCGGTTAAGAGACGGCTGAAATATCCATAAATGTAACCATAATATTTGTGGGGCCCCACTTAAAGGCGTATATACCACCAAACGGTAGTGTTTTTGTTTCGTATTTACTTTATAGAGATTGTACTTTAAAGATATCAGTCCGTTTCCTTGAACATAAGCTTGTTTCAACCCTCCTGTTAATCAACTGATCATTACGATTATTTTGTTCTATGGAACCCATAAACGCATTTCTCTAAAGATCTTAAAAACATGATCTTCAGTTGTATTAGTCGATGTATGCTGGCACCCCGAACCACGCCCACACAAAAACACACGTATACGCACACATACACGCCCACACAGACTCCCCCTCTTTCCATACCCACCCACCCATCTTCCTCACACACCTTTACATGCATACATTACACACAAACAAATGCCGTGTCTATTTATTTATCATTTTTTAAATTGTGCCACAATCGTTCTCTTTGATAGACACTTGCCAGACATAGCAACAACTACATCAAGTAGGTTCCAACCATAGATATGCTACTGTGCAAAGCAGGTGAAATAACTAGTCAGTAAATAAAGATTATGGAGAGAAACATGCTTAAATCTAACTTGTTTGATAAAATCTTCAGACTTACCCTGATCGCGAAGTATCGATACCCGTTTGATTTGGTCGACTCGTCGTCTGGTCCGGGATCAATATACTGATACTCGTATTTCACCTTCGTAGAAAACCGTACAAGAGAATTGAATAAATGTCGGCTTGATCTCAAACGTGTGTATTTTAAAAGTGAAAGGAGGAAGAAAGGTCGTGGTTCAAACAATTTTTTACTTTATTCTATGACTATTTTTGTCAGGAAATATTTTGTTCTCCTTTAGAATAGAACTGTTGCAACTTTTTAGTCGTAGGTGGATCAGCGATAAATTTGCGCAAGACCGCTTGCACTAACATCACCTGCCTCGGGTGTTGCATCTTTTACACCTATCTCAATTCTCCTTTGTTAAATCAGTAACTTCTTCTCAGGACAATTCGACTAATTTACTCAAATTTATATTTGTCTATACTTTTCATCCGGGACTAAACTCACGTGATACGATGGGCAATTGGGGGTCTTGTATGTCTTGTGAACGCATCGGTCCATGACGAGGAGGGCGACGTCGGGTAGCTTTTCGATGAGGGACTTTATGGGCGAGATCATCAGCTCATCCTTGCTCTGCATGGCAATTCTCCAGCTGATCAGGAAAAAGATAACAATAGTTGCTATCAATACCACAGTGAGGCTTTGATACTTCATTTCAAAACTGGGAGATATCGTCACATAGCGTGTATAGAGTCAGAATTTTACAACATTCAACAGTCGATATGAAGGTTTGTTATAACCATGGTGATGACAAACAATGAAGAAGTTATAAACTAACCAAACCCATAGCTCTTCATCATGTACATGGCATCGTAGAAATTAGACCAAAAAATCAGTATATTTCGTTCAAAGGATAAATTATGTTTAGCTGAGACTACGTGTAGCTTTACCAAATACCTTTCCAATATAATCTTGGGGATCTTTTAAACTAGTTCAAGCGGACGGGTTTGAATGTCTACGTAAGGATGTTTCGTACTAATGATTACTTGAACGAATGTCAGCTTAATCATCTCATTGCCCGGCTAACTCTGTAATTTGAGAATATCATAATGTATTTTAAAGAAACACTACCACGTTGTCAACTTACTCTTTGCTCTTGATGATAGCGGCAGCAATCTCGCCCTGTTCTTTCTCGATAGCCAGTTCTAGTGGGGTGAAGCCGTCGTTGTTTGATGCCGACTGGTCAGCGCCAGCCCGGATCAACAGGTTGGCTGCGGCTATGTGGCCCGCGTCACAACACACGTGAAGAGCGTTGTTCTGTGGATTGGATACGGTTAACCATTACAAATTTTTCTTTTAAGAATAAAAGAAAAGCCACCTAAATAATGGGTCTATCATGGAAGAAGACGTGTTTTTTTCTTGAGAAAGGAAGCGCTATATATTGGTGAATTCTTTGATCTTGCAGAAACTAACACCGGCAGGGGCGGCGCTCCACGTTTATAATTTGAGGGGCGGTACCAGTGCATACAGGGGCGTAAATCCCGGGGGATGGGGGGGGGGGCTGCATCCCCCCTGGCTTAAAGTAGGGGGATGGCCTGTACAATCATCCCCCCTGATATTGCAAAAAAAAGAGAGAAAAAAAAAAGAAGAAGAAGAAGAAGGAGAAGAAGAAGAAGAAAAAAATGTGATTATTTCAATTTTAGCATAATACATGAGAAATTAGTTATTTTTTTAATGTAAGTATAACTGTATAGCCTACACGGATATAGTATGTCACGATCATTAAGAGTAATTGCGCGACGTGCGCGAACAAGCACTTCATAAACTTTAGAATAATTTTTCGTTATTTTGCAAGGTATTATTATAGCCCAGACGTAAAGTGCGCCAGCACGCGAGCGCTTAAAAAGTGCAATCATGTACAGTAGATGCCCGGCTCCCCCACTTAGTATTATTTAGGTCACGCGTACGCTCGTTCCCGCCCTTTAAAAGCACCCCCACCCTATCTCAGGACTGCCAACATTTCTGAATCCCCCTTTCGCCGGCTTTTCGCTGGCTTTTCCTACCTTGGAGACCCCCCCAAAAAAAATCCGGAACACTGCTAAATGTACAACCCCCCCCCCCCCCCCCCAATTTCAGGTGAGCTCTAGTCGATCGAGGGGGACTGGGGCCAATGCTTTTACTTTTCAAAATGAAATCATCCTGAATGAGCTTTCAAAGCTAGCAGGAATTTTAGGAATTTGATCCCGGGATTTGATCAATTTTTCTATGATATTCAAGATATTTTATAACCTCCTTTTTACATTTCACAGGAGTCCAAAGAGAGAGAGAAAAAAACCACCCCCTTTTTAAAGATATTAAGAGTAGAGAACGGTACAACGAATCGTCTTCTTTCTCCAATGATTTTATGAAACGTAAAAGCTTCCGCGCTTCGCGCAGGAGGGGGGGGGGAAAGGAAAAACTGAATTCAGATGAGTATTAAAAGTCGAGAACGGTACAACGAATCGTTTTCTTTCTCTAATGATTTAATGAAACGTATAAGCTTCCGCGCTTCGCGCAGGAGGGGGGAAGGGAAAAAGTGAATTCAGATGAGGATTAAAAGTCGAGGACGGTACAACGAATCGTCTTCTTTCTCCAATGATTTTATGAAACGTAAAAGCTTCCGCGCTTCACGCAGGAGGGGGGAAGGGAAAAACTGAATTCAGATGAGGATTAAAAGTCGAGAACGGTACAACGAATCGTCTTCTTTCCCTAATGATTTAATGAAACGTAAAAGCTTCCGCGCTTCGCGCGGGAGGGAAGGGGGAACTGAATTCAGACGAGGATAATTTCCGAGAACGGTACAACGAATCGTCTTCTTTCTCTAATATTGCTTGTTGTTTGTTCGTTTGTGTGTGTGCGTGTGTGTGTGTGCGTGTTTGTTATGTGTGTGTGCGTGTGTGTGTGTGTGTGTGTTGTGTGTTTGTGCGTGCGCGATCGCGCGCGCTTGCGTAAATTAGTGTAGGCGTGTTCTCGTGCAAGTATGTGATGGCTATCGCCGATCATCCCCCCCCCCCCACTCCTCAGTACGGATTTACGCCCCTGAGTGCATACATTTACGTTTAATTACTAAGTGGGGCATCAGCCTCACAACCCCCCTCCCTCCTTCGAGGCTCCAACACCCCTAATAGACACTCTTATAATTATATTGACCTTTCCAACTCCCTGATTTACCTTATCTTTGTCAATAGCATGGATGTCGCAGTTGTGTTCGATGAGGATGCTCATTGTTTCCACGTGGTTGTTGACTGCGGCTAACATCAATGCTGTCCGATGCTCGTCATTGCTGAAAATAAAGAGAAATAAATCATACTTTTCTCAAAATCTTGATATAATTTCATCTTCTGACAAGCCGTCTTCTAACATTTATCATGTTACCCATCCCTACTTGTATCAATTCTTGAGTGTCGCCTCATTCGCTTTAACACATCTAACTTTAATTTGGATTTCAGAATGTAGGCCTAATCTACCTTTATAATTCGTATTTAATAACACTACATGTACTTTCATGTAATTTCCTTTTCCCGATCATTTGAAGTGATGAGCCAATTCCGCCCCTCCCCTCCCCTTCCCCGTTTAGACTGGAATTCCCTCCTGCTTATCAATTTCTGATCACAGCACTGATGTTCCACAAATGCTAAAACATTTACAAACAAACGTAAATTTAAGAAGTATCTACAGTAAATTCTGAGTGAAAAGAAATAAAACTACTTACACATTGGTGATGTCGGCGCCCATCTTCAAGAGCTGCCTGACCAAGTCATGACGACCGAAGAAACAACTGGTAAGAAGAGGGGTCATACCATCGCCATCATCATCATTGAGAAGCATTGGGGTGTGGTCCAGGAGCTGCCCCACGCAGGCCACATACCCCGCCCTAAAAGGGGAAACAGAATGAAGGAGGAGGGAGGAGGGTAGGAAGTGTAAAATTAAATTAACTAAAACTTAAATTAAAATTTGATTTAGAAGCATTGGGGGTGGGGTCTAGTAGCTGATTCATACAGGATACGTACCCTGCACTTAGGGGGATGAAGGATATACGAGGAGAGATAGGATAGGAATAGAATTAAAATGGGGGTAAACTGCCATTTTCCCAATGTCAATTTGTGTCCCAATTTGTCCCGTCGCGTTTCGTCTGAAGCTCAATCGTCCATTTTCCACGATGTCTCGTCATCTATCACTTGTCCCTCTGTCAGTTGCATTTAGCCAAACTAGTAGTCTTATGCGCGTTCGATTCCTCGCAATCTGGTCCCACAGAACAATGATGGCCATAGATCACATGGGGACTTGGTCACACCGGACCTTAACAGTAGGACTAATAACGCAGTCGATGAATGGAATTATACATCAACGGGTCTGCTTAAGCCACCGAGATCCCTCAGTCAACAAGTGGTCTCGTGGGCCGTCTGCCAATTCTTTTTCAGAGGTCACTCGACCGACAGATCACCAGACCAACTTATTGTCGGTCTCGTGGAAAATTTGTCTCTACGATGACCCCCAGATGGCTATCAGACATAGGACCATTATGCCATCGTGACTTATCTGTCCATTGGTTTCAGTTGTGGAAATATGAAGAGCAAGGACTTACTGAGCTGCGATGTGGACCGGTGACTTGCCAAGGACATCACGAATTTCTCCTTCAGCTTCGTACTTGATCAACAGCTTGATCATCTAAAAAGGAAAAACAAATTGTAGGTATTTTTTTTCTTCGTTTGAATCTGTTGAGAAACTACATCACACAGGAAAATCAATATCGTGCAAACATGAGAATGTGACACAATGGAAGATCTTTGAGATATTGTCTCTTAAAAGGAGTCAGACTTTTGTCAATACTTGTTGTACGTGCGAAGAAGAAAGTTGAACGTTTAAAGTATCTAATGCAAACAATCATATCAACTGTAACTGAGAGAATTGCATAATTTTGTCGTTATTGCTAGAATATCCAGAAATGAAATTATACATAGCCGAGCATACATCCTACAGTAAAGACTGCATATATCATCCAAATATTATTACTTGTTGTGGGGCTCGTTTCTGTTAAGACCAATGATTATGAGACTCGGTAGCAGATGCGGGGGTACATTCGTCCTGCCCCCCCCCCCCCCTTCAAAGGCATCCTGGTTCTTACCCTGATGAGACTAAATGGTAAACTCACTCAATGACTGTCAACTGCATGAACTTGAACCTTTGTCATTACAACAGGAGGGCAACCCTAACATATAATGATTTTTAAGCATATAATACCCTGGACACGCTTAACATGAGCAAAACACTTGAAAGCGATGGCTTTAGGACTTACATCTACATTGCCAGATTCTGCTGCATAATGGAGAGGTGTTTGGTCGTATAGATCAGTTGTGTTGATGAGGCCATACCCGCCGTGTCTCAGAAGAAATTCCAGAAAGCTAGGGTGGTCCATCTCTGCTGCCCAGTGCAAGGGAGATTTGTGATGAACGTCGAATACTACATGAAGAGAAGAAACGATTATGAATAACGATTGTCTTCATGACTATTGTAATGATCAAAAATTGAAAAGTTTTTGAACTGTCATATTACTAGGAAAGTGTACGTTGCATACACAAACTAAATTTGTCATGCATCTTTTTGGGGGATGGCAGGTGCTCGTTATACTATTTTTTCATCATTGAGAATTAAACGTTATATTACAAAGATTCATGCACAAATCGTCATAAACCAGCATAATTGTGTACTTTATAATGCTACTGTTGTCATCATAACTATCGCCATCATCATCATCGTTGTCGTCACCATCATCACCATTACTCTATCCATTATATTCAGCATCATCCGCATTATCATCACCATCATATTCTTCATCGTCAACATCATCATCATTATCGATCATCATCATCATCGCGATTGCCGGTACCATGATCATTATGCTCCTCCCCTCCACTTTCCCCTTCTCCTGCTCACCCTCCCCTACCTTCTCCTCCTCCTCCTCCTCATCCTCATCATCACCATACTCATCATTACTATCATTATTTTCAACGCCATTATCATAACCAACAACAGGTGATGATCACCAACATATCAAAGTCATCAACTGTTTAGCAGTTTAAATACGGATCGAAGTCAATCAGGTTCGAGAATATAGACTACATACGATTTGTAAAGTGAAAAACGGCTATCTTTGAATTATTTTAAGAAGATGCTTAAACGTTGTTATGAAGTTGGGCGGGTTCTTTCTATCAAACACAATAAATTCGTTGTATAACTTGGTAAATGAATACATGTGCAAGTGCAACTGATGTAACATTCTCTGTTTAACCGATATGTCACAACATGTATTTTGTTCAAATCTATCGTTTTGTTCTTGCCCAAGAATGATTGAAATAAATAAATTCTTTGGAAAAAAATAAAAATTTACCGAATACTTGAGCTCCTCGGGTTAGTAGGAGTTCACCAGCCGGTGTGTGACCTTTCCAAGCTGCGCAGAGCAGCGGAGTAAAGCTGTTATTATCGACATCGTCGACCACGGCTCCTTCGTGGATCAGTACAGCCATGGTCTCCACACGGTTGTAAAGCGTAGCCCTTTAAATTTAAGATTTCGAATTTATAGACCTTTAAGAGTAAGTGGTGCCATTTGCTTAAAGAGAAGATACATGTGTTGAGCATGAAATATCTGGTGTGAATATCTTACCTTGGTAATGAACGTGGAAGCTAACCCTAACCCTCATCCTAACCCGAAACTTATTATCGTAACCCAAATCTCTATCCTAATACATACCTTACTTATTATAAGGACCGCAGAGACAAATGGGTCATATAACTAATTATACATGGACTTACCTCTGTATAATGCTTCGATAACAGTCAGCACCATAAAATGGGTAATGTTACACAAGTATGAAAAATATCAATTCATGCAAATGCATAGGGAGATATCAGCGGTTTAAACATATCACGTGAAGCGAAGTTTTATCTCATATGCACCATGATGCTTATATCTGACAAACATCCTGGATGTACCCGGTTTCACCAAGTGCATCATCAAAGATATTAATTGATGTCTATTTATAAATCTAACCTGTGAAGCGGTGTCATGCCTTCGTTGTCTTTCATCTCGATATCGGCTCCGTTCTCGATCAGCTGCATGACGGTGGTCGTAGCGCCGTTCATAGCCGCGATGTGGATCGGAGTCATGCCGTTCTTCTTCCTCACGTTCACGTCGACGCCGTTGTCAAGCAACCGTTGTATGACCTGGGATAATATAAGACAAAAACATGAATCAAGATTGTCTTTATTCATGCTCCAGTAAACTCATTCCCATTCAGTCTTTTGTAGTATTTATGGGGGTATTTGTTACCAGATTTCACCTTCTTTTACTTCTCATATTTATTTTTGTCTAATAAAAATTATCTAACAAGCTCTCTCTCTCTCTCTCTCTCTCTCTTTCTATCTCTCGATTCTTCTTATTTCTGTTTTGTGTCAGTTCTTAATTTCGTCGATTCTATTTACTTATATCCTTTACACATTCGAAACACATCACTCCGTGATTTTGAAAATAATAATTGATATTTCAAGCCTTTCGGCTCTTTGACAATGTTATTACATGCATATCTTTACTGCGTTAAGTTTAGTTTGAGGGTACAGTAGGAATAATAATTATAAAGCAACAACTTTAAAAGCGCAATTAATACGCAAAAACGAAATGTTATAAGTTTCAAGATGTTTGAAAACAATAATGGCTACCTCTGTTCTTCGTTTGGAGACTGCTAGATGTAAAGATGTGTTGCTCTCATTGTCTTCATCCATCAGGTAGTTACCGATTGGAATGCACGTCCTTTGAGCTGGGTCAGGATATGATATATAGTGAGGAAAGCACATGAATATTTGTTGACGCATGGCATATATTTACAGTGAGAGGACCATCTCCTACATTGACAATTAGTACGAATTGTATCTTATGCCTACATTCGTTAACATCCCCTAATCATATCTTTCATCTTCGTACCCATTTAAACTCCGAAATATATCCATAAAGCTGAAATTCTATAAACTTTGTTTCTTCTATCTTCAAAACTAACTTAAAAGTTCTGACATATAAAATCAGAGGCGTATCCAAATTCTTCTTCTTCTTCTTCTTCTTCTTGTTCTTCTTCTTCTTCTTGTTCTTCTTCTTCTTCTTGTTCTTCTTGTTCTTCTTCTTCTTCTTCTTCTTCTTGTTCTTCTTCTGCTTCTTGTTCTTCTTCTTCTTGTTCTTGTTCTTCTTCTTGTTCTTCTTGTTCTTGTTCTTGTTCTTCTTCTTCTTCTACTACTTCTTCTTCCACTTCTTCTTCTTCTTCTTCTTCTTCTTCTTCTTCTTCTTCTTCTTCTTTTTTTCTTCTTCTTATCCTTCTTCCTCTTCTTCTTCTTATCCTTCTTCCTCTTCTTCTTCTTATCCTTCTTCATCATCTTCTTTTTCTCCCTCTTCCCCTGTCCTCTTATTCTTCATTCTTCTTCCTCTTCTTACTTCTTCATTCAGTCTATGCTTGGTATGACACCAAAAGTTACTATTTTACCAAATAAAAAAAAGTATGCAGTAGGCCTACCTGTTTCCAAGAACATGTCGATTAGGTCGACATGACCATTCATTACCGCCTTCATCAGCGGCGTCAAGTAGTTAGCGTCTTTCGCTCTAATGTAGGCCCCCTGGTCGACCTAGGGAACGATAACCGACAACGTTATTGATTATGGTGATGGAGACGATGTTGATGATGATGGTGGTGTTGATGGTGGTGGTGTTTTGTTGTTGTTTTATTTCAGGGCAGTGAAAATTCTTTTTCTGAACAACATGATCTAATGCTAAATATATTACTCATTGCGGATGTAGTATCGAAAATAATATCGCTAGTGATATTCGTTTGTCTCGCAATGTATGGTCAACAAGGGATCTAAAGATCACGACGTTTCGTGCGCCGCTGCAACACTTCGTCAGGTAATAAAAGCTAATGTAAGCAAGCGTGTTTTATACTCTACGGGCGGATCCAACGGTCAATTTATTAATCACACGATCTAATGCTGTAAAGTTTTACATATTATTAATACGTAACTGTTAGTGTGTTTTTATTAATAATAGCAAAATTACCCATAAAATCGAACAGGCGGCTATAGACCTACAAACTTATGGAAAAAGAGGAAATTGAAGTTTTAACTAAATTTCATTACAAGTTGAAATGATTGCCATATATTCGAATATTCGTTATTTAATTAATTATTAACTATTATAATTGTGTTCATAAGTTTATATCATTTATATTATATCTGATTTTGTCGTCATTGTATACGATATGTATTTCAGTAATTCATGCATAATTAAATCTTTAGATTAATCGTGTAATTTATTATTATTGATTGCTGTAAAGCGCATAGAAAATTTATTATTATGCGCTATATAAAAATGATTTTATTATTATTATTATTATTATTATTATTTACAAAGGAAGACGTGCGCTCAAGTGTTGTATTTTTTGACAGACAATACTTGATAAATTAGAATGAGATTATCACACACAAAAACACAGATAATGAAACCAGGCGCGGATCCACGGGGGGGGGGGCGACGGGCCCGGCCCCCCCCCCTGGCTTTTTTTTTTTTTTTTCATACAAAAAAAAAAAAAAAGTTTTCAGGGTCAAATACCAAAAAAAATTATGCATACTACACCCCCCCCCCCCCCCCCCCCACTGAGCGAGATATCGGTAGGTTCGATTTCCACATTTTCGGGGTCATATACCAAAAAAAGTGATGCTCCACTACCCCCCCCCCCCCCTCCCTCACTGAGCGAGATATTGCTCGGCACGATTTTCACATTTTCGAGGTCAAATACGAGAAAAAAAATTGTGATCACTACCCCCCCCCCCCCCACACACTCAGCGAGATAATGATCGGCGCGATCTTCACATTTTAGGCCCCCCCCCCCCTATCGGCAAATCCTGGATCCGCCCCTGAATGAAACTATATGTATATACATAGACGAATATTTCGATGAACTTACAAGTAACTTGCAAACCCCCACACTTCCGTTCACCGCAGCTAGGTGCAGAGGTGTACAATCGTCTTTATCTATGGCGCTCACGTCTGCCTTTCCTGATTTTACTAGAATCTGAACGAAAAGGGTTAATAAAATAAAATTATGAATGGATCGTTCCTAGAAAAATAAAACAAAGTTTATGAATACTGATTCAAGTTACAGAAACAATGATTATAATCTCAGCCTTGACGTGATTTAATTTGATTCAATAATTTCTATTTCGTTCATAAAATTTGCGATTTAATTAAATTTATTTCGTTAAATCACAAGATTTAATATGTGCTGACCTCGAGAGTCGGGAACAAAATGTTTTTAATCCGTTTCTCATGCATAGGAATTCATGGCTTCATGTTTCTTTTTTAATGCTCGATGTCTTGCAAAAATGAACAAACATGCACGTTGACGCTTATAGAAATTAAAGCTTTTGTTCAAACACACTTAATGATAGTACTGTCACCACTTTTAAGATTTTCAGATAACGTCATCCTTATACTGTAAATACGTCACTACTGTACTGCTACAATGACTTTTTCATATTTTCATAGCAACTGCCGTTGATGTAATAGAGTTGCACTTAGTCATTGATCATAATCACCATCTTTGACATGCATGGTAGAATTATCATCGTGCATCCATTTCGTATCATAACCATGGTCATCAATATCATCATCATTACAAGCATCATAATCATCATCATCATTATGGTCATCATCATCATTATGGTCATTATCATCATTATCATAATCATGATCATTATCATCATCCTCATCATCATCGTCCTCATCATTATCATCATTATAATTACAAGCATCATAGTCATTATTACCGTCATCATCATCATCATGACCATTTTTTATTATCATCATCATGACCATCATTATCATCCAACAATTTCATTACCGTTGAAACCTCAACATGTCCCCTCCGCGCGCTGATGTGAAGCGGTGTCATCTCACTGGTCGTTCTTTTATTGACATCGGCGCATCGTGCTAGGAGGACATGGGCGACGTCGGCGCTGTTCATACGAGCAGCGGCATGAAGAGGGGTCGCCTTGATGTCGAGCTCGGTCACGTCCACATCTGTCGAGGTGGTCGTTAGAAATGAGATTACAAATTTAGAGATTTGAGATTACAAGTCATGAAGACACATGGATACATGTAGGTCTGTTCTGTTCTATTTATTCGTACGATTCAAACGGGTTTAAGGGTGACAAACAGATTGCACCCCCCCCCCCTCCCCCCACTCAATGGCGTAGCTTGTGTCCATCCATTGAGGGGTACTGGAATGATTGGGGAGGGCCATGATTTTACTCGGAAAAAAATCAGTGCGACTTTACGAGACTACTGATTAGCGGGAGGGTGTGGGGTCCATGCATCTTCTTTTCTCGCCCTTTTCCCTTCACCTTTTCCCTTTCTCTCTTTTTTCTATTTTTTAAAATCTTTTGTTTCACTGCTCGATGAGGGAATACGTGCAAGAACGCCTCAAGTAGCTACTGCCCCACTCAAAATAGACAGTGACATTATCAAAACTCTGATAATATTGAGGATATTTCGGAATCTTTAAATCATGCAAATCTAGGAAGCATTTATGACGAAAACATCAACTAGAATATCATTCTCGACTACGATTTTTTTTCTTTTACGCAATAATAAAGACGAGGTTGACCAAAAACACTTTTTAAGATTTAACATAAACTTCTGACAAATGGCAACTGTTCTTCATCCGTTACTCATTGCAACACTACAAAGTGATGAATTATTTACCCTTTCTCACAATTCTTACTAAGCGTATTTATAGACGATTGAGAGTAGCCATTGTGTGAAAAATCAAACTGATTCTATGGTTTCACTCCATTTAATACAATAGTATTTTGTACTACTGCAATTAGTTGGGGTATTGTTAAACTGGTGGCCAGTTTATATTGAACGATTAGTTCATACGGATCGTTGGTCAACAGAAGTTACGACTGGAATTTTTTGTAGCAATCATTCATTTGCGGAACAATCGATTGTGTTTCGGGTAAGTAACAACAAATTAGTATTGTACTTCAACTTATGCCTCCCCCCTCCCACACACATTCACACAGATGTAAATGCTTGCTACGGGTATGGGGTATAGTTTCTAACTTCCTACCAACCTGTAAATAATATTATTACGGGAGAAAAATGACATGGGACGGTAACATTTCAAACGTTGATATCTATGTTATGTCTTTATATCCTCTCAAAATGTTAGAAATTGTCGAGATTTTATCAAGATTTAGTGTCAAATACCTGTGGCGGATCAAATATTCTCTGACAGGGGAAGGCGCAAATGCCCTGTTGTTTCGCCGCTTTGGGTTTTAAGGCCCCCCCCCCCCCTCCCCCCCCACCGCTTCGTTATACACAGTGTGAGTAAAACTATGACAAATTGAGGACTCTTCTCTTTTTTGTAAAACATTTGATAATAAAAACATTCATTCAAAGGCTCAGAATTGAGTTACAACTCACTTTTCCCAGAACTACCCCCCCCCCCCCCCAAAAAAAAACTGCCCCGACACTTCATACTTTTACAATTTACCTGCTCCTCTGCTAAGTAGCTCTCTAGCGATAGAATCCCGGTTGTTAATTGCCGCATGATGGAGTAATGCCAAGTTGTTCTTGTCGAGTTTATTCACGTTAAAAGAAATATTCTCGTCTAGAAGATTCTTCATGTCTTTAATGTCGCCGTTCCGAACAGCCTAAGAAAAGAATTAGAAAGAAGACGTTATAAAGGCCCAATTCGGGCTATATCATGACTCGAAAAATTGTTTCTTTGACATTGTCATTAATTGCCTAAATAGCTCTTGGTGAAAGTTGGTTGTACAGTGTTTATTGTAATGATTTGTAAACGTGTACTGTTTAAGTTTAAGATAATTGTTGTAAGGCGCCATGACCGACTGTACCTGGGGGCATAGGCGCCCGAAGTGGGGGGGGGGGGGGGCAAAACGGATTTTTGCCCCCCCCCCCAAAAAAAAAAGAAAACCCCAGAGCTTACGAGGGCTCCGCCCCCAGACCCTACCAACGGACCTAAGACGGGCCCCTGGATGCTCATCTGACCGTAATTAAATACCTAAAACCCCCGAGCTTCCAGGGGCTCTGCCCCCTGGACCCCAACAAGGGCTCTAAGGCGGGCCCCTGGATGTCCATCTGTCCGTTATTAAATACCTCAAACCCCTGAGCTTCCGGGGCTTTGCCCTCTGGACCCCACCAAGGGCCCTAAGGCGGCCCCCTGGATGCTCATCTGACCTTTAATAAATACCTAAACCCCTGAGCTTCCGGGGGCTCTGCCCACTGGACCCCACCAATGGCCCTAAGGCGGGCCCCTGGATGCTCATCTGACTGTTATTAAATACCTAAAACCCCTGAGCTTCCCTGGACCACACCAAGGGCCCTAAGACAGCCCCTGGATGCTCATCTGACCGTAGTTAAATATTAAAACTTCTGAGCTTCTGCCCCCCCCCCCCCCTGGAACACGTCAATTGCCTTACAGAGGGCCCCTGGATGCTCATCTAACCGTAATTAAATGCCTAAAACCCCTGAGCTTCCGGGGCTCAGCCCCTTGACCCCTTCCCGAGGCTCATGCCCTGGAACCCACGCCAATTTACGCTATACCTGATCGATAATACTCCACTTTGAAAAACGTTCCGCGGGACCTGCATGTAACGTGTAAGACTGGTGGTGATGCAAATTTTTCGTCTGCCCCCCCCCCCCTTCCGAACTTTTTTTCTCATAACGTCACTGCCCCTGGAATGTGAGCCCCCTGGAATGTTATTTGCCCCCCCCCCCCCCGAATCCCAAACTGCTTCCGGCGCGCCTGCCTGGGGGATACCGGCGCAAAAGTGGGCCAGGGAGGAACCAAAGTGCGCCAAAACTCATTTGGGGGGATTTATCTTTTATTAATCCAGAGGAAATGTTTGGATTTCCAGGGATTTCCGCTTAAATTTTATTACCAACATTTTCTCTGATGTCTAAGCTTGATACCAGATTTGGCTGCCCGATTCTGCCCGTTATTATGTTAGAGCCGTTTTCCTTGCAACATTGCACCGAAAAATGTGTTTATTTTGGTCCGCGGTGTCAGAACGTGTGTCACGCGCCCCCACGCGCCGTGATTTATGACCGCGAATCCTTCATGATTCAGCCGCGGACCTAAAAAAACACATTTTTCGGGGCAATGTGGAAAGGGAAATCGGCTCTAACATAACAACGGGCAAGATCGGGCAGCCAAATTTGGTATCAACTTAAAGCTTAGACATCAAATAAAATGGTGGTATTAAAATTGAAGCGGAACTCTGAGGAGATCTAAACATTTTCTTTGCATTTTTAAAAAACATGGATAATTAGTCCATTTTTCAGTGAATTACCCTAGAGTACAGGCGCGTACACAGGGGGGGGGGGGGGGGTTGGGGGGGTTGAACCCCCCCCCCTTTGGTAATTTTTTGTGTGTAACCCCCCCCCCCCTAAATTACCCCAACCCCCCCCCCTTTTGTTTTTTTTGTTTTGTTTTTTGTTTTTTTAAATTTAAAAAAAAAAGATAAAAATGGCCGACCTCAACAAGATGACCTTCCCCCCCCCCCCCCCCCCCCAACGGAGCAAAATGTCAAATTTTCAAATTTCGATACCAAAAAAAAAAAAAAATAAGTGTCCGCTTACCCCCCCACTGAGCGACTTTTCGGCCGGCGCGATTTTCAAATTTTCGGGAGCAAAATATTTTGGGCCAGATTTTAACCCCCCCCCCCCCCCCTTGAAAAAATCCTGCGTACGCCGCTGCTAGAGTATATCATGAAGATTTTAACCCATTCATGCAACGAAATGAACTATCAGGAATATGTGAGAGCAATTTCATATCAATATTACCTAAAAACTACATGTTAAATTGAAAGATTTATAAAATAAGTCACTTTTGCACTAAAACTGTGAATATGTAGGATTTTGCTGTTTCAAGGAGTAAATTTATACCCTTATTGTGCATACCGGAATTAAATATTTTACTGAGGGATTCCTCAATGTGTTACCTTTCCTGGGCAAGAAAAAAGTTGAGGAAAAAAATCACCAAAAATGAATTTTGGCGCACTTTGGTTCCTCCTTGGCACACTGTGCGGCGCTGTACGGTATAAACAGCCACTACTATTATCATTATCATTACCATTATCATTATCATCACTTATATTATCATCAACATTATTATCATTGTTTGTATCTTTATTTTTTAATTAATTAAACAAAAATTATATGCTAGGGCTTTTCTTTCAATCTCTTTGCGAATGTATAGATGACAAATGATTATTGTAACTTAAAGCTTATCTGCCATAGTTTACAGGACGGATTAGACCGCCCTACAAGGTCACTGGACAGGTGGTTTTCTCATCAACTTAGCTCTCAGTTAACATAAGAAAAAGAGGATCATGGGGGACCAATGGTCACCGATTAGGCATTGTTTGTTGTATAGAGGGCGCAAGTAGCTACAAGTAGTGCAGTGGGCCTTTAAGTTCTTTTCATACCGCGTCAAATGAAAGATGATAACATGCAGTCGATACGAACCATTAGACTTAAGATTAAATTCAGATTTGTCTCACCTCTGTCAAATTTACAATGAGCACCGGTGAGTAGACTTTATTCAACCTGTTCCTCTTGGTGGTTCTCTGAATCTTTGACTTGACATCCTGGAAGAATCCTTCTTTGGTCCTCTTAACGCTTCGTATCTCCTCCTCGATGACCGGATCGACAAAGCCTTGGTTTGCCTTCCCATTTCCCTCGACTTTTGCTGCAGGGTACGTTCCATTTACAATATGGGCAAACGATGACTTGTTCTTCTGTCTAAAATCGAACTTGGAGTTGGAGATGACCTTTCGCGATCGCTCGGGACGGCTCTCGGTGTTGGTCGTGAACTTGGTCGTGGCGGCAACGGACATTGCCGAGGGTTGCCGAAAGCCGACTTCGCTGCTGAGGTCGTTCATCGGGATCTCATTCTCACCATTCATGCTCACGGTCGTGTCGTGGTTCGTTGACCTCAAACGCGGTCCGTTCGAGTTCGTGCCGACGTTCGAGATTTCGTCATCCGTCAACGCTTCGGATGTCGAGGTAAGAAGTCGCGACGGCATCAATGTCGAGACCCCGATGATGGTACTGTCGTTGTGCCTGTCGCGATTGTGAATGAGATGTCGGAAGTCATTACTGACGTTGATGTTGGTGTCATCGCTGCTGCTCGATAGACTGGTGTTTCCCACTTCCTGTTCCGGTTCATCCAACATGTGCCTTCTATCCATATCTGATGGAAGATTAAAAACCGTTTACCAGTGCATGAAATTGGCGATTGCATGTAAACCTCTTCCTCTATATTTTCCAGTTCCAGATCATCTAGTTAAATCCATGACAGTGTTGCCAGTAAGCTGTATATGCATGTGCATGTTATCCTTTCCTTGTTCCAGATAAATATATCCACCTTAGTCTCCGAATTTGTTCCTAGTAACTTATTATTGTTTGTGGTACGCTTGCAGGAAACTTCAAAAGGAAGTGATATACTGTAAGCCCGTTCAGCATGACCGTACAGAGAATGACGGAGAAGCGGACAAGAGATCGAAGCCCATCAGAGCGGGGGAACCATACAACCATGGACCTATGACAATGCATTTATTCTTAGCAGTGAGGTGGACTCTCTCTTGCGTCTTTTGTTCTGAATAGAAAAGAGAGAGTTTGCTTAAGGTATCTGTTCATGTGTTCACTTGCGATGACGTAATCATATGACCTTCGTATCACAAGAGGTAAATATGCAATCACTGTTATAGCCTGAACATGCCACAGATATGACATGGATCACGATATATGATAACACTTTGAAAATTCATCCCTTTCTGATTATACATTTATATTATTTCATTCATTGGAAAGGTGATGTTACGTAATACAAGTAAAGTGACATTAAACTTGCCTGAGAACCGATGCTCAGTCAGTGCCCATTATTCACTGACTATATTTTTTTTTTTTTAAAAGAGAATATAGTTGGGGGGAATTAAGCAACATCGTTGAGGGACACAAACACGTCACGCCACACCCCAAAACGTTCCGAGGACAACTTTATATAGACAAGTCAGCCTTGATAGAATGTTAAGGATAAACAAAAGGAGTAAACAGACAAGGATGAGAGAGAGAGAGAGAGAGAGAGAGAGAGAGAGAGAGAGAGAGAGAGAGAGAGAGAGAGAGGGGTGGAGAATAGACGAATATCAGCCCAAAACTATGAGCATTTAATATTATTGTTTAAAAAGAACTCTTGATGTTTGAAGATCGGATTTCATATTACACATGGGGACTACTTCTGAGCTTGCCTATAGCAAATGGTTAACTCAGATTTCGATGCGTTTAGTTCTTGCTCATCTTAGTTCCAAATACATACATCAAATCGAATAAACCGAATACTCGCTCAAAAAGTACACTGCATCAGGCATCAGTCAAATGGATACCTGGCAGGAATTAATTCTTCGAGATGCTATAGAGCGCCGTAATGGCAGCACAGCTAAAGCCGGGGTAATAATCTCCAAGTTTGGAAGCGCTTAGTGATTGTATTAAGCGCTATATAAAAATTCAGTATTACTATTAGTATTATTATTAAAACAGTAGTCCGGAATCTGACCGATTCAATTTTGATCTCCACCACAACCACGCGATGCTACCCCCCCCCCCCCCCTATATACTTACTTGCTGCCAGCCGAAGATGGCGTGATCCCTGCGAAAGACAAAGCCACAAAATAGTGTTTTGCAAAAATAGTCAATATTGTGACTAATTGCCAAACAAAATCAAATCAAGAAAAAAAGAAGAAAGAAAGAGCGTATTGGTTCCTTGATAGCGCCATCTTCGGCTGCTTGAATCAACACGTGCAAGGAATAATAAAGAACTGGGCTAGTACATATTTCGGGCGGTGCAAAACTTTCCGAGGAACTAATACGTGTAGTTACAACATGCAACGTTAGATTATGTAATCACAGTCCATTGACCTCGATGTTTTGAATACAGAACATTACATAGTGAATTTGTTTGTGTTGACCTATTTGTCTTCCGATTGAACAGACAATATGTTTGTCCTATCAGAACATAAAGTCTCGACTAGATTTCCTTAAGGATGTTAGAGCGCAATTTAACAATATAAACAATTTAACGGCTTGACGACTTTCAAAATGCAGTATGTGTGTCTACCCCCCCCCCCCCCTCATAGGTAAACAAAAAAGTTATTAAAAAAAATATTTAAAAATCCCTTTTGGAGCTAATTAGAATGCTACTGGACGGAGTTGTAATGTAAAGTAACGCTCAATCATTGAAATAACATAAAGGCCAAAGAAAACAGTATCCATTGCGTAATGATGGTGACATAATCATATGCGTTCGAAAGGTAAACATCTTCGGTGTTATCATGCAGGCACGTACGCAAGATTTTTTCAAGGGGGGGGGGGGGGGGGGGGGGGGGGGGGGGGGGGGGGGGGGGGGTGGGGGGGGGGGGGGGGGGGGGGGGGGGGGGGTGGTAAGAGACATTTTTTTTTTTTTGTCTCGAAAATTGAAAATTTGACATTCGGTTCCGTTGGGGGGGGGGGGAGGTCAAAAAAAATCCAAAGGGGGGGGGGGGGGGGGGGGGGGTTATGGGGAGGGGGGGTTTACACACATAAAAATACCAAAGGTGAATGCTATATTAATTATTGGCAAATAACATATAGGCTTCGGCATCCCTATGACATGACTACGTACGCTTGGATTTTGAAAGAAATTTAATCACAATATAATGATTTCAATTTAAATGTATCACACCGAGCTCCCAAAATGGTCAGTTGAAAAATAAACCAGTTTACGATTGGTACATGTCCCAAATGACCCCGAATATCCACATATCTCAAAACATGAAGAGGTCCCACTTTGTACATTTTTAAATAATCACTCCTACAGCGATGAGGTGCTACATACATACCTTTGTTTCCCCTTCTCATAGAATCCTTCCACTTGTGTATCATGTATTGCACTACGTGTGCATAAATGAATAATGATTACATAACTTTCATGAGCACGTTTCCACTTTTGTCTCCGTGTATTTCACAATTTGGTCTGCAATGACCTTTATCTGCTCATGCTCAGACTGCAACTATGAACTGGCTTATTGTTATCGAATTTTCATGGTATTGTACGCCTTTCAGAGAAAACGCAAAACCAGCGTATCAATGACCATTAGTAAGATTGTTTTTTCTCCAATTTAAAGATAAACAGCAACCTGTAATTTTGATAATACTATTCATTCGACAACAACAACAGCAACAAATAACATGATTGCAAGTGTTTGTATGTATAATTTTTTATTAGATTCCACATTTCCCCCAAAACAATATTACAATAAATTTTCATGAACAATAATATGGTAAATTTATGAAATTGACATTAAAAAAACGCGTCAATGGAAACAAAGATGCAATTTCAAAAGAAAAAAAAAATCATCGTTTGCATGATTGATTATGTCTGGTGCTAAAAACAACAGTATGTGCTTATTTATTTCTGGTTTGAAATCATGTGATCATTCTCAAATAAATATAAAATGCTTCATACGTGAAGATGACAGAAGACTGAAGATCCTTCGAAGAGATTCTGCACTAGAACATTCAAATTACGTAAATTACAAAATAATACTCATTTCAATTTGATTAATAATTTTGCTTACGAATCTGCCATTTTTTGTTAAATTGCTACGAACAATCTTGATGTTAGACATAACATATTATCATTAGTACGGATAATTTTGAAAATGAAGACCAACTCAGGCCTTCTCAACTGGCGGCGCGCGCGCCACTTGTGGCGCTTGCGGTCAGTCGGAGTGGCGCACGACTGTTGCAACAACAAAACAACAAAACAGAAAGCAAGCAAATAGACCAATACTCAGCGAAATCAAGAAGTTGCAGTCGAATTTGAGCCCCAAATGCCTGCTTAACAAACAGGAAGAAAGGGGAATTTATCGTTTTGTACCATTTTATACGAATGTAAACCTAAGGTCTGAACAACAATTAGCTTACGATCAATTCGATGGGATACCAATTTTAACATTACGTATCTCTGGAAACATCTTGTTTTTGTTTGTTTGATTTTCACTTTATTTTGACATTTCCCGTGTTTATTGCACACAAAAAACTACATATAGAGTCAAAATATACCTCCAGTGTAATTGTACCCAGGAATTGTACTAATTTTTTCACATCAAAACGAAATTATGATTGATTATATTGTGAAATGAAATGGTGCTAAAAATGCCCCATTTGGGCCTATAGAAAGCCCTAAATCCAACAGCTTCAGGGGCTTCGCCCCTGGACCCCAACGATTTTCGGCTCGGTCGCTACGCTCCTTCGCAGCACAGTCAACCATACAGGGTGGCACTTCAACTACAAATTATTTTCGTTTTGGCACTTCTAATAAACTAGTTTAGAAGGCCTGATCTAACTCATATTAAAAAAAAAATACATTACATAATTAGTTATATGATATTTGGGCAAAAAGAAAAATGGCTCGGCTATTAAATCATGGTGCTAAACTCTTTTAATTGCTACATTGTACAAATTGAATCATTACTGGTGCGTTTTTTTTCAACCGCAATTAATAAGCAGTATATGTAAATTAGAATAATGATTGCATAACATAAACGCAATAAGCAGTATATGCAAATTAGAATAATAATTGCGTAGCATTAATCCTTACAAAGAGAATCATTGATTGATATTTATGCAAAAGATCATTTTCGTAATTTATTCAGATTTAATGCATAAAATCTTTGCCAAGTGTCTCTTTACAAATTATTTCATTGGCCTGTTACGAATAATTCGATTTCAATAGTCAGAATGCGAATTGCACCATTACGTGTTATTATGTAGGACTAGGACATGCAATAATGTTTGTGTCACCTAGCAACAATTAATGTATGCAACTCGCATTCTGACTTGAAAAATAAAAATGTTCATAAGCTGAATTAAATATTTTTTAGCAAGGCACTAAACAAATAATAATAATAATAAATATTTAATTTTTATATAGCGCTTAATAAAAATTTCTCTCATAAATTTGTGCATTGAATTTGATTACATTACGAAATTGGTCTATTGAAAACTATACTTATATACTGGTATGGTAAAGTAGATCTTTTATAAAATAGGGTGAATGCTAGTAAATTTGACGGATATACATGTATCGTGTTCTCTATTATTTTACCTATATTCCCTTGACTGTATAAGGCAAACGGATGAACAAAAATGCAGTAAAAAGACTACATACAAATAAACACAACTTCCTCTTGTTTTAAAGGCCGTCTGTATTAGTTTGGCCAGGGGGGATTAGACCACACAGCAAGCCGAGCAAGGTCACTGACCGGTTGCTATCTCATCAACTCAGCTCTCAATTAACAAGAAAAAGAGGATCATGGGGGACCAACAGGTACCGATTAGGCATTGTTTTCTATATAGAGGGAGCAAGTACCTACAAGTAGTACAGTGGGGATTTAAAGCTTATCTGCCGAAGTTTATAGGAGGGATTAGACTGCCCTGCAAGGTCACTGGACAGGTGGTTATCTCATCAACTCAGCTCTCAGTTAACATAAGAAAAAGAGGATCATGGGGGACCAATGGTCACCGATTAGGCATTGTTTGTTATATAGAGGGCGCAAGTAGCTACATGTAGTGCAGTGGGCCTTTAATATTGACTCTTTCTTTCTTTCTTCTTGGCTTCTCCAGACGACCACGGTTTATTACTACAATTTCTTTTGTAGTTTATTTTTCGTTTTTTTCTAATCTTTCTACTCTTTTTCTTTTTGGTCAGGATTTCTCCTTTACCACAACGCAGAAGATATCGCATTGTCTTCTTACTTTCTATTTTGTGTCTTTCTTCATTAAGTCTTTCTTCATTAAGTCTCTCTTCATTAATTAAGTCTTTCTTACACTAATTTCTTTCTATCTTTAGTAACTTCTGCGGATGAAATCATGACGTCTCCCGTCAATCTTTATTTATTTATTTATCCTTTCAATCTCTCCTTTTCTTTCTTTCGCAAACTACACAACAGACGACGACGGATTATCGCCCTCATCCTGATCGTCGGGAGGATCGTCGTAGAGTTCGTCCAGGGTATCGAAATCCTGCGACTTGGCTAGCACGCCCTCTTTGTCCGCTATTCGTCGAAGTATGTCGCCGTGCTGCTTGATCATAAGTTTCAAACTTGACATCCTGGAAAAAAAAATGGACAGTTCAACACATATTTTAAAAACATTTTAAAAACATTGGGTGATATTATAAAAGAAGGCATTGTATTATCATTTGCATTGGCCTATTGTATAAATCTCTAATAACTCTACACAATACAGTGCATAAGATTTATGAATAGAAAATTTGGAAGGGAAAGGCTTGGCTGAATATAACTCTGAAAAAAAGACAGATCTTTACATCCATCTAGGAAAAAAGGTGAAAAAAATGTTGTTTTTGTTTAAATAAAAATTGGTGAATGATGTGCTGAGGTCCAGTCAACGTAATATAAATAAACTTGATACATTAAAAAAGAAAATGTGAGTTAACATAACTTTTAAAGCGCAACGTCACGTAAAAAAATAAACCAATTAAATAAGATTCTCACGTGGATTTATGCTTTTGGAGCTCATCCAAGACATGTTCTGCGGTCCTGGGCACCGACTTGCTGTCCTCCTCTATGAACGCAGTATCTTCCTTGGGAAAGAACTGTATGGTTGTAGAAGAAAAAAAAAGCCATGTCTTATTCACGATTAAAACTGCTTTGTACATGGATCGATCAGTAATTGTCGTAAACACGATTTTAAGAGGTGCTAGGCATGTGAGCAAAGAGCCGAGAGGCATGGGCGTCTATCCATGTGGTAAAACGCCCCATGAGCCCACTTTTTTGAAACACCGCTTTTATCGATGTATTTAGATTGACGGACCGACTGACATGTGGCGTATCGAGATACTGACTATTAGGCGACAATATGTGTATAACCAGGCAGGAAGGGACTCCTTAAAAGAGCAAGCGGCATATTCATTTTGTAGAGCTGATCTATTTCGATAATTTTTATCTTGTAAACGTACAGTATAAACTGTGCTGACGTGATACCAACGGAATACAGATTTCCACATTACTTACTTGTATATTTTGAAGGATATTATGCGAGGAAGTGTAGCGACCGAGCGAGAAGATTTTTGTATTTTTATTAGCCTAAACGTTGCACTCTTGGGCCCTCCGGGGCCTAAAAGTGTGTTGCAGTCTTTAGTCAGTATTTGCTATACATTTATTGTGTGCACTTTTGCAAATTTTTCCGGGGGGACGTGTGCCCCCCCCCCGTCCCCCGGGAACGCAGCCCCTGGTTATAACACAATTTGGCCGGCGTGATGAGTCTATGTTTTATGTAGAAACAGAGAGTCACTCTAAAGATGTAAAATTACTGTTCTCTGGTGTGAAATAATGAAAAAATGACTATCGCTTACAAAGAGAACATAAATAAATAAGACACTAATCCAAAACAACGAAGTCAAGAGAAGTTTAAGCGCAAGCGCCATGAGCGACCGGCAAAAGCGGATACCAACGCAAAAGAAGAAGCCATCATCATCATCTTTACATTAGCACATCCACCACCACCACTACCATCATCATCATCACCATATTTACATCACCAACACCACCACCACCCCATCACCATCATCATCATCATCATCTTAACATCACCACAACCACCACCACCACCACCACCACCATCATCATCATCATCATCATCGTCATCTTTACACCACCACCACCACCACCACCACCACCATCATCATCATCATCATCATCATCATCATCTTTACATCACCACAACCACCACCACCACCACCGCCACCATCATCATCATCATCATCATCGTCATCTTTACATCACCACAACCACCACCACCACCACCGCCACCATCATCATCATCATCATCATCGTCATCTTTACACCACCACCACCACCACCACCACCACCATCATCATCATCATCATCATCACCATCTTTACATCACCATCACCACCACCACCACCACCACCACCATCACAACCATCATCATCACCATTATCATCATCATCACCATCTTTACATCACCAACACCACCACCCCATCATCATCATCATCGATCATCATCATCATCTTTACATCACCGCAACCATCACCACCCCATCACCATCATCATTAAAATCATCATTTCTTACCCATAGAAGGAAGTTTGGCCTGTTCTTGCATACTTTCAACATGAACTCTGGTTGATAAAGATATCTCTGAAGCCAGAGGGGAAACTTCCCTTCCAGATGATACACGTAGTCGGCCTAGGACAAGATAAACCACCGTTAACACGTTGACTACTGAACCCATTCATTACCGTAGGGTTAATACAGGGGCCACCTGGTTCCAGTAGGCAATCGGTTAATATCTTCAAATTACGAGAATTTTTTTTTTTGTATATAAAGTATTGTGAAATTGTATTCGCTGCGTGCTATACGAGCTCCATAAACGCCGTGTTTGGTTTTAGACTTGGTGTAGGCCTATACGCCTATAAGTGAAAATACTGCTCTCTTTGCAGTCAGGTAAAATAAATCATCTAACCAATGAAATAAATGTTTTTCATGACCCAAACACACCTCCCCCCCCCCCCCCCCCCCCCCCCTTAAAAAAAAAAAAATAATAATAATAATAATAATAATAATAATGATAATATTATTATTATATTTATGCATAAAAATGAATAAATGATGCAAACATTCATTAAATGAGAAATACAAAATAAAGAGATGACTTTGAATGTTAGAACATGTCCATTCACTTTCGACAATTTTAATGCTATTTAATCTGTTATAAATCTAGTTATACAGACACGACAGATATGAAACTAGAGTAAACATTTAACGAATTACATAGTCTTATTCTTTCTGCATAAAAAGGGAAAAGTTAAACAAATTAGCGATGAACAAAGATGCAGATGATGGTTGCTGATGCGTCAATCGTAGCCAATGTGTCTCATAAAATGGTGCAAAAATGGATTGAATGCATGCCCACCACACGGGAAATTGTATTTTACCTGAATAGAATACCTCTTGATGAATGCCTTCTTCTGAATCTCGTCAATATCACCAACTGCGATACCGATCTATCCAGGGTGATTTAAGAAAACCAAATTTACATCATTAGGAAATATCACTAAGTAAAAATACAGAACAACCTATACAGAAATCAGAAGAAAGCTCGTTCTGATGAGCAACATTTAAAAATGTTTATCAATTTTCGTATGACTTTTGGATGCCTTACGGGTCGAAAATTCTTCACGGGATAATTTTTTAAATGTATTCAAGGTATGTCATATGGATTTTAAGAGGGGGTATGGGCCGGCTGTGCCCCGATCCCCCTCCCCCACCCAAAATGATAGATCTGAACTTAATTGTTGCCTTGTGTTAAAGACCGTCAATACTACTGGGCCAGAAGGAATTAGACCACACAGCGAGGTCACTGACAGGTGGCTATCTCATTAACTCAGCTCTCAACTAACATAAGAAAAAGAGGACCATGGGGGACCAACAGGCACCGATTGGGGAAGTTTTCTATAAAGAGGGAGCAAGTAGTTACAAGTAGGACAGTGGGGCTTTAAAATTCGATGCTACTCACCGTCAGGTTATTGAGAACCATTGGCATGAGAAAGAGGAAAGCAACGAAGAGAAGATAGACCTCGACACCGTAGGGCCCAAGTGACAAGTCTTCGTTGAAGATATCGTCCTTGTTAAACTCGCCCAACATCATCGTGATCACAGTCAGGAAGGAAGATGTCACATTGGAAAACCGGTACTAGGGACAAAATAAACATTATCGACGAATGAGAAATCAGCTCAGAGGTAATTTTAAGATACAATGAAGCCCATAGGCGCCGGAAGTGGGGGGGGGGGGGCAAACCCCCCCCCCCCCAAAAAAAAAAAAACCCTCCCCTCCAAAAAAAAAAAAAACAGTAAAGGAGTAAACATGATTTGTATTTTTAATCCAAAAGAACGTAACAATAATAAAAACCTGAATTAAATCACATATACAATTCCATTCAAAGACAAATGAAAGTTCACAGGAATTAAATTTCATAAACATTGCGCATGCCACCTATACGGTATTTATCAATGGAGGTCTCTATAATAGCGATACGCGCATATCGTGGACATATTGTGCGAGAATGGGAAAGCGTGTCCGTTTTTTTGTTATAGCTTATAGGGGTGAGAAGACATGAGCCCCTGAACGCTGGCGCACTGATGGGGGGGGGGGGGGGTTTATGTATTTACTATTCGAAACAAGTGATATACAAATGTTGATGTTGTGACATGATTTTCCGGCATTTTTTCTCCATTTTTTTTGTAAGTCATACCTTTTTATGCGTTTGTTGGAAAATAAGAAATTCCCAAATTACAGTCAGGCGAAATACGCTAATTTAAAAGCCTTTATGTCATGGTCTGCAAAGTGGCTGGGCTCGAGCCCCCCCCCCCCCCCCCTCCTTTTTGAAAAAGTATGTTAAAAAGAAAAAGAAAGAAAGACGGAGAAAAAAAATAAGTGACCTGCCAATGTCACAAATAAGTATAAAAAATGCTCATCTGACCGTATTTAAATGCTTAAAACCCAGAGCTTACGAGGGCTCCGCCCCCGGACCCCACCAACGGACCTAAGACGGGCCCCTGGATGCTCATCTGACCGTAATTAAATACCTAAAAACCCCGAGCTTCCAGGGGCTCTGCCCCCTGGACCCCAACAAGGGCTCTAAGGCGGGCCCCTGGATGTTCCTCTGTCCGTTATTAAATACCTCAAACCCCTGAGCTTCTGGGGCTTTGCCCTCTGGACCCCACCAAGGGCTCTAAGGCGGCCCCTGGATGCTCATCTGACCGTTATTAAATACCTAAAACCCCTGAGCTTCCGGGGGCTCTGCCCCCTGGACCACACCAAGGGCCCTAAGACAGCCCCTGGATGCTCATCTGGCCGTAGTTGAATATTAAAACTTCTGAGCTTCTGCCCCCCCCCCTGGAACACGTCAATTGCCTTACAGAGGGCCCCTGGATGCTCATCTAACCGTAATTAAATACCTAAAACCCCTGGGCTTCCGGGGGCTCAGCCCCTTGACCCCTTCCCGATCAATAATACTCCAATTTGTAAAACGTTCCGCGGGACCTGCATGTAACGTGTAAGACTGGTGGTGATGCAGATTTTCGTCTGCCCCCCCCCTTCCGAATTTTTTCTCATTACGTCACTGCCCCTGGAATGTGAGCCCCCTGGAATGTTTGCACCCCCCCCCCCCCCAATCCCAAACTGCTTCCGGCGCGCCTGGTGAAGCCTGTCTATAAAGACCACCCGAGGGAGACAGAAAAGTGGCCATTATAGGCAGGTGGTTTTTAAGTACAGGTGCCTATAGTACATGTTTCAATAAGAAACTATTTTCAAGGGAAACAAAAAAGCGGTCTTTGTCGACAGGTGGTCCCTAGTGTACTAGTATATGTCATTGTAACATTTTCAAAGGGTGACGTACGAGGCCATTAAAATGAATACGATCGCAACCACTTTCGAAAAATCACCTCAAGGGCGTTTTCAAGATACTATTGTAATTATATCCCATATAAATAATGTTCGAATTCCGTAATATGTCGTTGCAACGTTCGCACGTTTCCAAAATGTGACGTATACAAGGCCTTTGGATGTCCCTATGTTGATTTTTGGAAAGTATTTGCGATGGTGTTAAAGGTGGTGCAAGTAGATTTCAATCGAGATCTGAATTGTTTTGCTTTGACCCCACGAGACAAACTTCGATTTTGTTTGATTGTTTAGAATATATACTACACCATATTACAAGGGATGGATATTAGAAATTCTATTCCAACATTGCCGAAACTTTGTTTAGCATCTTGTTGATGATGAGAAATCTAGCATTTAATGACAATTTTCTGCAGTCATCACGTAATCTATTTCAAATATCAACATCAATATCATCACTTATCTCTAAGTTGGACTGAACAATTATGGAAAGCCGTTAGCATCTATGAAAATATTTTGTAAAAATTATTTCAAAAGGCATAAAATGTTGATTCAAATCATTCATATTTTCTATTATCAAGGATATTTCATATTTTTGACGTGGAATTTACAAAAAGTCTAAAATACTTTCGTTTTTCAATATATTATATTTTAGGGCTACAAATGGCTCTCTATAATGTTTAAGTCCAACTTAGAGTTGAGTTCGACTTAGGATCTTTGTGAAACACCCCCTGAAATGATAAACTCACCACTCTCCTGAGGCAGATTTCAAATGTCACCGAGAAGGAGACGACGAACATGATGTACACTGACATGGCCTGTTTCATAAAAAAAAAAAAAACATTCATACAAATTGGTATTTGGCTGGAAAAGAGATGAAACTGGCAAAGACTGAACACGATATTTTTTTCGAGGCTTTTGCCTGCGTCTATATACACATGCATCAAGTAGATTATAATGGAAGGCGCCGCTGGACGACGTCAGTGCATGTAAATACTATAGGCGCCATCCCACATACAACCGGCACCATTCCACATAACTCGGCACTATCCCACATAAAATCGGCACCATCCCACATACAATCGGGGCATCCTCACATAACTCGGCACCATCCCACATACAATCGGCACCATCGCACATACAATCGGCACCATCCCACATAGAATCGGCACCACCCCACATACAATCGGCACCATCCCACATAACTCGGCACCATCCCACATACAATCGGCACCATCCCACATAAATCGGCACCATCCCACATACAATCCGCAACATCCCACATACAATCGGCACCATCGCACATACAATCGGCACCATCCCACATACAATCGGCACCACCCCACATACAATCGGCACCATCCCACAAGACTCGGCACCATCCCACATACAATCGGCACCATCCCACATAAATCGGCACCATCCTACATACAATCGGCAACATCCCACATAAAACCGGCACCATCCCACATACAATCGGCACCATCCCACATAACATCGGCAACATCCCACATAACTCGGCACCATCCCACATACAATCGGTGCCATACCATATATAATCGGCACCATCCCACATAACTCGGCACCATCCCACATACAATCGGCACCATCCCACATAACATCGATCCCGGGGGGGGGGGGGTGGGGGGATATATCCCCCCCCCCCCCAATATTTCAGGTGGGGGTATGGCCTGTACAATCATCCCCCCCCCCCCAATAATTCACCATCACAAAAAAAAAAATAATAATAATGATGAGAGCCCGATGAGAGTACATGTAATGAGGAAGGGGAACTTGATTCAAACAAGGATTAATAGTCGAGAACGGTACAACGAATCGTCTTCTTTCTTTAATAATTTAATGAAACGTCAAAGCTTCCGCGTGAGGGGGGGGGGACTGAAATCAGACAAGGATTAAGAGTCGAGAATGGTACAACGAATCGTCTTCTTTCTACAATAATTTAATGAAACGTCAGAGCTTCCGCGCTACGCGCGGAGGAAGGGGAACTTGTTTCAAACAAGGATTAAGAGTCGAGAATGATACAACAAATTGTTTTCTTTCTTTAATAATTTAATGAAAAGTCAGAGCTTCCGCGCTACGCGCGGAGGAAGGGGAACTTCATACGAACAAGGATTACTAGTCGAGAACGGTACAACGATTCGTCTTCTTTCTCTAATAATTTAATGAAACGTCAGAGCTTCCGCGCTACGCGCAGAGGAAGGGGAACTTGATTCAAACAAGGATTAATAATCGAGAACGGTACAACGAATCGTCTTCTTTTTCTAATAATTTAATGAAACGTCAAAGCTTTCGCGTTGGGGGGGGGGGGGAACTGAATTTAGACCAGGATTAAGAGTCGAGAATGGTACAACGAATCGTCTTCTTTCTTTAATAACTTAATGAAACGTCAGAGCTTCAGCGCTACGCGCGGAGGAAGGGGAACTTGATTCAAACAAGGATTAAGAGTCGAGAATGGTACAACGAATCGTCTTCTTTCTTTAATAATTAAATGAAACGTCGAAGCTTCCGCGTGAGGGGGGGGGGAACTGAATTCAGACAAGGATTAATAGTCGAGAACGGTACAACGAATCGTCTTCTTTCTCTAATAATTTAATGAAACGTCAAAGCTTCCGCGTGGGGGGGGGAGGGACTGAATTCAGACAAGGATTAAGAGTCGAGAATGGTACAACGAATCGTCTTCTTTCTTTAATAACTTAATGAAACGTCAGAGCTTCCGCGCTACGTGCGGAGGAAGGGGAACTTGATTCAAATAGGATTAAGAGTCGAGAATGGTACAACGAATCGTCTTCTTTATCTAACAATTCATGAAACGTCAAAGCTTCCGCGTGGGGGGGAACTGAATTGAGACAAGGATTAAGAGTCGAGCACGGTACAACGAATCGTCTTCTTTAATGAAACGTCAGAGCTTCCGCGCTACGCGCGGAGAAAGGGGAACTTGATTCAAACAAGGATTAATAGTCGAGAACGGTACAACGAATCATCTTCTTTCTTTAATAATTTAATGAATTGTCAGAGCCCACTACCGCCCCCTAAAATAAAATCCTGGTTACGCGCTTGAGAGGATAATAACCCAGGTAGCAAGCTCATGTGGGCCCCACATGGGTCCCATATTCTCTGAAATGTTATCTTTATTGAGGGTGACTTGAAAAAGTTAATAACTTGGAAGGGAGGGGTGCAACCTGCCACACGCTTCTATCTCTTGGTTGCTTTGATCCATTGCCGAAAATATTTTGGCCCCTTTCATCCCCCCCCCCCCCCAACCACGGATACAAATCGACACCCCTGGCACCGTCCCACATAAAATCGGCACCATCCCACATAAAATCAACGCCTTTATACATAAAATTGGTGCCATCTTATTCAAAATTGGTGCCATCTCATTTAAAATTAGCGCCATCTCCCAAAAATATACGCCTTCATACATATAATCGGCGCCATCTCATATGTGTTGCTGCAGGAAAAACCAGCTAAATGCTGGCACAATTTAATTAGGACATTAATATCATGCAGTACATATATGATGAAACTTATCATTAAATTCTTATTTCCTCTCTTTGACTATTGAAATACAATGTAGGTACTCTCTAGCAATGCCCTTAAAAACAATATGGCAAATTTTATAGGTTCGAACCCATGATAGGATGTGTCTATGTGAAATGTATCTTTTCCACAATGTAAGTATGTACAATGGAAAGAAATCTTAATCAACATTACTATTAAGTCTCGTTCTCTTGATGTGTGTAGGCGATATTTTTAAACTGCTCAATACAGCTTTAGCATAATAGTGGTGTGTTGTAATAAAAAACACATGTATCGAATAAGTAAAAGTAATTTGATTGCAAAAGAGATAGATTACATACCTTTAGCAAGGAAGACAGAGTTTCCATGAACATAAGTACATACAGCCCAGTGGTCTTGAAACTGAACAATGAGGAGAAAATGTTACAGATTTTAATCAACTGTACTGTGATTTAAAAAGCAGAGGCAGGGGCGGATCTAGGTGGAGGGGGGGGGGGGGTTCAGCAGTTTAAACAAGTGTTTAAAAAAAATACTCGTTACACCCCCACCCCACTCTCTACTGAGCGAAGTATTTGTCGGCGCGATTTTAAAGTTTCGAGGAGCAAAATGATTTGTTTGGTATTGATTTTTCGAAAATCCTGGATCCGCCACTAGGTCAAACCCCCCCCCCCCCCCACCCTTGGCAAAAAGCTCGATCCGCCCCTAAGAAGGGTATAGGGTTAGGTGTTCTCGGACCAGACACCACCCGTAACACAAAGAGTTGCAATCAATCGCAAATTGCCTTGGGCATTCAAGAGCCTAGTTCAAATATGCAGCGGTAAACCGCGGCGGATTTTTGTTATGATGACGTCAGGCGTAAAGTGTAACACGCTTCACATTTCCTATCTCAACACAGAGCTTATTGAATACGCATATGACCTTTGTTGCACGCAGTTGCTATTCATTTACGAGTAAAACAAAACATCGCCGCTGTTTTGCGGCGGTTTACCGCGATATATCTGAACGAGCCTTAGACTACGTGTCTTTCTCGTGGACTGGCTCGGGGCGACGCGACCGCAGCATTATAGGTGCGTGCAACATACGCGAAACCGAAGCGTGAGGAGAACTTCGGTCTCTTCCGCGAACGCTGACCATGTAGAGATTAAGTCGCTGACTACCATTAATCAAGTCCATTCATTTACATGCAGTTGTCCTAAAGAAGGCGTAGATGGCGTTAACCAGTATTTGTCACACGGCTACACGGCCTTTAACATAGGTGCCCCCAATTATTCAAGCACTCCCTTAAAGGACAACCTCAAGCTACATCACTATGAAACAGTCGCAAAACACCTACCCTTTGAAGTACAATATGAACTTGATCCATGAGAAGAACATGGCGATAACTCCAGCTATCCAGTTATAGGGGCATGGGACCTTACCCGGCGGATACACGAACACAGCGGCGCTCACCAGATTCAACCAGTCTATCGTGTTTGTGACGTCCATGAAATATTTCAACCGCTTTAAAAAAAAACACGAAATGAGACATAGAAAATATAAAAGACGAGAGGAGAAAGAACAAAAACGGTCAGAGGTAGAAGAAGGGAATGGGAGGAACGCTTTCATGTACGGTGAAAAACTCTGCAAACAATAAAGGAGCACCAGAAGGTTTTTCACAAAGACTAAGATCGACTTTAAGTTGGACTTAACTATGGCAAGCCGTTCATGCCACTGTTTGTTCTCACCAATATGATCTTTAGATAATATTTTTCCTTCAATAATGAATATTCAAAAATCTAAATTCTGTTGATTTATGACCATGATGTGCACGTCCCTTGAGAGACCACTGTCAGTAAACGGTAAGAGCAAACAGTGGCATGACTGGCCTGCCATAGTTAAGTCCAACTTAAAGTCGATCTTAGTCTTTGTGAAACACTCCCCAGGAGTAGCAAATTGACAAGACATGAGCGCTCTTCGAGATCTCACTTTTATTATAAACACGAAGGGAGATGGCTGGAAACTGCAGGAGAAAAGCAATTGTTGGGAAACTTGCATCATTTTACATATTAAGGTTGCTATACTTCTTTAAAGGAACTTAATTACAAAATAAAACACACATTTTCCATTAGTTGTGTAATAGCTCTCGGATGAGATAATAAAATCCAAACAACAAATAATAAAAATGCAGTCGAAGAAACAATCCTTGCAAAACTTTGCATGAATTTACATAAGTTGTTAGGAACTCAATTCCTAAATATAATTTGTAATTAGTGGTACTAGCTCACCGGATTAGCTTAACGAATCCATATAAAATGTCCTGTACAATCTATTCATTTAAATAGAAATAGTCAGAATTTGTACAACAAAAATACATATTTACTTTGTTGCCCATAAAGTCGGAATAATCAATAATGTTTAGTTCTTTTAATTAAATAATTGCAACAATAATTCTTCAAAGATGATTTTCTTTTCCCAGAACCTCCATACACTATAGATTGATCAATAAAGTTTTGAAAAGATATTAACTTTATCCCTCAAGAATAAGTCACGATCACTTCAATAGGTTAAAAACATTCCAACTTTATGGGCAACGGTGTCTATATGCATATAATCCCAGGCCTGGGGTTGTTTCATAAAGACTAAGATGGACTTTTAGTTGGACTTAAATATGGCAGGCTGTTCACGTCACTGTTTGCTCTCACCATAATGATCTTTAGATAATATTTTTTCCTTCTATAATGAATAATACAAACATGTAAATTCTGTAGATTTGTGACCATGATTTGTACGTCTCTTGAAAGACCAATGCCTCTAAAATTTGAAAGCAAACAGTGGCATGAACAGCCTGCCATAAGTTAAGCTCAACTTAAAGTCGATCTTAGTCTTTGTGAAACACCCCCCTGATATGTTTAAGATTGAGACATACCACTACGTAGATCTCGCCAAGTTCTCCTATTACAACGGTAAAACAGTAAGTCAACACGATGTAAGATATGATCACAGGAGTGGTGTCTACGAAGTAGAACGAATCGGTCTGCAGACAAAAAAAAGAAGTATTCTTTATAACATATTGTAGTCAGCAAGGAAATAAGTCACCCGTTCTCATAACCTGTCCCAGAACAATTACACTACATACCACACAAAAACACCATTATAACGATATTCCGTTCTTGTCTTAGCGGATATCACATAATTTGTTATATTTATAAGGTATGACGTCTCTCGATAGGTGCGCTCCCTGAATATTATAACCCCGGTTGTAGTTCCGACAACCGCAGCGCTCAGTGCAGCCAGGGAAGAAATCCTACAAGTTACCCACTATTTACCCCTGGGTCGAATGTGGCAAATGTAAATAAATGCATTGCCAAGGGACGTTAGTGCCCCCAACAGCAATTAGAACCTCCATTTACCTCCTTCGTTCATAGTCAGGAGACATATCCACTAGACTACAGCACCAACCTCTATCTCTCCTATCGGATTTGTGAGGAGTTTAAGACATTACAATTTAGGCTTAGAGTTAGGGCCTGACCATCAACTTAGGAAAATCCGTTTTTTAAGCGCACTTATAAGCTTATTTAGTACGTACTGCACATCATATTGCTCGTTATATTACGTGTTTGAGGTCTTGTGTGTGGTATGTTATTAAGTATGAATTACCAAAGAAAAAAGATGTCAGTCAGTCACTCGATAGTGTCTGACAGTGAAGTCTAGAAGGTAAACGGGTTTCCTTTGATAATTTGAATAATGGGACACTGCTAATGCTTTAATTTCACAGATAGGATATACAGGATATATTCATAATTCCTGCAAAGTTCTACAGAATTTGATGTTGGCTGCAAAAGGGACATGGCATATTCAAAAGAGTAAAAAGATCACGTTTTGAAAGCAAACTATAGCCAGCATGATCGAGAGATATCTTACGGGAGCATAGTAGTAGAAGTGTTCCTCGAGGAACGGGTTATCTGTTAGATTGAAGTAGGGGCAAGTATCATGAGGATCTGTAGTTGATGTTGACCCCGGTGACCCTGGTGTAACCTTCGTGGTCGACGATACTCCTGTTGGCGCTATGGTAGAGGCTGATTGAGGTGTAGATATGTAATCGTCTGTCCAATGTGGATACGTGGTCGTGTACACGGTCATCGAGACCAAAAACAAGACGTAGAAGAAAAGGTCCAGGTAGTAGAACAGTCGTCCAAACCGATTCCTGTGGAGAAGGAGATACCATATCAAGACATTGAAAAATAAAAATAAATGCAGTGCTTAGATACTTCATTACTCTAAAAGACTAAAAGTGAATACACAATACAATACTACTGGTACGATTTAAAGTGTCTCAAATAGCCGATCATAATTATAGTATCAGGTAAGATGTGGAACACCACATTTTATGTGTGAAGGAGGGGGGCATTTTGAAAATGTGTCCCCCTATACATTTCGAGCCAGAAAAAAAAAAGAAAACCAAAAACAAACGGATATTGTGAACAAGCTATGAGCTGGATAAAAAAGATGTCATGCTTTTCATATAGCGGAAGTAAAATGCTTTAAAGTGATACATTGATTACGTTAGTCCATGCATGCTTGACTGAGCAACAATGTTTTAAAATGGCATGCCAAAATCCACAATCACCGTTTCTTTTCTGATTTTTTTTCTTCTTCTGGTACGCACTTCTGGGACGCATAGGCCGTCCGTATTTATACCGCACCCCAGGATATCTCTGGCGTATCCCCGGACACCTACCCCCTGGATACCCCCCCCCCCCGATAACCACCGCCAGTCAACTACACCCTAGGACAACTACCCCCTAGGACAACTACCCCATAGGGCAACCACTCTCTAGGACGACTACCCCCAGGACAACTACCCCCGGACAACTACCCCAGACAACTACCCCTAGGACAACTACCCCCCGTACAACTACCCCCAGACAACTACCCCCCTAGGACAACTACCCCCGGACAACTACCCCTAGGATAGTTGTCCGGGGGGTAGTTGTCCTAGAACCTATCTCTGGCGCGGTTGATAATTTGATTTGAGGACGGAAGAAGTACAGTATGTGTTTTACCATTTTCTCTTGAGGATACTCTGTGAAAGCTCGTGAGCCAAAAGTTTCTCTCGTCCGTATAGGCACATTGTCTAGAAAGCAAAAACATTATAATACTTGTATCACTCAAAATTACTCAAAATAAACAACGTCGATAAAGATGCAGACAAATGTTTAAAGATAAACTTTAGTACTGGTAATGCGATTGCATTGTGAAAGAAAAGGTGTGGAAAGGATCAGAAACAGTTGATCATGAAGCATGAAAGTATTGGTGTGCACTGCAAGGTTCTGGAGTCATCAAAATCATAATAAATTTGACCGAGTCTTGGTAAAGTAACAAGCACTCACATAGAAAGCTATATATGGGACAACACACGTGGTGTCGGGGCTAGTACTTCCTTGATTTCCTTGTCTTTCTATGCTCATTACTCAGCCAGTATACATTTTCTTCCAAAATTGTTTGGCACATGTCATTTATTTGTAATCTTGAACATTCAGTGTAAGTTTCGTTTGATTCTGTGAGAATTTTTTTTAATATTTTTTTACCAGTACTGGAGTTTATCTTTAATGTTAAATGTAAACCTCAAACTTAAACGGTGGTAACCATCGGGCGGGCGGAGAAGTAGTGAGGCGGCTGAGGCCCATGGTAATGTATGGTAGACAATTTCTTGTCCATCATTGATAAGGGTCATTTGTTAAGTTATGAAAGAAATCATGGGAGAATCAGAAGAAAGAAATTAACTCTCCTTTTGATCAACCAGTGAATAATTAAACCCTTCGTTCAAAGCCGTTTCACATTGCGCGGGAACGGTCTATAACACATTCTCAAATATATGAAGTTTTTAATTAGCTAATAATTATACATTCAAAATCAAACGTTGAATCTTCCGTTCGGAAACAAAATTGTACATTCCTTGTGATAATACCAGTAAATGATTGATCCCTTTACTTAAAGCCGTTAAATGCAAAGGCATAATGTCCTTTTCACATTTTAATGATCTTACACAACCTCAAATACAATGATTTAAATTAGCTGATCACTACTTTCCAAATCAAACTCGTTGAATATTCCTTTCGGAGTTTACAATGTCATATTATTTTGTCATGAGACGTATGGTTGACAAATGAAGAGCTTAATTTGAAAAGGAGCTAAATCCAATTTTAATAAAGATTAAGTCTTTGGTATCAGAACATTGTTCACGTAAGTACCCGTCTTTCAACCAAATTATTTACCTAAATTTGGGGAGCAATTATGAAAAAATGCACCTTCTAATATCACTTTTCTTTAGACGCCTGTACAAAATCTGGTAATCAATTTCTTTTTCTCCGAAGTTACAAAATTTGGAATTAAACTCTTCAAATAGAGACATGACTCACCCTCACAGCAAAGTATCGATAATCGTTTACTTTCGTTGATTGGTCGTCTGGACCCGGGTCCATGTACTGATACTCGTATTTCACCTATGCGCAGAGAAAGAAAACAGATTTTTTTGTTGTTGAAATCTTAGTAACCATTTTATACCCCTTTTGATGCACTATTGGAAATTTGCATTTCACTTAATCAGGCCTGTACATCCATGCCCGCGAATCGATCATACATTACTGTCTCTTATATTTTAAATTGTGAAAAACGGAAACTATGCATTCAAGAGCATCCTATTACCGCCAAAATCTTAGTATGCACAAAATGGGGTATGTACTGTTTAAAAAAGGGCAGCTCCCGCAGTCCCCTCCCCGGCTGGGCGACCCATGTGTTATAACTTTAGCCTAAAACGCGTTTCACACTAGACGTCATTTGCTGCTACTGGTGTGACCTTACGCGCCATGACTTGTGAGGTAACATGGTACACACATTTAAACATAATTAAGTACCTAAATAGAATATATATTGTCAGTTGTAAATGTTATTCATTTATATAAAAAAAAAATTAAACAAATCTGGAGGTAATTTTACTGGAACAATGCCTGCTCCTCCCTGCCCCCTCCCTGCCCCCTCCATGCCCCCTCCCTGCCCCCTCCCTCACACAAACACCCCACCCACCAACCCACACACATACTCAACCACCCACCACATAATCACCCACACACACACACCACGCACACCCACACACCCACACACACACACGCACACACACACACAATGATTGAAAATGAAGAGTGCAGACTCTGTATATAAAATAAATTATTGACGAACATTCACATGCTTGTTTGGCGCATCTAATGACGCAATTCAAATTAAGCGAATCAATTGCAACATGGACCTAATTGCAAGTTCTCGCGTCGGTATAATCTTTGGTATTTTGAATGAATTGCACATGCTCACATAGTTTGATGAACTTTGCGTATTCTTGTTTGACTTGTGAACGCATCGGTCCATGACGAGCATTGCGACGTCGGGTAGCTTTTCGATGAGGGCTTTCATGGGCGAGATCATCAGCTCATCCCTGCTCTGCATGGCGATCCTCCAGCTAGGGAAAGAAGCGTTCACTATGATCAGGCACGTAGCCAGAGTTCGATGTTTGGGGGGGGGGGCACATACATGTAATCGATCGAGGTAAAAAAAAAGGGGTCTAAACAAAATCAACCGATCTTGGGAATTTTAGGGGGGCACGTGCCCCCCCCCCCCCCCCCCCGTGGCTACGCGCCTGATTATGATATCAAATATATTTGAAATTTAAAGAGAAGGTTCTGGGAAAAGGTGAAAGTTAATTTGTAAGCGTTATCATTGTATTATGCAAGTGCGGAAGAACATCAGATAAGACATGTTTCCTACAAAAGCATGGCTCTCCAAATGCCTTAATATTCTAAATATGACATGTAACATCATACAAATCGGGACGGATTGTTATGCCACATGTTCGTGTAGTCCCGTATACATCTTTCTGTGTACAGTGCTTATAACTTTACCAAGACAGGGCCAAATTTCTTATCATTTTGATGATTCCCGAACCTTGCAGTACACACCAATACTAATATGCTATATGATAACCCTTTCTGAGCGATTCCACAGCGTTTCTTTCACAATGCAATCGCATGACCAGAACTCCACTTCATCTTTAAACATCGAGCGCCTGCAATACAATTCAATCATTACTTACGCTAATCAAATCTTTAAAAACAACGAGTGTATATGCATCGGCAATTCAACAGAATGTTGCGTTATTTATTTTTGTATTCACATCTTCAAGATATGACACTCCGACATGGCGCCGGCTGACGCAACCCTCCGTCAGGAAATGACGCCTCGTGTTAAAAATATGTTACGTCGCTTGACAATGATGACGTATAACTATAAACTAAATCATGCAGTAGATGAATTAATTTTGTGTGTATGTGTGTCACAAACCTAAATAATTTCAAATAAAGTCTTAATTACATTTTTCTCAAAGCATAAATTATAAGCAAATGTACAAAATGATGGATACATACATCAGATGTTCATCTCACCTTCATAAATTGAAATAACCATTCGATCATATTCATGATTATGACAGGGGTTGTGTGTCCAGACGCTCAACAAAAACGTAAAACAAATTTGTGGAAAAACTGGGCTGCTATTAAACTTACTCTTTGCTCTTGATTATGGCGGCGGCAATCTCGCCCTGTTCTTTTTCGATAGCCAGTTCTAGAGGAGTGAAACCAGCGGTGTTCGATGCCGACTGGTCAGCGCCAGCCCGGATCAGCAGGTTGGCCGCTGCGATGTGGCCCGCGTCACAACACACATGTAGAGCGTTGTTCTGTGGAAAGTGTTGACAGGTGTTAATGTTTCGATTTTATCTGTGTGGTTATGGTCAGAAATAATATCATCCATTACAAGTAAGGAAACACATGTTTGAAGGTTATTATGGAACAGGTTAAAAGGATGCAAACATGCCAATATAGGCCTTTGGCAACTATCAGCCCTTTCTCAGGCTACTGGTGTTGTAGAGATGATCTTTGCATATAATCGGAGCTACAGGGGCACCCCCCCCCCATTTAATGTTTTAAAATATATATTTAAAAGAGTGAGACAGAAGAACAAAAAGGAGAAAGGGAAAGAGAGAAGAGGACAAGGGTGAAAAAAGACCACGCATGGACCAGCTTATGCACCTACTAATAATCTGTAGCCTAGCATCATTTTCACGTTCTAAGTATTGACATGAGCCCCCCCCCCCCCCCAATCGTTCCAGTTCCCCTTTAATATTTGGACTTCAATCCGCACGTTACGCCACTGTAGAGTACAATGCCAACATAATTTTTATAACGGCTGTTCTTCATATAAATGATGAAGGTGTTTTAAGAATGCAGTGAATGGTACACCGCTCAAAAGCGGGTCCAGAATGTAAAAATCCACACAAATATCTGGGTAGCGCATATACCCAAGGAACCCGAATGGGTCTCTAGACGGAAAATAAAAATGTCCTGTTAAAAAGGTTTGGACGTTAACGGTACATTGTTGTGTGAACATCATGAGAACGCTGTAGATTTGGGTGGCATATTCAATCGGGGGAGGGGGGTTCAATAATATTGGATAGGAGCAAAATGCGCTAGCCAGCCGCTTTTTCTATATCTCCCGCTTAAGTGCAAATTTCGTCTGGTCTCGAGTTCGTATTCATGACGTATGATCGTCCTTTACCCTTTCTTTGTCGATGGCGTGGATGTCACAACTGTTTTCGATGAGGATACTCATTGTTTCAACGTGGTCGTTCATTGCCGCCAGCATCAAGGCCGTCCGATTTTCGTAATTCCTGTGAAGAGAAGGGAAGCAACAAACAACATTGCTCTTTTCAAAACCTTTCATATCAAAGATCATGAAATTGATACTGCTTACCCGAAATATTTTACTCATCGAAGATCATTAAAGTTCAGTCTGTGCTGTTTAGCTTCTGAATATGCTAGCATCAGATGAAATGTATCTCCATCATTTTATCACACATTAAGTCGTTCAAGGCATCAATTATGAATCGCCAGTCACCAAGACCTGTTTTCGTGAGCTCGAGTTTGCCAAATAGCCCGCTATTTCTGATTCAGGTATTTAGCCCGAAGTTACAAATCGCGTCCTCATCAGCTCGAGAAATGTGCTCGTGTTCGCCTATAGTGAAAACGCACCGGACAAATAGCGGGCAAACTAGCCCAAGATATCTTGGAAAGATTTCCCGAGCAAAACAGCCCGCGATTTGCGTCTTCACCTGCCAGAAGCCTGCTATTTTGCGATCGGGCTAATTTCCCGAATCAGAAATAGCGGGCTATTTGGCAAACTCGAGCTGATGAAAACAGGCCTTTTGTGAAGCTACTGTTGTGGGAGATATTTATAATCTAAGCCAAAGCAGCGGCAATTAGACATGGTCGGTTTCAAACAATGTATAATTTTTAAGGAGGGTAACACTTGCAGTCTCTAAAATGATAACATTAAATCTATACTTCTATCCAAAGCTTCCATCTCCATAACCCGGATAAACCACGTTCACTGAACACACAGAAGCTCGACGGTATCGTTAAAGTATAACAAACTACTGTTCCTCATTATACCGAACTTTTAGAACTTGTTCGTTGCATAAGTTAGATAAAGGCGTGGCAATAATGCTACAAAATAGCACAAACGTTCCACATCGTTAGCATTGGTACCCGATCAGCAGAATGTTTGTTAGTTGTTAAATGAACTGGAAAAGATTTAAGGCATTTTTACACATTGGTGATGTCAGCACCCATCTTGAGTAGTTTTCGGACCATTTCATGTCGACCGTAGAAGCAACTGGTTAGTAGCGGTGTCATTCCATTGCAGTCATCTTCATTTAGGAGCATCGGGGTGTGGCCCAAAAGCTGCTCCACGCAGTCCACGAACCCCGCCCTGGAGGGGAGAACAATATCGTGTAAGATGGATGAGGGGTGTGATACTTTATTCAAAGACAGGCTGCTCATCTTGTTAAAAACAGTGGTAGTCTATGACCATTCTCTTTATTTTGGTACGGTAAGGAAGAAGCGATTGGTCAATTCTTTTGAATTATTATTGAATTGGTTATTACATCGATTGATTGATTGATTTATTGATTACTTGATTGAGTGACGGTCTTTATCTTGCCAAAGGAGAGTAGACCTAAATGTGTAAGATTTATTAAGTGGACGGGACTTTTGGGCAAGTGTCTCAAATGACAGATCCTTCTGGTAACGAGGGAACCGCTTGTCCACGATCGTAACATGTCTTAATGCAATACGGTCGGGTGAATGAAGAAAAACAAATCTTAGGTCGTATAATCAACAAACAATTTTGAAGGGTAAAGAATAAAAAGAAAAAGAAGAGACAACAGCAGGCAGGGCCAGTTTTACACTTGAGTGAACTTGAGATCGTGGAAAGATCCGTTTTGTTTGTACTAGATGCGTGATGTCCACAGCGCATTTTTCCGTGCCTCTATGGCAAGCCTTCAACGCCATAAAGATCTATTCAACAGGATCTATCTCTACGGCATTGAATGCTTGCCATACGCATATGTCGTCCAACCGCCCTTTGGTATATAGGCCCTACTAAACCCCCAAGTGACGTCGAGAAAAGGAACTTACTGAGCTGCGATGTGTACCGGTGTTTTGCAGAGGACATCACGAACATCGCCTTCAGCTTCATACTTGATCAACAGCTTAATCATCTATAACCATGGTAACAGAAGAAACCAACGTTTAAATTGGAAATACAAAGAAAGGCATGATACAAAAAGAAGCAACGGACTTCATGGATAAGCGTTCTAAATCGAAATATAGGTGCCAAACAAAACGAATATAGATTTACTACTGACGGGTTACTGACATTTTGTGTGTGAACGGTTAAACGTGTTTAAACTGGATGTAGCGTGTGCTTTGTTTGATATGACATGACCTTCAATGCGCAATGTCACTACTGCGCATTTTAAGAGCAGTAATTTATCACGAAACTTTTAACGATCGCACCGAAATTTCTGTGTGTGAATGATGTCGTATGTACAGCTGATAAGTTTAAAGCCCTTTAAACTAATCATGTTTATAGAATTTTAGCTGTGTGTGAAGGCTGGTAGTCACGGTACAATATTACCTTTCAACAAAGTTTAAAACGCATCAAAATTCCTATGGATATCAATGTCTTTTGAATCCCCACTGCACTACGTATAGCTACTTGCGCCCTCCATATAGCAGTCAATGCCTAATCGGTGAACATTGGTCCTCCATGATCCCCTCTTTATTATGTTAATTGAGAGCTGATTTGATGAGATAACCATCTGTCAGTGAACATGCAGGAAGGTCTAATCCCTCCTGGCCAACTAGTGCAGAGGGGCTTTAAAGCTATTCTGGAACTTACATCTACGTTGCCCGATTCAGCGGCATAGTGAAGGGTCGTCTGGTCGTTTTCATCGGCTTCGTTTCGCAGGCTGTATCCTCCGTGTCTGAGAAGAAATTGCAGGAAGCTAAGGTGGTCCATCTCTGCTGCCCAGTGCAAGGGAGACTTGTGGCGAACGTCAAATACTGCACGGAAAGAGAAAATGAAAAATCAAAGCAAAATGGGAAATATTTCCTTTAAGATATTGATCTACTGTATGCGATAGTGGGGATGTTTAAAACCTGTCGAGATCCGATTTTCATGAGTAGATACTTTTTGGCGTCATCAGCGCCTGCAGGGTAATGTCAGATAATCTTTGGTCTCTAATCTCAGTATACTGATTGAGACATGTCACACGTGTACCTCAGGTATACCTCAACATTGGTTTACGAACAACCATTGGCTTCTCCATCATTGCTTTCATCATCATCATCATCATCATCATCCTCATCATCATCATCCTCATCATCATCATCATCATCATCACTACCATACTCGTTATTAAAATAATCCCGTCACTGTCATTAAGATCGTTTTCACCCCCGTTAAATTGGCGTCATTTTTTTTTCCTCACCATCATCATCATCATCATCATCACCTCCACCACCATTATTATCATCTTGGTTACCATCATCGCCACACATTAATCATCTTCATAATCAATATTACAATCGTCATCATCATCGTCATTATCATCGCCTTCACCACCGTTGCCGTCGTCATATCGGTGCCATCACCATTGTTATCAGCATCATCATTATCATTATCGTCCTTGCAATCCTCATCGTCATCGTCATCATAGTCTACCTCATTGATCACAACGTATGAATTGGGTACACCAGATGAAAGCGGTGAAACTTCCGCATCTCAGGTTCCTCATCACCATCATCATCATCATCATCATTATCGTCCTTGTAATCATCATCGTCATCGTCATCATAGTCTACCTCATTGATCACAACGTATGAATTGGGTACACCAGATGAAAGCGGTGAAACTTCCGCATCTCAGGTTCCTCATCACCATCACCATCATCATCATCATCGTCATCATCATCATAATTATCGTCATCACCATCGACTTCGTCACAACCTGACTTGAATGTATCAGAATGATTACCCACCATGGACATCAGCTCCTCGGGTTAGAAGGAGCTCACCGGCAGATGTATGACCCTTCCAGGCGGCACAGAACAGCGGCGTGAAACCGTTATCATCCACGCCGTCGATCACGGCTCCTTCGTGGATGAGAAAAGCCATGGACTCGACACGGTTGTACACAGCAGCCCTGATCGTATAGAGTACGACAATGCAAATATTTCCATCAGTTATTGTAGAAAGACGAACTGAGCTACCAATTCCTTTCTCCCTAATATTATCTTTTATAGCGGTTTCTTATGGAACTTTGAACCTGTGTTTTTTTTCAAGAATTTGATGAAAAACAGTACGCAAATAATTATATCAATACAAGTAACCATGTATGAAAAGTAATTTGGTCAACTGCAAAGTATTATAATAGTTTTAAAACTGATCTTAAGTATAACTAACTAATATAATAGCATTTTGAGAATTTCCGTTTGATTCCGCGTGAATTTTCCGTCATAAGACATAACCAGAACTCAAGGTCAAGATTTTTTTTTTTATTGTACATGCATATCTTTTACACAGTCATAGAGCAACTTTCTCTTCGAAATGATGTTATCACACGAGCATATATGGAAGTTATGGATATATTAGTAGAGGTGTCCTGGTTGAGTTGATATATCACCGGACTGTGGATCACAATGTCCGCGGCTCAAGTCCCGCCGTGGCACTAATGTCCTTTGGCAAGACATTGATCTACATTTGCCACTCTCCACCCAGGTGTTAAATGGGTACCCGGTAGGATGCAAAAGTTAATGTGGTTAGATGAGCAAGTGTGCGCTCGTATAAATGACGCCTGGCTGGAATGCTCCCCAGGGAGTGGAGAATGTACATACATTGTGTGCAGGTAAACATGAATCCGATGACCGGGGTGATAATAATATTTGTCAAGCGCTTTGAGAGTGTCTATTGTTTTGCACGCGTTAATCCGATTATCTCGTTATAAATTTGGCACTGGGGGATTTGTGGCTTGGCATAATGGGGATTAGCCCTGTGGCAGGATAAGATTTAATAATTTTGCAATACGTTTCTTCCATTCAATGCTCACCTGTGTAACGGTGTCATGCCTTCGTTGTCTTGCATCTCGATGTCGGCACCGTTCTCGATCAGCTGCGTGACGGTGGTCGTAGCGCCGTTCATAGCCGCGATGTGGATCGGAGTCATGCCGTTCTTTTTCCTCACGTTCACGTCGACTCCCTCATCGAGCAGCCGTTGGATGACCTACAAAAATCGGTGGAAAAAACAACGGAAATTGTTAACTCAACTCTATATCTTTCATCTCGTTCCATTTGTAAGAGAATTGTTTTTTTTTTAAGAACAGATTCTATAATAAGTTTAAGTATGTTAATAACTTTATTTTTCTGTATTATTACTTTGAAATGCACGTGATTCTTATAATTTGGGGATGGAGGGTGCTCTACTTGAGGTGTGGTCAGAGCCATCTATATACAGAGTTTGGCCAACTTGGGTTCACTGGGTCACAACATGGCTTATAGTTATATTCTTTTGTTTTGTGCTTGCCCAACAAAGCAGTAGTCGCCATATTGTGTCCAACTCGAACCGGGTTGGCCAAACTCTGTGTATAGATGGCTCTGGGTGTGGTTAATGAATGGATAATTTCATGTAAATGACGGCACTGACCAAGAGGGCCAGATGGGGTCATGAGGTTAAAATGTGAAGTACATGTACCACTGATAATAATAATAATAATAATAATATTCATTTGTAAAGCGCAATAACTATGTGGATATATTGTATTGCGCTGCAAGAGCTTGTAAATGCTGTGCTATACACACTATATGAACAAGTGAGTTTTCAGTTTTGATTTAAAATTATCTAGTGATGGGGCTTTCCTTATTTCTAGCGGTAATTTATTCCATAATCTAGGGGCAGCACAGAGAAATGACCGGTCCCCGAGGGTTACTTTGGTTTTATATGGGGGTATTTGCAACATAAATGTGTCTTGTGTACTACGAAGGTTACGACCATGAGTTTGAGACTTGATATGCAACAATTCAGTAACGTAACTAGCAGTTTGACCATTTAGAGCTTTGTAGACTATCAATAATATTTTAAATGTAATTCTCTGGCGATATGTAGTAATTTTTCAAGTAGTTGTTACCTCAGTGTTCCGTTTCAATACGGCAAGATGCAAGAGTGTGTTACTCTCGTTGTCTTCATCCATCAGGTAGCTTGACACGGGAATGTCTGTGTTTCGAGCTGTGTAATACAATAGCATTCATAAGATCATGCCAATCAGTGATTGGGGGTGGGTTGACGGACCAATTTTGCCGACATTAGAATATTCTCAACAGCGAACATACAACTAACATTTTCGAATATGTCGTCAAGGTATGAAAGACGTTAGTCAGATACTTTAATTCGATTTTGATCAGATCTTCCATATCGTTTTTTGAAAGAGAATAACACGAAAACAAAAATGTCATATAGGATTTCTTGGCAGCCTTCAATAGTTCCAAGAATTATTTGAATGGGGAAGCCATACTTCAACGAGTTCTTAAAATGCCCCTGCATGCCGGGGACCAGAAGGACATCCTATATCTATATATTTCAATAACAACCTCTTGGATCGTTTAAATGGGACGTGAAGCATTCAATTGAAGCCCACGAATGCTATTTTGAAAGCCATTATTCTAGTCATAAAAGGCGCAATTGCTCAGTGGTAGCGCATTGTCGATCTCGCCGATGCGCTAGTGCCCTTTGGTAAGGCATTAATCCTGATTAACAAGTCACCCGGAGAGGAATTAAAGCCGTCGGTCCCCTGGTTGCTTTCTGACAAGCATACACATCCTTTTCAATACATAGGCATAATCATTATTACAAATATGGAAGAAAAAATCATTTAAAAGATACATGAAAGCAGTATGTATATAATACATGCATGTATTTATACGATACTTCAAATAAGATGAAATGTTTAGGAAATAGCGACCGGTAATGCATATAACATCTTTTATGCTGATTGGGAGCACGCTACAATAGTCCTATCTTGCACCCCGGGGCAACGTGTCTGACACGGTCCCCCGACACTTACCTGCTTGTGTATTGCATTGAAAATTACAAATTATCAATAATGGGAGTAAATCTGATCGCATTCATTGTAACAGAAAATATAATGTAACTTATTTTTTGGGGTACACTTCGAATGAACAGAAACTCATACTCTGATTGTTGCTATAATACACCCTTTCACGGTTAAGACCGCCATTTTAATTTACGAGTAAACATTGCGTCACCAATGTTTTCAGATGCGCATGTTTTGTTGCGTCACTGCCATTTTAAATTACGAGTACACAACTTTGTTTACTCGTAATTTAAAATGGCGCCCATGTCAGCGCACGAGCATTCTTGTAAGCGTGAATGGGTGTATTCTGTTTACATTGTGTCTTTGTAGTATTGCTCAAGGTTTTTTATCCGAGGTATACTTACCCTTCTCTAGGAATAAGTCGATCAGATCCACATGGCCATTCATCACCGCCTTCATCAGCGGGGTCAGGCAACCGTCGTCTTTGGCTCTGATGTCGGCTCCATGTTCGACCTAGAGAAGGTATGGTAATTGATTGATTGATAAGGCCCGTTATAGACGATGCGCCACTTGCTGACGTACGATTGAGTCATTTGCTGACGCAGGGTTGCGTCAAGTAAATGCACGTCCGTTGACGCGGCAGGTGAGAATGACAGCGTACGCATAGTGGATAATGAATGAACAGTGTTGACATTGCGTTGCATTGTTGACTCATGCGTTAATTTCTTCATGGGCTCGATTAGCGGATGGAATAACGCAGTCGAAATGACGCTTCGTGTGCAACAGGAATTAACCGTCATTGTACATTTGTAAGCGTTTTTATCATAGCGGTCCTTATACTACTATGTCGAGCAGATTATAGAGCGCCTCGTAACTGCAAAGAAAATGTGCGATACCAAATATTCTGTGGATTGGATTGGATACAATTTTATGTGTAAAGCTTTGGCCTGTGATATTCAGGACGTTACAACCTGAAAGAACACGAGCTCGTAACATATCGTGACAACAAATATGAAAGCTATAACCATGCAAATAAATCCATTTCTTTTCTTCTTCCTCGGATATAATCATTTTGGTGTGGTCTTCAAAGGCCCACCGGAGCACCGCGGCGGCTTGGGAAACTTTGTTTTTGAGATATAATCTAAATAGTGCCTTTAAAATTAGAAAGGAATTTAGTGATGGTATGTATATGTATGGGTGGATTCATTCTGTCAGACACTCCAAATCATACGATGTATTTACATGTGTAGCCAAACGAAAATGACAGAGGCGGGAAGAAAGAATGAAATGAAAACATTTCAGGAATGGATAATAAAGCATTGCGAATAAAGTGATAGGCCTACTTGTTTCATTAAGGTTTCGTCTCGTAACAACAATGCACTTACGAGTAACTTGCAAACTCCCATGCTACCCTTCACTGCAGACAAATGGAGAGGAGTACAGCAGTCCTTGTCATACGCACATACGTCCGCCTTGCCTTGCCTCAGTAGAATCTTGTTAAGGACAGAATGAAGACTTTCTTTGTTGTGTCAGGAAATCATCATTGCAATGATAATTATTCATCATAACTGTTATCATTATTCGAACATCATAATTATCACAATTGTCATCGTTAACACCGCCAACATCTTCATCATTGTCCATCTTCCTCATTTTTATTGCCACTTCACTGTCAATACTACCATTATCACCTCATATTCATCACTACCATCATCATCATCATCATCATCATCATCAACTACGACAGTAATATCATCATAACTATCATCATCATCATCATCATCATCATCATCATCATCAGTATCTTAAACGCTATCAGAAAAGGATTACACTTTATATCTTCTGTCGCGCAATCACGGAAATTCTTACCCTGGTCAATTTAACATGTCCTGGCTCTGCATTCACCCCATCATCATCATCATTATCACCATCATCATCATCACAAACATCACCATCATTATAATAATGATAATGATAATAGTGGGTTCTTGTATAGCCCTCATGTCTGTCAAACGTGACACTCCTGGGCTCCTGGCGCTCCACAGCTATTACCCCTGCTTTAGCATGGCTGCCATTACGGCGCTCTAGCATTTCAAGGAATTGATTCCAGGCACCCATTAACATCACCTGGGTCGAGTGTGGCAAATGTAGATCAATGTCTTGCCAATGGGCATTTGTGCCGCGGTGTGACTCGAACCACGGACATTGTGATCCACAGTCCGGTGACAAACCCACTCGACCAAGACACCTCATCATAATTATAAGTCTCCTTCTCACCATCATCAAAATCTTTTGCGGGTGACCCGACAGTTGCTCCTGGAACAATTACTACGGGCTTTATTTCGTAAAAGGTATATGAATAGGGTTGCAACATGCAAATAGGGTTTAGGATAGGTTTATGTTAGGGTTAGGGTTAGGTTAAGTGTTTGGTCTAAGGCCAAAGTTAAAAATTGAGTTGGTCTAGGAAAATAACGCGGAGCAATTATTGTCAAGTGGCGTACACGCCTTTTAACGCCACCATCAACAAAGAAATGCAAATCTTGTCATCAGGCAAGCCGTTACCCTGGTAACTGCGATGTGTCCTCTCCGCGCGCTGATGTGAAGCGGTGTCATCCCGTTGGTGGTTCGTTTATTGACATCGGCGCATCGTGCTAGGAGTACTTGGGCGACGTCGACGCTGTTCATACGAGCAGCGGCATGAAGAGGGGTCGCCCTGACGTGAAGCTCGGTAACATCGACATCTGAGTGGAAGATAGATGATAATATCGATTGAGGAAAACTACATTTTACGTAGAGATGGTAAAATAGTCATGTTTCGGGATACACTGGGAGATCGGAAATCATTCCCTGATTATAATTATTATGAAATTATTAAATAGTTTGAGAAATGGAGAACCACCTTTGTTGTAAAACTGCCGTGCTACTCACAGAACCACCCTATTTAAGTTATAAATGTCGCTTGGGGCATACATGTATATACGATGAACAACAATAAATTGGATTAAGAATAGGAAATAGGAAACCTATGAGAACGTACAACAAAATGATTGCAGACTTACTTGCACCTCTCCTCAAGATTTCCCTTGCAATTAATTCCCGGTTATAGATGGCGGCATGGTGGAGTAAGGCTAGGTTTTTCTTATCCAGTTTGTTCAAACTGAAGTAGCTGTTCTGGTCAAGAACGTTCTTCAGATCATCGAGGTCATCATTCCGAACAGCCTAAAAACGAAAACCATGGAATATTGTTTCATTATAGAGGTGTGAGTTGGTCTAGCGGTACGTTCGATTGGTCAGCTCTCTGTCTTCACCTACAAACTGATTCAGGCGGACCCCGATTCGAAACTGAGTCACGTCTTTCGGATGGTGACGTTAACGGTCGGTCCCTAGACGTAAAGAATCATATCTGATTGATACACGTCTATACAAAACCCAATTACACATTATTATGTCTAGCGTATGCATATTTGTTATTTCGATTCTGATAGAAGAAAATTAAAGAAGTTACACTGAAATTAAATTTCCTTTACATGATCCTGAACATTATTTTTGGATAAAGCAACACAAAACTAACCATGAAATAATTTATTCAAGAAATTATTAATTGACTCAAACTTGCATTTCAAAAAACTACTATAAAAAGATTGCACTATGTAAATTCAAACTTATATGCGGACTTATTATTAGATATCTATTTATCAAGTTTAAAGTTATATAACAAGTGATTTTATACGTCCAGAATATCATTGGGAGGGGCAATGTTCCGTCAACGGGCACTTTTTAAGGGGGTATGACAACCCTTTCTCGATAGGAAATTGTGTTAGCCCCGCCCTTCCTTCTGACAATAATTGACTTTTAGGGGGTGCAAACATTTTAAGGCAGTGTGACAACTTCAATCCTCCAAAATTTCATGTCAGTTTTCGGTGTTTTGTTTATAATGCACAGCGCTTTATTTTGAAAAAGTCTTGGAGGTCTGTGCGGAAGAATCTGTTGGCTAAACCCGACGCCTACACTAAGGCCGACAACCTTTTTTGTCAAAGACTTAGAGACCCAAATTCACAAAGGAGGTTTGTCGACAAACCTAGGTTTATGTGCGTTATAGTAAGCGTTTTGACGAGTTTTGACAAACCTTGGTTTGTAAAAACGCATCGAAACGCGCCATATGACGCACATAAACCTAGGTTTGTCGACAAACCTCCTTTGTGATTTCGGGCCCTTCATGAAGGGGGTCAACATAAATCGTATTTGCTTGATGGGGTAGCTATTTCTGGAGAGGGTCTATTAATGTATTGCGGTTTGAGAAAGAAAACAGAAAAATTGGTGTTTAACTCACGTCTATCAAGTCCATAATGAGCACAGGTGAGTAGACTCTATTCAACCTGTTGTTCTTGGTGGTTTTCTGGATCTTAGATTTAACATTCTTTAGAAACCTGTCTGTGCATGGTTTCGGTTTCTTTACGGGTAGCTTTCCTTCATCAACGATTGCCGAATCAACATGGCCATCAACACCATCATCGTGGACATCAACACCACTACCATCACGTCCATCGTTCACCTGCCCATTTTCCCGATCTGGTTCAAAGAGCGTTCCCATGAAACCGATTGACATGCGATTTCTTTTCATGGGATCAAACCGAGATTTACTCCCTTTGTTCTCTTTGTTTAGAAATGCCTTCCTTTTGGTGGACTGGTTTGCATGCGACTTGAACTTGAACCCCACTGCCGGCGGCGGGTAGAACACTTCTGGTTCGTCGGTCTTAAATCGTATCCTCTTTTTCGGTGTGAACGACTCGACTTCCGGTGGCGACTGAAAACTCGACTCGCTGTTGAAATCGTTGAGAGGAATCTCGTTGTGTTTGTTCATTTTCCCGTCCTGCCTGGCCATCTTGAATTGCAGTCCGCTAGCGCTCGTGATCGTACTGTCTGTCGACACATCCTCATCATCAACGTCTGCATCCTGGACGACATCGCCGCTTCCCTCGGCATACTCGGCGGGGGAGATTAGCTCCGATGGCTGTAACGTGCAGACTTCGATGGCGGACTTTCCTCTGTTACGATCGCCATAAATTAGATGTCTGTTATCGCTGACGTTTATATCGGTATCGCTGCTCGATATGCTGATGTTCATACCGTCTGATCTTCTTTTGCCAGACACATCATTTCTTGGATGTTTCTTTTCCATGTTTTGTGGGAACTAGAGAATATCCGATCTACCAGAAACTACTCCATAATTCGCCAATCCTGGATGCTTCTCTCTTTACCTACATGAATACCTACGATATTTGAAATGAAAAAGAGTGAATTCAATGATTATTTTGCACATCATACATTAACAAATGCGGAAAACTAGGAAAATGTGGACTTCAACATCAAGAAGATAAACTTTTTGCTAGTGGACGGATCAGTTTAAAGATGCTAGCGAGATAATGAGGTCATTTAGGACAGGAAGACGAGAAAACAATTAAAAAGACAACAGGACGAGTTGTTGGAACTCAGCACGTCGACTTGTTAGCCTGAGGTTAAAAACCATCCCTATATTTCCCCAAGTAAAAGGGCGCCTATGCCGCAATATTATTGGCCAAATGAAATTGCCCTCATAGGAGACGATTTGTGCCCCATTTGCCCTTCAAGACTTCTACTTCTACGACGATACTCAGCAGGATCCATAAGTCACGATGTAGTGCTGAGGAATAAACTATCTAGTTCTTGGTCTAGGTGCTTGGTGGAAGCGCTCCCTTGAAGCCCTCCTGTGAAGTAGCGTCAAGGGTGATCTTTGAAAGTGCATTCCACGCAGTTACTGTCCGAGGGGAAAATGAGTTCTGGAAGAGCTGGGTGCGGGATGGGATTCGCCAGCAACTTCTTTGAGTGATACTGTCGTGTGTTGCTGGCAATCATGGGTGCTGTGTAATGGTGTGCATTGATGGCTACTGTGTCGTTTTGGATCTTGTACATGAGGTGAAGGCTTGCAGCATTTCTTCTCCTCTCCAGGCTCTCCCATTTTAGATGTTGAATCATGGCCGATAGATGATAACATGATACCAACAAAAAATGTTTTTGCCCTGGTCTATTATAACTACTATGTCTCCTTTGTTGTGCAGGTTTAATAAATAAAGTGATGTTTTAACAATTGCATTCCAAAGTTTTGTCAGTTATTTGGAAACACTTACTGTCCTGCCCATATTCTCCAGAGATTATAAGCAAACATATCTAGAAATTTTACGACTTTGACAGTGATCTAAATCTATATTTATGCCTTTCTATCTAGACATATACGACTGCAATCTGGTATGAGCAGGGAAACTTTAAAAGTTTAAAATGTATGCCGATGATGATTATGATGATGATGGTGATAAATCAGAGCATGAATGGCGCCATATTTCTCTTTTAAAAGCGTTCAAAGACGCAGGTTCGAACGATGAAGTCAGTATATTCACATTTTCGAAATAAGTTATCCCTCCCCCGCCCCCCCCCCCTCTTCCAGCTGCCACCCTCACAGAATTAAAAGCGTTACTAATTTACAATATTTTTAGACATTCTCTATTTATTCATCATACATCGATTAGAAAACAAATGCTTTCGTCGAAACTTACCGTCAGATGTTCATTCATTCATTTACAATAGGCACCTTCTGACAACCTCACAGAATTAAAAGCGTTACAAATTTACAACATGTCAGACGTTAGTCTGCAATTGAGTGCATTTATGGTCTCAAAAACATACACAAACTGATCATACATCAGACATTCTCTATTTATTCATCATACATCGATTAGAAAACAAATGCTTTCGTCGAAACTTACCGTCAGAAGTTCATTCATTCATTAACAAGCGGCTGTAAAATCCCTAAAAGGCAAGGCAACGAAGAACTTGTTATTCCAAATGATAGAACATAATACGTGTATCCATCAAATCAAACGAAATTGTGCAACACAAGACAGTGTACAAGCAGAAGTGAGACTGTATGACGGTCCATGCATAACAAAACACACTCGCCTAATTTAGAATGAAGTTATCTAACAACAACAAAAAAGAGACCCTTTTTTTTTACTCGGTCTAATGCTCGCGAGACTTTCATCGCCTTTGTGTAGTCAAGTATAATAAGTCCACCCCCGCCCTCCGTGAAAAAACAGACCGAAGAAATGAAACGAATGCACACAATATTCTAAGAACAGTTAAAAAGAAGATAAATTCCAAATCCTCTAATCTGAAAAAAACTTGTTTTGTTCATCTTCCGTGAAGGAAAGAATACAAGGCCTTTCTGATTGTCCTACCGAGCTATTCTTTAGCTTGATTTATATTCTAAGATTACGACGAATCAAAGTAGAAAAGACGCTTACTTATCGGCTTTATTCGGACAAAAAGGCAAGAATGTATTCATAACAGGTCGTGCGAAGGGGCACATCTCTTTGACTCTAACTTTAACTCCCTTAAAATTGAGTAACCTTATTGACTGATTTTCAAAAAATATACACGGATTCTTCTTAACGTCAATTGTCTCCACTTCATAAATGAACTCTTTTAATTGTTAAGATAGGACCTAAATAATTTTGAATCAAATGAATTCACATGAAAATATATTCTAGCCGTACAAAAATGTAATGGAATCTTTGTATTGGCTTGTAACGTTACGTATGTTTCATTCTCCATTGAAACAAACATTGATCATAACATGTAGTTTATATACCAATAATTATACACACTGCCGTTCTATCCTTTTCATCATTTTCAATGTGTAATACTAGAATAAATTATAAGAAAATTTCCATTTTGTCTACCTTTCATTGTGATGGTTCTTCTGTGATTACAAACACAACGATATAGTTTCTCATATTATATATATTACGTATTTGTTCAATGTGTGACCAAAACGAATTTCCATGTATTCTTGTGAAATTGGATGAATAAAAAGAATTGAAATTGAATTGAATTGAATTATTCGTTCATTATTATATTCTAAAAGCGATCGATTTGTTCGGTTTATCGAAATATAAAACATACAAGTTGATATATTGAGCTATATAATTAACTTGTTAATACACTGTGTATGCATTCTAATTCGGTACTTGACTTCGGTGAAATGAAATAGACCTGGGGGGTGTTTCACAAAGATCCTAAGTAGAACTTAACACTAAGTTAGACTTAAAAATTATGGACAGCCATTGAAGCCTTAAAATGAAATACATTAAAAAGCAGAAATTCAAGTATTTTAGACTTTTTTATAACTTCCACATCAAGAACATGAAATCTCCTTGATGATAGAAAATATGAATGATTTGAATCAACATTTTATGCCTTTCAAAATAACTTTTACAAAATATTTTCAAAGTGGCTAATGGCTTTCCATAATTTTTAAGTCCAACTTAGAGTTAAGTTCTACTTAGGATCTTTGTGAAACACCCCCCTGGAACCATTTCACGAAACCGTCATAAGTCTAAGTTCGTAGACATCCCATCATTATAAGCGTGTCAATTCTGTAAAAAAAACACGTTTCAAAGGGATGTCCAAGAAGTTAGACTTATGACGGTTTCGAGAAACGGCCCCATGGCACCGTTTCACGAAAACGTCATAAGTACAAGTTAAATGACATCCCAAGGAAATGCGTGTTTAGCTTTCCATTTGTCGAGAGAAACGTGTAGTTCAAAGAGGACGCACAAAACGAGTAAAAATGTCTCTTCCACTAGACATGGGATGAGAAGAGATGTACTTTTTACAATCGATGTGCGCTCTGATTCTCATCCGGGTAGGTATCAATCGAACCGTCGAGAATCAGGCAGTGCTCTTTGATTATTAAGCCATTTCGTAAATACTCTCTACGCATGGGCAGATCAAATAAGGTTTTATTCATTACTTGTCAACATAAGGGTCATTTCTGATAAAATTGTAAAACCCGGCCACCGAGATGACGTGCTCATGTTATGTAATCATTATTCATGTATGCACTTACGGTACATTCTATGATACAAGAGGGCAAACAATAGCTTTTCATAAAGCACATACATGACTTTGGCATTGATTATTAAAAAAATACACGAAGTGGGACTTCTCTATGAGTAAAATATATATGGATATTTGGGGTCATGTGACCCATGTGCTAACCACGAAATGGTCAATTATGTAAGCCCCTTTCAACACTTCCTGTCGATCATGCTCTAGCGAACCTAAAGGAATAGACAAAGTGGGTCATTTTATGGGTCTAGATATTAATGGGGGCTGCCGCCATGTCTTATGTAAAAAGGGAATAATAGAGGCTATAATAACAGAGGAGGGTGTGGTATCATCCTCGTTTCATTATTTCCTTTCCCCTTTCCTTTTTTTAAAATGTCCCGCTTATCCTTTAGTGATTGTGAAATGTCAACTCTTCTTATTTTCACGTAACTATGTTATTGTTTTTATTCATTTCCATCAACTTTATTCGTGAAATACTGCTATATGACGAGTGTAAATAAACTATAAGTTGAATCTCTCACTCATTCTTTCTCATTTTCAATTACTTGTTTAGACCATTTGGTTGGGATGGGGCACAAGGCCCCCCTCCCCCACTAATGAAAGAAAGGTTTAATTCCTCTTTGACTTCTTAGAGGTAATACATTATTTACTTATTTGGAGTTCAAAACCATGAAGTCATCGTATGTTTTGATTGTGATGTGTTTATTTCGTGTTCGGTGACGGATTGCGTAACTCAACTCTCTTGTAAACAGGCCTTCTCCATCAGCGCCCATTTCACCCGTTTGCTCTCTCTCTCTCTCTCTCTCTCTCTCTCTCTCTCTCTCTCTCTCTCTCTTCCAATGGCAAGAAAGAAGGCTTCATTACTCTTCGCATCTCTCAACTATTCTATATAATATAAAACATAATGGCCCGAATTCACAAAGGAGGTTTGTCGACAAACCTTGGTTTTCGTGCGTCATTATGACGCGTTTCGACGCGTTTTTTTTTAAAACAAAGGTTGGTTAAAACGCGTCATAATTATGACGCACATAAACCTAGGTTTTGTCGACAAACCCCCTTTGTGAATTCGGGACAATTATCTCCTGACTTGGGATTCAAACCCATGAAATGTTACGTCACCACTTGTTTTGAAAGTGATGTTTTTCTATCGTATTTGCTGACGCATTGTACATGTATACACAATAATGTAGCTCACCTCGGTAATTAACCTCGTGTGGGCCTCACGAGTTCACTGATCCGCTAACACTTCAGTGTTCAATTGTGACATTTTCAAAGGATTATTCATTAACAAGGAGCTCTTCCATTAGATAAAGCACATGTACGTGTCGTCAAATTTTAAGAACTATACTTTCATCAGAACAAAACACCTTTTTCTTGGTTTAAATTATAAAATGGGTAGGTCCCATAGCTCCTTTTGTAAGCGTCTCCATCATTTATATTTTTGTTTGGCTTTCGTTCATGAGTTCAAGTTGCTGTTTATTTGAACACAGTTTTCTAAAGCTAAGTTTGATACATTTTGTCTCGGTGATTTTGCACAAAATCCCAACATATTCAAATTGGAATTTAGCTCCTTTTGGCAACTAGCATTTGAAAGTGTTGGAATTTCTAGAGGAAATTTTTTTCCCAAAAATATTCAATAAACAATAAATATTGGAGAAGATGATATTATGCTATGCCAGCAGTATCAATGTTCTTGCAATTAATTTGAATCGTTAAAATTTGGTTAAACTTGCAAAGTGAGATGGTCGACCAGAGTTTCATTGCAAACGGGGCTAAATCCACATAAATGAAAATTATCAAAATTTATGATTAAACAGAATTCATTGCTAGATTTGTTTGTAAAGATGATAAAAACGATGCAAGGCATAATCCCTACAATATATACAAAATGAAGAGATAACGTACAAGAGAAAGTGGTAAAGAGAAAACACTTAATCTAATCTGTTTTAAACACTGAGAGTGGATTTACCCCCCTTTTGGCATTAATCTCTAAATTCCTTTCTTTCTTTCTATCTTCATTTGTTTATTGATTTTAACCTAAAAACCTATATTGTGTCAATGAGTGCATAAGACCAGGCCATTGGTAAGTTATGTACCAATATTTAGTTGGACAATGAAGTGAAATGAAATGGCTCACAGAATGTAATCTACTTAAAAAAAAACTGAAACTAAAAAATAATAATAACAACAAATAATCATCATACAGTATATATTTGTAACAAATATATAAATTGAATCAAATAGACAATTGAAACAGAGAAATAAGATTATGGAAATAACAAATTATTTTTTTCTTCCAAAAGCTGGAAAGGTCTTTATTTACAAAGTAAAAGTAATTGCACAGTTTCATGTTTAGTATGATACATCAAAATATGACAATAAACATATAAATATCTTAACAATGCATATACATGTATACTTCATAGAAAAACTCTTACGACGGTTAAAAATATTACAGTTCTAACATTTTGATGAATGCATTAAAATTGCTCTATAGTCTCTCCTTGTCACCGATGTATGAATTATATTGATTTTAATTCATGTAGATCACCTCCTCTGGCTCACAAATGCAACCTGAGATTGTAAAAAAAAAGAATTAAAAATCACTGACCAACGCGATGGTAAAATGTAACAGCACCAACATATCATTTGTATACCCTCGATTTTGCCGTAATTATTAGCACAATAGACCATATAAGAAACATTCATGTAGATATCTAATAGTAGTAAAGGCTTGTTCAGAAATGCCGCGGTATACTGCCACCAAAAAGCCGCCATGTTTTTTTTTAAACGCTTGAATAAACGGCAAATGCCCGCAACTAAGGACTTCACTTAGCTCTGTGTTATGGGATACAGAAATGTCAGTAAAGCATAGTACACTTTAAGTCATCATTTAAAAAAAAAACACTGCAGTTTTGGTGCATCATATCTGAATGAGTCTTAACAGAGATAAGATAAGTATTACAGATCGAGAGAATTCTTTTCTCTCGGTGTTAAGTTTAAAAAAATATAAAATCGATCCATCTACCACTGAAAACATTAGAAGGATCATATAACTACATGGTGCATATACTGGGTGGGGAGTGGAATATGAAACAATTTATAAACATAATTATAATCAAAGAACAAGACAATGTGACTACAAATGAAAGAGAGATAGAAGGAAGGGCAGAAAAAGAGAGATAGAAGGATGGGCAGAAAAAGAGAAGACAGATAAAGAAGAAATGTGGAAGACAGAGTGCAGAAGATGAAACAACAAAAGGCCTTTCTTCATCAGACCCAAGTTGCAAAATAACCAGCTATTTTCAGACTCTGGATATTTTCCCGAAGCTCGAAATTGCGGCTTCACCAGACAGATATGCCCATCACAAACTAGCGCAAATTAGCCCGCTATTTTGGAAACAAAACCAATATTTCTTGGGATATTTTCTTGACCAAATAGTCGCTAATTGCAACTGCGGGCTGATGAAGACACAAATTAGCTGGTTAATTTGAGATCGGGCTGGTCAAAATAGAGAGTTATTTTGCAACTTCGGTCTGATGTAAACAGGCCTAATGAGTAGTAAATTGAATTACATCTAGAAAAACGATGATGATACTCAATAGAGGCTTAGAGTAGCAGTATAAAAACACGTAAACATCAATACAGCTAGGATATGTTGGGTTTTAAAATCATAGGTATGAAATAGAAAATTACTCCCATAATTGAAAATTTTGCATTAAATCCAATAAAATATCAGATTGATTCATGTGAGCAGAGATAAAAGAAATGAAGATTTATGAAAAAAATGTCTAGGATCTCCATGTCATCATCAACTATCTTGCAATAAATAAGAACAACTAATTGTAAAATATGTGTGATAAAGATATGAATCATATATTTTACCCTATACAAATAATTAATAAAAAAAGAACTAGACAGTTTCCTAAAATATTTCACTTATATTTTAAGGATTGACTTAGATATAAACCATGCACAATATGTCTACAGGATGTTCTATACTGAAATGATTTTAAATGGTTAAGAATTCTGACTTGAAATATTGCTTTCTAAGTGATTTTAAAAGATAAATTAGGTCAATCTCATTACTCATTACATAAACATTTTCCCTCATTTTGATTTTCATATTCAAATATTTCATTGATTTCGATTTACACATAGAAACTTGTTGTTTAAAAAGAAATGACAGTTGTTGAAAAAGTTAATTTGATAGACTTGTTAAGAATACATTGCATTTCAGAGGATTTTCATAAAAATTTAACCCATCATGAAGAGCATTATCAAAATCGAAATAAGATTGCCCTGTCTGAAATATCTTTTTATGGGCTATCATCATCATACTGGAGAGTACATTTACTATGTGTAATTTATTTACTCTCTAATATGCTTTTATACAGAGTATAGAGCTCTATTAAAAGAGACGCTACTCACTTCCTGCTATGGTAGTACCTTACATAATTCAACTGATACAGAAACTTCTTTAAAATAACAGTATTCTAGATCGACTGACCAACTATTTGAGAAGGGAAAATACCTCCAAATGGATGTAATTCATGACCTTCTTTTTCTTTTGTTGATTAGGACTTGGCTAATGGTGATAATGTAAGTACAAATTTGTATGAGTTTTCACATGATATAGATGAAGTTGACTGACCACAAGAGGGCGGCAGGCACTTAAAATGAAGATAATGCATAATAATCCAAAGGTTGCACCTCTGATGTACCATTCGTATGAGAAAAATTAATAAGGAATGGTTTACTAGATACCGAATCTCCATCTCCATAAACAATTTCTGTTGTCATGACAACCATCTCGTCGGATACGTCTTTCAGAGTTATACTCCGTTCATACATAAGCTTCAAAGTATATTGACATGTGCCGTGATTTAAGTAGTTGCAACCACTGGGACATATAGAAATGACAACGCATATAATCCTTGATGTCTGCAAGAATGGTTCCGCGGCTTCCACTTAACAGTCATCAGTTTGGACTGATCATATAAGATATAGATATATGCCTCCCTTCCATCAGATGGAGAGTCGGTAAATGGCACTCTCTGCCTCTATTAAGAGGTCACCATGTATAGATCTGTGGCAAGACAACTTTTGTTCTCTGCAAGTGACGGCATCGATGGCACGTAAGGATCTCACGATTCAACGACACCCACATTCACCAGGTGTAGACAGCATTCACAGACAGCTCTGCTACATGTATCAGCAGAATTGACGACACATCAGATTCTCATTATCACAATGTTCAGATTGGCTGGGTTAAGACAGCGTTCGAAGACATCTCTTCAAGAGACGATATCAAAAGCATCGATGACACATCACAATCTCATGATCATGATCTTCAGATTGGCTGGGTCAAGACAATGTTCGAAGACATCTCTGCAAGAGACAATATCAACAGTATCGATGGCACATCAGAATCATCTCTTCAAGAGACGATATCAAAAGCATCAGTGGCACATCACAATCTCAAATTCACTTGATCCCTCCTTGAACCTCAACCGTATCCTCAAACTTGACGTCCATATCGTTACAAAAGTCTTCGGTGATAGGCACGCAGTTGAGGTACTGGCACCAGGAGCACTCTGTGATGGGGCGGATGTAGAAGAGGACGAAACCCAGCGTGAAGAAGCCGACCAGGAGCACGATGCACACCACCATCTGGATGCGCTTGCGGTTGCGGTCGAACTCCCCGAAGCAGATGTACGGTAGGAAGATGAAGGAGAGGAAGATGCCGCAGATGAAGCCACCGAGATGGGCGAAGTTGTCAATCCAGGGCAGGAGACCCAGAGCAAAGAGCACCATGATGATGGCCAGCAGCTTCAGGAGGGCCTTGCAGGGGTTGCGCAGGATCTGCCAGTTCTGGAAGACCTCGACGACCAGACAGGCTAGAAGACCAAACTGGGCTCCTGCAGGACCAACCTAATAGACAACGTGAAAGTGAAGAAGAAAAAAAAAGAATTCTTTGAGATAAAGTAAAACCTGCGACTCTCTCTCTCTCTCTCTAAGTGCCATATCGATTCACTTTGGTGATCATGCTGTTCCACAACCTTCAGCTCCTAGCCTTCTCTATTAATCACCACTCCCAGTTCTTTCACTCCTCTCTCCTCCCAACAATTTTCTGCAGACTGTCCATCCAAAGTATCCTCTTTCTTCCCCTACTCCTCCTTCCCACAATTTTCCCTGTCAAAGCGAGAATCTCTAGGCCTTTTTTACATGTAATGTGACCCATGAACTTCAACTGCCCGACTATTGACTATCAAAAAAACATCTGTCTACAAAGACAGCATTTTTTAATCAACATCGTTTCCCAGTGAAACTACAAAGAAACCTATGCCAAGACCACCTACATGTATCTGCACAAACAACCAGGTTCACCCTGATCTCTATAGACCAAGGATATCGGTGTGTGTGTATTACTTAGGATTAATATGAGCCTTTTTCTTTTCCTTTTTTAGACACAAATATGTCCTATTTTTCTATTTTTCTGAAACACATCTAATATATGTTTATATAACAGTTGTAAAAATGGCAAATGATTTTTATATTTCATAGGGTAAAATACATTTTTCGAAAACTTGCCTAAAAATGTCTAAAATAAGTTCATGGACCTGGTAATTCAACTGACACGTATATTGTCTATTTTACTATTAATTTCTTGAAATAACGAGGTAGGGACAGGGAAAACTATGCATGTCACATCATCACATATTTGTTTGAAAACTTCTCAAGAGCTCTAAGTAGTCAGTCCTTACCTCAGCCCTGTATGGAATTAATATTGCACTGGTGAGAAAGAGAGAGAGAGAGAGAGAGAGAGAGAGAGAGAGAGTGAGAAACAGAGAGAGAGAGATAACGAGAGAGAAAGAGAGAAAGAGAGAAAGAGAGTAGTCGGTCCTTACCTCAGCCCTGTATGGAATTAATATTGCACTGGTGAGGTTTCCTCCGATCCCGCTGAAGATATAGATGATGGCTATCCTGAACCAGCCGGCTAGCTTCTCAAGGTCTCTCAAGATGGTCATATGCATGATGAAACTCAACACACAATGGAAGATACTGCAGGAAGAATATTAAGCAGATTGATTTGATGCGCGACATGTTAGTAGAATTCTATAGGGTGAACTTTGTCTGTTGAGAATGTGGAGGGACTTAAAGCGGGACTGCACTACTTGTAGCTACTTGCGCCCTCTACATAGCCAACAATGCCTAAGCGGCGACCGTTGATCCCCCTCCCTATGATCCCCCTTTTCTTATTTTAATTGAGAGCTGATTTGATGAGATAACCACCTACCAGTGACCACGCAGGGTGGTCTAATCCCCCTGGCCAAACTAGTGCAGATAGGCCTCAAGTTTTAATCTTTTGAAATAATTTAATAATTTCTATACGGCAAAACCTGAAAAACTTTGATTATAACAATTCCTAATAACAATGTGATTGAATATGAAAATATGGACTATAGATACTGATGCCAACAAGACATAAAACAATGAATTTAAGGCCAATCACTCATATCATATCCAGTTTATAATTTTGTTGAGAGAGGAATTGCATTCAGGGTACGATTGCAATTTATGTTGAAAGCTCGTCTGCACTAGTTTGGCCAGGAGAATTAGACCTCCCTGCAAGGTCACTGACAGGTGGTTATGTCATCAAATCATGAGAGCAATGGGGCTTTAAATGTGAGTACTTTCTGATTGAGATTCCATGCGATTATAAGAACAACAGAAATTGAAATAATTTTTATACGGCAAATCCTGAAAAAGTTTGATTAAAACAATGTGAATGAATATGAAAATATTGACTATAGATACTGATGATGATGGCTACAACACATAAACCAATGAATTAAAGCCCCACTGCAAAACTTATAGCTACTTGCGCCTTCTATATAGCAAACAATGCCTAAGTGGTGACCGTTGATCCCCCATGGCCCCCTTTTTCTTATGTTAATTGAGGGCTGATTTGATGAGAAAACCGTCTGCCAGTGACCATGCAGTGTGGTCTAATCCCCCCTGGCCAAACTAGTGCAGATAGGCCTCAAGTTTTAATCTTTTGAAATAATTTAATAATTTCTATACGGCAAAACCTGAAAAACTTTGATTATAACAATTCCTAATAACAATGTGATTGAATATGAAAATATGGACTATAGATACTGATGCCAACAAGACATAAAACAATGAATTTAAGGCCAATCACTCATATCATATCCAGTTTATAATTTTGTTGAGAGAGGAATTGCATTCAGGGTACGATTGCAATTTATGTTGAAAGCTCGTCTGCACTAGTTTGGCCAGGAGAATTAGACCTCCCTGCAAGGTCACTGACAGGTGGTTATGTCATCAAATCATGAGAGCAATGGGGCTTTAAATGTGAGTACTTTCTGATTGAGATTCCATGCGATTATAAGAACAACAGAAATTGAAATAGTGGGGTATTGCAAGTATTGAAGTCAGAGATTATGATAGGCCCAAGCAGTCGGGGAATGGTAGACTTCAAAATTGTCCCTGATTTGTAGTTAACTGTGCCCTGCACTTTTCCTGAAATAGAAAGTACTATCAAGAATTCATTGAAAAGTCTTTAAACTTTAATTTATCATATCGAATCCTATCACAGTTTCTCCAAAAAATATCAGTTTGTAGGTTGTGTGTAAAGTCTGCAAAGCCCATAAGATTGCAGCTAGGTTTTAATAAACTTACCCAGCATGAAGGAAAAGCGAGAGCCATAACCTGTAGATCTGATCGGGATAATCTGGATTAAAAAAGTTGATTAATCCACAGATAGAGTCTACGCATGAAACCTAAAGCGGAAGAAAAAAGAGAGAAAGTGAGTGATTTAACGTCAGTAATCATATATTCTGTGGAATTCGACACAGATCAACAACCCAATCCAATCCAATCCAATCAAAAATGTACAGTGGAACCTGTCTATGAAGACCACCCAAGGAAAAAAGTGGTCTTAATAGGCAGGTGGTCTCTATGTACAGGTTCCTTTAGAAAATGTTTCAATGAGAAACCATGTTCAAGGGAAACAAAAAATGTGGCCACTATAGACAGGTGATCTTTCTATACAGGTGGTTGCTAAAGCAGGTTTGACTGTATTTGATTTAGCGCTTTTCGTTGCAGTTACAAGGCTCTGCACAGTGCTCGACACAAAAGAGAAAAAAATTAAAAAGATAGAGAAAAGAAAAGGACATGGGGGGGGGGGGAAGGAACATGGAAAGATACTAACAGGACACCCCCACCTTCCCCATAATCGGTTGCTTTGTTACTTCCAATTTGACCCACCTAGTAACATTGGTACCCCCCACCCCCACCCCCAACCCCCTCCCGATAATGCTATTGCCCCCTGACTGACAGGAACTACACAATGCCATTGCTCATCACATGTAGAAAGTCAGGGTTCCCACAAAAATTTGAGAACCAAATTCGACGACTTTCCATGAACCTATTTTTGCCTTTTTCCGTTACCAGCTAAGTGCCATTTTGGGATTCGGATTGAGGCATCCAAGCAACGTACGAATACTAGGCCCATTGTCAGTTCAAGCTTGAAGGCTGCCAGAGCCACACATGCCCCACACCCATGACTTTGGGAGATTTCTTTGATTATTTTCAAGGACATTCCATGACATTCCAGGTTTTTCCATGACCGTGGTAACCCCTACAAGATGCAATTTTTTGCAGGATTGCTCCACCCACCAGCTCATACACAAGGTCCTTGAACTGCACATTGGTGTACAGACTGGTGACTGTGTTGTTTCATCTCGTTTTGCTGCAGAGGTTCCCTATTCCTAGATTTTTAACTGTAGAGGTTCCCTGTTCCTGGGGAGTGTTCCACAAAGACTAAGATCGACTGTAACTATGGCAGGCCGATCATGCCACTGTTTTTTCTTACCAATTACTGGCATTGGTCTCTCAAGTGACGTCCAAATCATGGTCACAAATCTACAGAATTTACCTTTTTTGATAGTTCATCATTGAAGGAAAAAATAGTATCTAAAGATCATAATTGAGAGACCAATAGCGAGAGCAACCAGTGGCATGACTGGCTGGCAATAGTCCAACTTAAAGTCGATCTTAGTCTTTGTAAAACACCCTCCAGGATTTTTAACTGAGCCGTATGAGAGCTCCATTTGCTTAATACCTGAGAACACAACGTAGCCTCTTCATGGAAGAAACCGTTGACGAAGTCGCAGTAGTCCCGGCTGACGATCTTACATTCACCATGTATTCCGATGCAGCATGGGCGACCTGTGACCTCGCACATGGTGTGATATTGGTTGTGCGAATCAAACGGCTCCACGCAAATCTACGGTGAGGGCAGCAGACAAAGAGTGAATGTGAATTTGGAGAGTAAAATAAAGGGCAATTAAAGTCGAAAGAGTACAATTCATTGTCGTTAACTTCTAAGAATTCAAACAAGTGCTCACTAAGATTTTGAAACTTTGCCTACCCTGAACGGCTCAACGCAAATCTATGGTGAGGGCAGCAGATAAAGAGTGAAAATAGTTCACGATGTGCATTTGAAGAAAGGGGAGTTAAATAAAGGGCAATTCAAGTAGAAAGAGTACAATCCATGGCCGTAAACTTCAAGAATTCAAACAAGTTTTCACTAAGCTTTTGAAACTTAGCAAAGCCTGAACACTTAAGAAGTCAGAACAAGAGTAAGACAAATTAATTCTAATGCCTGCATTTTAACCCTTCTGAACGATGCAGACTTTTTTTCAAATGTTGTAAAGCATTTTGTTACAATTCTGCACCAGAGCTGAGTGGCTTGATCATGGAGAAGTTAAAAGTGATGAAGTATTTATAAGCTTACAATTCACTGGTTATGGATGCATTGTCTGATTGTTTACACTCTGATCACAAAATTTAATATTATTCTTTGCCAGATGCAAAATAAATGATAATGGTTGGAAATAATTTGTAAGGTGTGCATGGAATCGTTTTAAGAACGTCAAAGTTCAAGTAAATCTATCCTGGAATAGTTATAAAAAATCAGAAAAACTTGTTCATGACTTACAGGCCATTTGGTGATGTCATCGGGCCATTCATAAGGTGGTCTAGAAGAAGGACTCTTGCATTCCCTGATTGAAAAACAAAGATCAAATATTTTATTCATATATTTTATTTTAAAATATTTATACAGGATGAGAGTATCAGCCAAAGCTGTTTCTCATATTGGTCCTTTTCAATTCCATTCAATTTCAGTTCCAGCGATATTTAATCATCACATACCACCTTGGTAAATGAAACAGATGAAATTGACAAAACTGGCCAAAAATCAGGCAATAAACTATGTGTTCACACAGTTTCTACGTTTCTACAGAACTGAGAAGACGAGCGTTTCCGGAGAATTCCCCCTCTGCAGACAGGTGCACTATTCAGTTAGATTACGTTACGTTTACACAGACGCGGGTAACTAGAAAAGTTCAGAACTTGAAGGTATTGAAGTTCTGGATTGAGCTCATGCTGCAATCACAATTGTAAACCTTTAGGTCAGTCAGGAATCCCATGACTTTTACAAGCTAATCGCCTGTCTGATTATCAAGATATTTATGATTGGAAATCAAAATTTCATTTTCGCTTTCCTAACGTTTGTATAACACTACAGTCTATTGGGGGAAATGAATATGGTAAAACCGGTCACTCAAAGATTTTTACTTTTTTGAGGCACTTCATGATCATTTTGAAGCGCAAATTTTTTAGGGCTTCAATATTAAACCATATCACAGACACTGATAACATGTAGGAATGTACATCTCAGATCTAACATTGTTAAACAATGTCTTTAACTTTAATTTTGATCTTGATCGCCATGATGATGAACTCACCTTGGATCTTGCCCACACACAGGTCCCGATGTCCTTAGTTCATTGGTATCAGGGTTACTAGGTGTCCACTTGGAGAACATCGCAAATCTTGTCTGGAAAACAAATAAAACAGAGTAGTTTGTTCGTTTGTGTCTCATTAGATCAAGATAACTCTAACTTTTCTACATTAGATTAAATTAAATTAAGTTCTTCCATCGCCTGATGGCTGCGATGGCCCTCTCATTTACAAGAGCCAGGTCTTCATCTGTGCAACCCGTTCTGCCACACTGCAAGATGTGGTCCAACAGAGCATTTAAATACAATATCAGCCTGATGTGCATGATCTTGGAAAATGTAAATGGACTTTTCAAGGGAAAATAAAAAAAATCTTCTCATACAACAAGTTAGGTTATATGTAGATTGAGGGAATTATGAGCTGAAAAGGTAGTTATGTGACTGACTATAAAATGAAGAACTATCCAAAACTAACAAATCAACTCACAAACTAGATGATGAACAAATCTATATTATATCAAAGCAGAGGCAAGATTGGGAGAAACAGAAGAGTCTTTTCTAGCTCATTTGAACAGACAATCAAATACTGTAGTATACTTTCAGCTACTTACTGAACATTCCTCAGAAGACGTCTGCACACAACCAGCATTGTCTGATCGTATACAGCACCCTGTCATGTTCTCTATAAATTTTGCATCCTCTATCTTGGCAAATACTTGTTCGTCTCGGTGCATGCACGGGGCAAACTTGGCGCCTAGATGTATCAAGTCCGCCTGTAGATGAAGAAGATGAGAGGAAGATACATGTATGATCATCATGATCCTTAAATAATAATAATAATAATAATAGGCATTTCTATAGCGCCATTCTATTCCGAGGCACATTTATTATTATTATTATTATTTATTTTTATCCTTCGCCAGACTTTGTACAACTGATTCATTACTCCTTGAAAGAATTATCACAGATAATGTTAGAACTTATACAATTTTTCATGTGAATAAAAAATGTAATTTGATGCGCTATGTAAGCTAGATATGTAATGGTTGTCCTAGATTTGAAAAATATACCATTACAACATTGTTTATAAATGCATCATTGTTCATAATGCGCTAAAGTGTAACTTCAAACTAAATCTGAAGTACAAATTTCAAACCAAAGCATCTTTATAAAAAGTGCTCATCAGAAAATAAAAGCAAATCTTGTCAGAGTCTGTTTATAAAGACAGTGGAAACTCATTTTTCTTGAAATCTACAAAGTGCAAGTGTACAATAAATGATTGTTGAATAAATGATTGTTGGGAAACACTTGAAATTTTATGATTTTTGAAATCATACAGACATAGTTGGAACTGCAATTAAAGGTACACCTACCGGCCTCGGCCCGATCCAGAAGTTATCGGGTTCCTTGTACCCCACTGTCTCCATGACTAAGTTTGATTGCAAGACCTGCAAAAAAGTTGTAATAATAGTGATAGTGCAGAACGTTAGATATAATCAAGACATGTACAATAAATGGTGGGCTGGTGTTTAACAAAGGGAGATTCAATAAAGGGTAACGTGGAGAAAAGGGGCCTCTCTTGTACGTGAAAAACGTGACAATGGAAAATCTTAAGCTGGTTACAGGAAAGAGAGAGGCGGAGGGGGAGACGAAGACAAAGAAATCCTTAACTTAAAGTGACTCTGTAACATTGCCCAAGATTTTGAAACAAAATCCTGGATTAAGCTCATGCTGCAATCATAATTATAAACCTTTAGGTCAGTTAGGAATCCCATGACTTTTACAAGCCAATCACCTGTCTGATTATCAAGATATTTATGATTGGAAATCAAAATTAAAAAAAAAAAAATCCTAAGGTTTTTTTAATGCTACAGCTACAGAAAAGGAGTATGGCAATACCGGTCACTCGTAAATTTTTACTTTTTGAGGCACTTCATGATCATTTTGAAATGCAATTTTTATTAGGGCTTCAATATTATACCGTATCATAGACACTCCTATAAAGAGATTTGGAATACACCATTGGAACTTTAATAGCAAACATGCACCCATAGAGATGACTGACATAGACTGTTCACTGATTAGCTCCTCACAACTAGGGATGTTTCACAACACTTGTCATTAGTGACAAATGACAGTTGTTCTTATAAGCTACCAAAATCCTTGCTTCTGATTGGTTATCAGCAGATTTGTCACTGATATTTGTCATTTGACATTGAAAAAAAGGCTTTGTGGAACGAGTCCCAGAGGTTGTGAAGAGGTTGTATGACACATGCTCTTGCAACAATTGCTCTGCAATCAATAACCTATACCAGGGAGGTGATGGAGAAGGAGTGGAAACTCTTGTAATGATTCCACTCCTTCTCTATCACGTCCGTACCTATACTAACTGAATTCTTAACTTTCAACCCTGGATCAAACACTGTACCTGACCTTAACCCTGACCAAAACGTGAAGTAAAACCCAATTGCAACCCAAACTAAATACCTTTGAGAATCTAAAGCCTGGAGCAAATGTCACAATGGGCAGATGTCGAATCATCAAAGAATAAGTTTGAGCAGTAACCCTTTATATGCCACGCAAACAATCTGCCCGTGACACAATTGCATTTATCACGACGTAGATATACCAAAGGCTTCGAGACAATTCAACTGGTTCCATTGCGAGGCTATCTATACCAATGTTTAAAAGGGTTGTCCAAGAGCAAATCAAGTTCGGAAATGGATTATTTTGCAAAGCATTTGTGTTGCACAAAGCAATCCTTCAATCCGTCAATCGGTGCCCAGTAGTTTGTGCAAAATAGCATGTGTGGCAAACGAGCAACTGTGGAGAGAGGCAGAGAAAGCAATTTAAGTGTTAACTCTTTGAATACGATTGAATATTAATGGAAACTTACCACTCCTGTTTTCTGTGTGTAACTGAAGCCGATGGGCGCAAATCCGTAGAAGGCAAGAGATACTATCATGATGGCTATCTGTACTGTGGTTACCCAGTAGGTAAAGTAGGGTCGACTAAAGACACAGAGAGAGAAAAGAATTGTTCTTAAATGTGTGAAGGGCATATGGAGGGGAATTTCCCTAACTTGGTGGCTTCGTTCACAGGCACAACATTTCTTGCAACTTCTTCCTCAATATAGAGACCCTGCCTGCAAAGACTTAGATTGATATTTGTGAATAGTACAATATAATAAGTGAGGTATTGTCCTTTTCTAGATCTTAATAATGTTAACCACAGAAAACTTGCCGCTAGTCACGCACACAATATCACTCCACTTCCTACGAAAAAAAGAACAAAAAACCTAATTGTAACCTAAAAAAAAATACTTTCATTATCATTGCATGCATCTCAATGACTAAAACCTATATTTGAAATATAACCAATATTATCAATGATTCATGCCTTTATAAATTCAAAAAGATTAACCAAACCGTTGCCCAAATGTATGTATGCGTTGCTTCAAGTCTCCAATTACACACCTTTGCAAAACGCTTCCCTGTTAAAAAAATTGTTAACATGATGTTTGTTTGTGAATTTTAATAAAAAGTGAACTTCTTCTTAAAAAGAGTATTCTGATGCATATTTTCTCCTATTTATCTCAGCTCTTGATGAGCCTTTTAGAGCTCAAATGCTCCGAGAGCAACCCACAGATACTCAACATGCTACCAGATGCAGAGAATGAGATACCGCATGCTTCAATGTTGGAAAGGTGCCTCTCTGACTGTAGGCGGCTTACCTGTGGTCTTCGATCTCCTCGATTTGCTTCTGAACGTAGCTGTCCATCCTCCTGGACCTGTACCTCCTGTTGAGGACCCGGCCCACCAGGCCCTTGCCGATCTCTCTCCTGTCTGCATTGTCCATGGCCATGTCCATGATCTGCTCCCTGATCTTGGTGCGGCGGAGGGGCTTGCTGCCGTCCGGGAGGTCCTCCGGGAGGGGTGAAACGATGGGCGGGATCTTGAAGCGCTCCTCCGTCTTGGGTTTGCGCCACCCGATGCCGGTAGGTCTGTAAAGTAACAATTATACCATGTTATTTTTAGTCCATGGGGGGGGGGGGGTGACAAGATAAGATGCCTAAACAGCTTCACACCTGCCATTCATGACTCAGTAAAAGCTAAGAGACTTCAGTTGGTGAAAAATTACCAGAAGCAGGATGATTTACTGGTCAGTTATAGGAACTACATCAAATAGGCTTGCGATTTAAAAACATTAAAAACATCACAAACATACACAAATTTGCACTGGAATTTGTTATCGAATTAATTGCAGAGGACGCATGGTTTTAGATAGCTGAGTAAAATATTGTGCAAAGTACAACTGGTAACTGTTAAAAGGGCACATCTAGGAAAGCAACAGTCATCGTATTTCCTGACTAGGATCTGTATAACTGGGAACTGGGGTGGACATGCTCTTTCTCTCTCTAAGTGCCATATCGATTGGCTTTGGCGATCATGCTGCTCCACAACCCTCGGTCCCTAGCCTTCTCTTTTAGCAACACTCACAGTTCTTTCACTCCTCTCTCTTTCAACAATTTCTGCAGACTGTCCATCCAAGTATCCTCCTTCCCACAATTTTCCAAGTCAAAGCAAGATTCTCTAGGCCTTCTTTATGTGTAATGTGACCCATGAACTCCAACTGCCTAATCAACATCTCACATATCATTTTCCTTTGCACTCCAGCTCTTCTAAGAACTTCCTCATTACTAGCTTTGTCAGTCCAAGGGATTATCATCATTCTTCTTAAAAAAAACATTTCGCAACTTTCCAAATGCTTTTCAGTATCAGAGGCTAAAGTCCATGTTTCACTACCATACATACGTACTGGGTAGATATAAGAATTCAGTACTCTTTAATATTCTCGTCCTCATACCCATTGTGCGTTTTGTCAGAATTTTGGATATGTACTAGTCTGAAAAATTCATCTGATGCAAGTTTGCTTCACCTAGCTAGATTTTAATGCTACATGATATTGGTGAAGATGTGGCCCTGTGTTAAAAAAAAGGTTTACTTTTAAAGGTTAAGATCAGTTTTGGAAATGCCCCCCTCTCAAAAAATGAAACGGAAGCTCTTATTACCAATCAAGAGTATGACTAATACGTGGTGATACAAATTTTGCAGAGAAACCGCCTACTGATTGATGTATTTGGTAAACTATTATATCTATTTGGACCTGATAGATATCGTGCACGTGTCGGGCACGTATCGCGTAGTCCCATATACAACTTGCTGTGTCCAGTGCTTGTAACTTTACAAAAACTGGGCCTAATTTCTTATCATTTTGATGATTCCAGAACCTTGGAGTACACACCAATACTTATATGCTAGATGATCAACCTTTTCGGATCGATTCCACAATGTTTCTTTCACAATGCAATCGTATAACCATAACTGGTCTTTACCTTTAAGCCTCGCTCAGATATGAGGTGGTAAACAGTGGTATTTTATAACAGAGCTAAGTGATTATGCGTGGGATCATTGTAGAACGCGATTGGCTTTCGTTTATACGTTAAACAAAAAACGTGGCAGCTTTTTTGTGGTGGTTTATTGAGCTAATACACTTCTAAGTGTAAGCGCTTGGCATCAGATTGTGAGAATACGGGCATTTGATTGAGTACTTTAATCTACATTTGCCACTCTCCATCCCAGTATTAAAATGGTTATGGATAGGAAGGGATTCCTTGTATGCTGTGAGCATTGAAATCAGTAGCTAGTATTCTCCACTACATTGTTTCAACCACCTTGCATGGTGGATATGCGCACTACAAAAATATCCAATATTATTATTATTATTAATATTAATGTTATTTCTGACTTCTCTCATTCCCCTTGAGGAACTAGATGGTTCCCGTCTGCAACGAGTTAAAGCCAGTCTGCACTAGTTTGGCCAAGGGGATTAGACCTCCCTGCAAGGTCACTGACAGGTTGTTATCTCATCAAATCAGCTCTCAAATAACATAAGAAAAAGGGGACCATGGGGGACCAACAGGCACCATTAGACATTGTTTGCTATACAGAGGGCGCAAGTAGCTATAAGTAGTACAGTGGGGCTTTAAACTCACATCATGTCCTGTAGCACATTGGTTGTCCTGGAGTCCAGGGGATCCCCGGCTGAAGGCTCTCTCCGGTAGACATCTGGAAGATCAGGCATAGCGTACATATCATCTTCTCCTGGGTCTGGGTATTCCCCCTTGTAAGGCGGTCTTCCAGCTGCAGAAAATGGTTGAAAGAAACAGAGAAGCTGAGTGACAGCATGTCTTTTAAAAGATTGGGGGGGGGGGTGAAAACTATTGATTTAGCACAGAGTTAGAACCAGTAATCTTGTTTTTTCAATACTTAGACATAATAGGAAAGCAGTTTGTAGTTGATACGTTAATTCACCTAACCAGCTAATATACAAGCAATTTCACTTCATTCAATTTCAGTGGAGATATTAATTCTTATGACAGGAATTGATTATTACTGAATTATGGAATTACACTTATTCATCTCTGAAGTGCGAATGTAATCAGATGTTTCATTTCAAGACATATCATTAAAACACCTACCCAAGTCAACCTCATCGAATCCACCAAGTTTGCCGGGAGGAGGGCGAGGCAACTCCCTGAACCGGTCCTCGTTGCGGGGCGTCCTCTCTCTGATCTCCTCATACTCGCTGGCTGTCTCATCCGACTCCAGGCGCAGATTCGGGGGCGGGATAGGGGGCGGCTCTGCGCTGGGGGGCGGGGCTCTCCTCTTGGCCTTTGGTGAGAAGTCAAAGAACACCTCGTCATTGAGCTCATCAGAAAGCTGGATGGTTGGTTGGTCAGGGTGGGTGCACAGGCAGGGATAGATGCAGGGGGAGGGGGAGGGGGAAGGGCAGGGGGCAGGATGCAGGGGTCACAGAAAAAACCCATCAGGACAATGACAAATGAGGACACAAGGAAAATTATAAAAAGGAAGAAACAAAGAGAAAAAAACAACCCAGAAAGCGAAGAGGAGAGGGTGAAAGAAGAGAGAGGAATAGATATAAATGTATATTTAGTGAGAGACGGAGAGAAGAAGAGAGTGAGAAGGAGAGAGAGATAGAGAGAAGGAGGTACAGATGGACAGAGTGGTAGAATGATTGAAACAATGAAGTAGAAGAAATGTTTCCAAATGGGGGGAAAAAACAGGATGGGACAGAAAAGAAAATAATTTTCGAGAACAGAAAATTCAAATTGGACAAAATTTGACAGATGATATGACAGGGGCAAGGATTCATTATAGAATATTTTTAAAAAGTAGAGGGAAAGAAGTGGGAAGGGTAAAAGGTGAGGGTGTGGCCGGCAAAGAGGTAAGGAAAGTTTATTATGGGATCGATGGTCAGATGTTCAATGTATATTGGGACAAAGAAGGGTAGGGGAGAGAAGGAGGAAAACCAAGCAAAATGCAAAAACAAAATAAGAACATGCCAATATTGCAGACAATCATTCAAAAATCATATGAACAATACAACAAAATTAAGATCTTTTAAAAGAAACACCAACATAGATCATAAACCATCAAACTAGAAAATTGCATCCAATGGGTCACCACTTGCAAACACTGTATGGACCTAAAACATATTATTTCTATTTTGCACAAAACAGGGGTGAGTTGTAAGCTTAGCACAGCCCAAATAACAAAAGTAACTTTATTGGTAAGATCATATACTTGTGTCTTTTAATACATACACACAAAAATAAAACATAACAAACAGAATTTTAAAAAAAGGTATAAATGAAATTATAAACTGGCAGGCAGAAAATTATCACTAGCAATCAAAGTGTACCAATACCCCATAATAAATCAGTTTGGTGTGATAGTACTTTTATGTCGTAATATCATATTAAGAATATGAGCTTCTCATATCGCTTTTGTATTAAAGATATTTTGCAGGCAAAAACTCACTCTCAGGTATTAAACATAACAGTGACTGGCGAGTCGGCTGCTCAATGCACCTGTAAGCTCTCACTTAAAATAGGGCACACAAAATTATTTTTGAAGGTGATTGGTACACTTTGAATAATATCGGACATGCCCAAGAATTTACCGTTTGGGGGCCCTGAAATAAATACAAGAGAACAAAATCTAGTTTTAATGATCATATTTACTTTCTTTCTATAAAGCTGATAACAAATTTGAACTGCACGGGGTATTCTCCAAGAGAAATTTGATACAATAATCTCAGATATCATCTTTGATTCGCAATGCACATAGTCCTCACGTTTTGGGTTTCTCAGACAATGAACTCCTTTCCCTTCTTTTATACTCCATAACATTTAGTCAATAATATCTGCTTGAATAACTGAATCAAAACAATTAGTAAGGGCAACACAGAATATTTTTTTCAAAGATATACAGGAAGAGATACATTCTACTTTCCTCCTTCAAATAATATACTTTTGGGTATTTAACTTCACTTTAATATTGTACTGCCTATTAAAATCATTCTCATTATATTCCCAGACAATGTTTATGGTGAGAATGATCATGACTGAACTAAAAATCAGAGCAACTTTAAAGCTAAGAGATGGAGAAAGATGATTAGATTTCTTTATAAAGCCCATCTGTACTAGTTCGGCCAGAGAGGATTAGATCTCCCTGCAAGGTCACTGACAGGTGGATCATGGGGGACCAACAGGCACTGATTAGGCATTGTTTGATATATAGAGGGTGCAAGTAGTTACAAGTAGTACAGTGGGCCTTTAAAAGGACAGTCAGATTCCATTTTTTTTTTTTTTACAAGTTTCACTGCTTACCACTCCTGGTGAAAAGAACTGTGATGGGTCCATGAATTCTTCATCATCTTCATAGTCAAAGACCATACTAGCCGGAGCAAAACTTCTGCTGTGAATGAGCGGAGGACGCTGTTGGACCTTGGGTTGCTGCTAAAGTTAAAAGACAAGAAAAAATGGAGTCGTTCTTTATACCATTTAGCAACCTGAAAGTGCATGTAGAACTTCACTGAGCAGAAATATAAGCGATCTAAAAATCAGGGTTATATATATATATATATATACAACTTTATTTTGTGAGATTCTGGAGTGGAATATTGGTGGATGGTGTGGATGGTGTGTATCAGGCCCAGCTGTACTATAAGTGTTGAGTTCTACTAAATCCTTTGAATGTCACACAAGAAGTCCTTTGTTTATAGGTTTTTTTTATCGCCCTCAGCAAAGTGATCATCATTATCATCTCCAACATTCTTGTCATCATCTCTTAAATCATTTCCATCTTAATTTTAATATAATGATAATCTTCTCTTCGTCATCATCCTCATCATCGTTGTTATGTTGGTCTCCATCCTTCTCCTCCTCCTCCTCCTCATAATCATCATCTCTATCATGATCACTATCATCATCACCATCATCATCATCATCAATATCATCATGATCATCATGATCAATCGTTGTCTTGAAACAACAATAACCACAATACAACAACAACAAAACATTTGACATGCCACCTTCCCCTAATCCACAGCTCAATTCACAAACTGTGCTAAAAGATAACCTTTCCCAAAATATCTCTAATGTCTAGACATCAAAAGATTTTACAATCCCATTTCAGCTGCGATTCATCAATATACCTGTTGCAATCCATTCTGCTCCAATTCTAGGCAGCTGAACGTTTGCCTTGGAGCAGACAAGAACCCACATCTCTATAAATTTCTCCCTAAATCAATAAATTAGGCAGAGGGAGTCTGCCTGTCTGTAGCCTCTATTTCCGGTAATGTATGGCCTACATTTGTAGGATGATCGCTACCATGAACTCGAGTAGATCAGAGCTGAAAAGGTCCCAATTGAAGTGTCACTTTTGATCTCGAGAAGTCGTGGTCAGTCAGCCTAAAAAGTCTCTTTGCATCGTCTACAGTAATGTGCCATTCTGGTGATCTGACATTTGCTCTGGCGACATTTGCTCTAGGCCTTATTTAGTTTACGATACATGTTTAGGGTTAGGGTTAGCGGTTGCACTTTTTTTTTTGGGGGGGGGGTGAGGTTTAGGAGGATTAGGGTCAGGGACAGGTACAGTGTTTGGTCCACCCTTGAAGTAACATATTTTGTTAGTAGGATATTACCTGCAGATAACTGTTGCCAGAGCATGTATGATATTCCAACTACTACAAATAAAAGTATTCTCAAAGAAAGAATCTCCATTGATACCAAGGTTGCAAGAAAAAAATTAAGAGCCCTTTAAAGTTAACAGTTTTGGAAAAGTGTAATATCTGCCATTTCTTATCACTATTATAAATACTGAATATAGAACAAATAATTGGAAAAGTGTCATGTAAAAAGACATCAACTATCAATACTGAATAACAGGCAGTTATTTCTATCAATATAAACTGATATTCATCACAGGTCTACAATTACTCAATTTCATCCAATTCAAGACTACATATAATTATTCATTAGAAATACTGTTTTAAACCTGCAATTATTTAGATTGCTTTTGTAATTTCATTCATTTTGCAGAGCACAGACAGTATATTGATATCTACTGAAGAAAAACTTTGCAAAAGGTTGACACAATCGAGGTGGTCAGAACAATTGAAAGGATATACCATAGTATTCTCATCTAACTTGCATTGGAATAAAAGATATAAACCCTTGTTTGCATGCACTCAAGTGATCCCCAGAAGAAAATATCTGATTTCATATCCTCGCGTCACTGTTTGCTGGATGTGACCTGACATGAACACGCCAAATTATTTTGTAGGCATGATGTTCCCTTCCTATGACCACTCATCATGTATGCTCTCAGTGAAGGATAGAAATGGAAGCGAAGAGTAATTTTACAGCCCTGGCAAGCTCTTAAAGGAAACTCTGAAAAACACATTAGTTAAATCTAAGGCCAAATTAAGAAAGAAAAATATTTAGCATCCCAGCCGCTTCCTTTTTGAGATCGCCCGTCTTTTTTTAAAAATTAAAAAAACCCAAAACATACTGCTAAAATGATCTTTTTCGGGGGTAAAAAAAAAAAAAAATCTGGCGGCCATCTTGAAAAATAGCACAGCCGTACATCTTGGAAAAATGTGCCACCGGACATTTTGAAGAAGAAGAAGAAGAAGAAAAAAAAGGGGGCCTCCTCCTTCCTTTTTTTGTTGAAAAGGCAGGTTGCAATAAGAAAGTTTTCTATTTCTTTTTGGGCCATAAGAAGTACAAGCTATCACTTTTAAAGGTCATGCACAGTTTTGGAAAGCCCTCAAAAATCTTTTCATCAAAATTATAGGATTATAGATTATATTCAGGAAGATAATACCAATATTTAACTTAATTTTTTCCTCAAGTGAAATTAAACAAATATGAGTTAGAAACAAATTAAGATACCATTCTGGGAATTCTAACAATAGCAAACCTGCACTGCACATGTGTAAAAACCTATGAGGACTGTGTGCTTACACTACTGTTGACACACACGCCGTCTGTTTTCCTGTCCACTTTTTTTTTATCTACATACATGTACTTTATTAGGTCGCGATTATTAGCACTGAGATTAAAGAATTGAAACATGAGCTTTAACAATTTAGATGCTGAATGGATTGAAATATGCTGTGTACTTTAGACATACATATAGTCAAAGAAAATGTTGAAGAAATCTCAAAAATGTATAAAGGATTCCAAGAAGTGCACATCCAGCCAATGGCTTTACATACGCACCATACGAAAGAATATTCATAAATATTGAAATAACCTATGATGGATTGATCAGGATGCAAATCAATAACCCGGACGTTACTGATGTATGCGAAGGTTCCCTCTTGCCTGCTTTATCAGACGATTCAACGGCTTGAAGAGAAAAAAAGTCCATAAAGTGCATACATGTAGATGAAAAAGCGGACAAGAAAACAGACATGTGGCATTTCAATAAACACATCCCGAAGCCACTGTTTCATTTCCCAGTTATTGAATAAATGAAAGTGCAGAGCAAAATCATATCTTCTTTATGTACTATTATTAGCTTCAGCTGATCCAATTTTGTCAGCCTCGTTTTTGGTCAACACCGTGACAATTACAAGTAGCTTCAGGTCAGCGAGAGGTGAAAAAGTAGAGATGGAGGGAGCAGATTGAGATGGAGATTGGGATAGATGGGAAAGAAGGAAGGAAAGAAGGGGAGAGGGAAAGAAAGAGATATATGGAGGTAGGGACAGAAGGAGAGATGGACGGAGAAGGGAGGGGGAAGGAGAAGGGTGAGAGAAGGAGGAGGGAGAAGATAGGATACAGAAAGTGACAGGTCAGGAGGGACGGGGAGAAAGAAAGACAGAGACAGAGAGAAGGGTGAAAGACAAAATGAGTAAAAACTTAAGAAGACAGAAAATGAAAGAGAGAAGGGAGAAAACAGGTAAAAGTGAAAGAACAAGAAAGAGGGAGAGGGGAGAGGGGGGTAGAGAGAGAGAAAGAGAAAGAGAGAGAGATAGAGAGAGAGAGAGAGAGAGAGAGAGAGAGAGAGAGAGAGAGAGAACAGGTGGGGACAGACAGACAGAAATTAGACAACACAAAGATAAGAATTAAAGAGACAAGAAAAAGGATATCAGGACCTCTTTATGTATGCAGGCCTACAACATGATCAAAAAATATTATTCATCATAGTACAATTACTTTGTCCTCGATTCTTAAATTAGCTCTTTTTTAAATCATAGTTTTCCACACCTAAATAGCTCTTTTTCTCTGTTGGACTCATCAAATGAAACCAAATTATTTTTCAAGGATCTGCATAAATTGCTAACCCAGCTTCATATGATCTGTCTTCATATATACCTTCAGCGAAGCCCTGTAATAACTATAACCAATTTAGATTCAGCGACAATTACAAATATCACCAATTAAAATTCATCGATCATTATAACTTGTACTGAATTTGAATCAGCAATCTCTCAATAATTATTATGCTTGATTCCCAACTCATTTCACACATCCAGCTTGATAATATCCATCCTGACATAAATGCACAATAATTTCTTTTCCTCTGATTCCGTGCATGTACATGTATGTGAAATTGGTGATCCAGTGCATGACGGATAATTTAATAACAACCCTAATTGCCACTAATTCAATCAAAACATGTTTACTGAATTCTCCATCAGAATGTCTTGTTCACGCTGTGAGAACTCTTTCTGATTTCTACCTTCTTGAATGAAAGTAAATTCAATTACGGTGTTATTTAGATGAGGATGGGTGTATGTACATGCAAATTCAAAATGCATTTTGTTTTAACGATGCCTTGGTTAAAACTCATCAGTACTAATCAGTAGATCAATGCTTTGCTCTTTGCTGTATGGCTATACTACTCTATATGTCATAGTTCCCATCCCATGGTTTGCGGATGGAGTCCTACCATGGCACTAATGTCATTTGGCAAGACATTTATCTACATTTGCCACACTTGACCCAGGTGAGGTAACTGGGTACCTGGTAGGAATTAATTCTTTTAAATGCTAGAGCACCATAACGGCAGCCATGATAAAGCTGGAGTAATAATTGTGGGGCACTAGGAGTGTCAAGTTTGACAGACATGAGCCCTATACAAGAACCCACTATTATTATAATCATCATTATTATAGGATGACATTGCAGAAACTTGGCTTTGTACTAGGGTGGCAAAAAAAAACTGCCAGGGCAAAGACCAATTCGTCGCTGTTTTCACGAAGTGACGGTAGTGAAAAAAAATTGCATTCACTTTGCGTTACGATTTTCCTCACTACCGTCACTTCGTGAAAACAAGGACGAATTGACCCTCATCCATGTAAATGATTAAATTGATAAGTAGGCTCTTAGAACATCATCTGTCTGGAGTCAAAAGAGTTTCTAATGATATTATTGAATAAAAACTTAACGCCCTTCTGGCTCCACACAGATGACATCTTTTATGAGTGGAATTCATAGTAGGTATGCAGTGGGATGGGGTAAGGGAAGGGGGCAGACATTCTTAGGACTACAGATTTATTATGTAGTGCAACGGACTTCAGACTTTGATAAAAGTGAATAGTCTCACAGAGCAATTGAAGTATGAAACCTTTTAACAATCCAGTATTTAGGCAATACTGTTCCATTTCTAGGATAGGATTAGGAAGCAGGCTACAGGGTCCGCTAGCATAATATTGATAATGATCATAACATGACCCTTGACCCTCTTATGACCCCTTCAGGCCTTCACAACTAATATGAGTGTGTTTAGCCCCGTTTGCAATTCCAATGATTTGCAGAGTATTTTAGAATAATCGCTTATCATTATCATTCCGTAAATTCACACACTGATCAACGAGTGCATAGTGCATAATACTGCATACATTGTGAATACTGTCAAACTAAATTTACGAATCTTGAACGTTAAGCTTCTAGTAATTGTGAATGAGAATTGTCAAGGATAGGGGATATAATGTATGTTAATACAAATATATCATCTGGTTGGAGTGAGAAGAGTGTTTAATCATATCATTCAATAAAGCGTTAGCACCCTTCTGGCACCAAACATATGACATCTTTTTTGAGTGGGATTCATTGAGAGCAATCTTTGAATAAATCTACGATTGATATCTTTTAATATATAGTTCATAGAGCTGATAGCCTTAGTACAGGGGGAAATGATTCAACTGTCCGCCCACATCCATCCACTTATACACAAGGGAGGGGATAGGGCTGCCGCTGCCGCTCAGTGTTACCAAAAATACATATTAAAACCATCGACTTAACTATTACTATAGCACAAGAAAAATTATAAATAGCAAGTTATCTATCACCTTCTGAAATTAAGAAAAATTAAGAGAAAGAGGGAAAGGACAGAGAGAGAGAGAGAGAGAGAGAGAGGGGGAGAGAAGAAAGAGAGACTAAGGATAAAACTGTATGAAACTCAACATGATCTTAAACAATTTAAAATTTCTTTGTTCTATATTAAAGGGAAACAAATGAATACCTGGTAAGGGAAATGCAAAGAGGCAAATATGCTGCCTAAAAAATAAATGATTCCTCCCAAAACAAAAATTTGTAATTAAAGATAAACTTGAGTTCTGGTAAAAAAAGAAAATGAATTTTCACATAATTTAACGAAACTTACACTGAATGTTCAAGATTACAAATAAATGTCATGCGCCAAACAATTTTGGAAGAAAATGTATTCTGGCTGAGTAATGAGCATAGAAAGATAAGGAAATCAGGGTAGTACACCATGTACACCGACACCATGTGTGTTGTCCCATATACATCTTTCTGTGTAAGTGATTGTTACTTTACCAAAGACTCTGCCAAATTTATGATGATTTTGATGACTCCAGAACCTTGCATTACACACCATTACTTACATGCTATATGATCAACTTTTCTGATCCATTCCACAACTTTTCTTTCACAATGCAATCGCATTACCAGAACTCAAGTTTATCTTTAACAGTAATTTTCATTATTTATATGTTACAAGGTATATATTGTATCTGCAGAATATGACTAAATTTTAATTCAAATTATTAACAGAATGGGATACTGGGGGAGGGGGGGGGGGCTACAGTGGTTCAGAAGAAATGAAATTTAGAGCTTATAATCTAAGTTGCCCATCCATACCTCCATCTGACCATGAACATGCTCATGAATTAAACATGTACCCTGAGGCAACCTCTAGAGTCTAGATATCAACATAGCTTCCCAACTTTAGGAAGATTCAAGTTTGAGATGGATGTGATTCTTCATAACGATCCAACATTCGACTCCAACATATACACAAAATGAGTGCAAATATATTTCAGAAAAAAATTAGATCTACATTTTTCTCTTTTTCTCACTTTTCATGAATTATTGTACTCACTTTCTCAAACCTCAGTTACACTGTTTTCCTCATATTTATATTTTAAATAAATATGCACGGATGGGTTTCATAAAGATATTTGTAAACAAGCAACAGGAATCTGCTAATAAGAATGGAAATTTGTCATGTCTTTTTTTTTGTAACAAAACAATTAATCAAATCAATCATCTTAACCAATTTAATCACTAAATTTTTTAAAATTATGTATAAAATCAGTGGTGCTTATAACTGACAGCCTTGTTCACAATTCAAAGGTATTTAACAATCTATTTTATTCAAATATGGGGTCAATTATGGGTCAATTTAGAGCTCATTTATAACCTTATCCACGATCTTCAGCACATTGTTTCTGATCCTAAAAACAGAGATTTCACACCGCTTCAAGGTGGACAGTGCTTATCTCGTACATCCATCTATCTATGAGACTTTAAGAGGTCAGGGAGCTATCAGAAAGAACTCTTCTGGCAGTTCCCTTCCCTCTCCCCGTACCCCAGGAAGATCATGCAATTTCCCCCTTCCTCTTCAACCCCATAATTCGGTTGAGCACATCACAACACCCCCAAGGTTAGCCTATAATCTAGGCGGAGTGCCGAGCTTTTTTCTTTGCTACTAGACTAACCTTAAGCAGAACGTCTGATACGGCGAGACTACGAACCATGAGCCGCGAAGCGGCTCACCGCCTATAATCACTGGTCTAGCTTTAGTCGTTGTTTTTTTATTATCGACCATGAATCCGTGGCAGTTTTTCGTACGAAAAAACCTCATGAATACGAAATGAACTCAACCAATCAGAAACACGTATGGAGAAGAGTCTATGCATATGCATATTATAAATCACGTGACATTACGTCATTTTCTTCATCCAAGATGGCGGGTAGTTCATGCGACGACGATCTTTTGCGAGAAAGTTTATCATAATTATGCGGCCAACAAACTAGGCATTCCTAATGGAAAATTCAGAGAACTGCAGGAATCCGCTATTCGTAGCGTTATTGAAGCCGGCAGGGATATTTTTGTTGCATTACCTACTGGTTTTGGAAAGAGTGCAATATACCAAGCAATCCCCTTGTGCTGTGATTTTCTACGCGACCACGGATTCTATGATCATGATGACTCGAGTCGTTGCCGTTAGCGGTCCATTCAAAGCAAGGGGGAACCACTAATTTGTCATTGTAAATTTGATACGATAATTGTTTTACCATACAAAGATATATGTTTTATTGTTCACATAAAACTACAATTTTTTAATTTTTTGATATTTCACAGTAGTAAAATGATCATTTTAAAGATTTTTTTGGTTTCATCTCCCCTTCTTCCTTTTTATTACCCCTATTTAGTAATGGACGAGCGCAATCTTTTTTCGTTGCGGTTTCTTATATCTGATTGGTCGAACGTAACATAGGTGTACCTTATTTGGTAGGGCTGTTGAATGATTCATAGATCCGCCATTTTGAATATATATGAATATTGATTAGCTAGACCAGTGATTATAGGCGGTGAGCCGCTTCGCGACTCACGGTTCGTAGTCTCGCCGTATCAGACGTTCTGCTTAGGGTTAGTCTAGCAGCAAAGAAAAAAGCTCAGCACTCCGCCTAGATTATAGGCTACCAAGGTGAAATGGAGGGAAACTTTTCGCTTCTTTCCAATAGGGGATAAGAGTGAACCATGGAAAGAGCAATATAATGTAGTTGTATGATATACCGGTAGAGTCTTCTGTTCCATATACTGTCATACATCATCATCGAAAAAAGAAAATCACTATTCACATACTTTTCAAGATCGGTGTGAGTGGAAGGTTATCTAGGTTCCTTGAGGATGCTATAACTACCCTTACCACCAGTACCACCACTACCACTTAATCCTACCACCACTCCATCACCATCATCACCATCATCTTCATCTTTCCATCCTCTCACCTTAACTAAATGTCTTATATTATAAGCTCCCATCCCATCTTGGCTACCGACTGCCTCTTGCTGCGCTGCCTGATCAGCCTTTGTGACCTTTGCTTCTGGAAGATGCTGCCACTACACTCTACCACTACCATCCTCATCATCATATTCATCTTTCCATCATCTCACCTTAACTGAATTTCTTACAAGCTCCCATCCCATCTTGGCTACCGACTGCCTCTTGCTGCGCTGCCTGATCAGCCGCTGTGACCTTTGCTTCTGGAGGATGCTGCTGGTTGCCGTGCCGGTGCTCAGCTGAGACGGGAGCGGACCACGAGGGCTGTCGTACTCGTCCCTCAACCTCCCAGGTCTCGCTGTCAAAGTAACAAAAATGAATAAAAATATAGTACTTAGAACAAGAATTACAGAGATATATAGCACAGGAAAACAATAACAAAACAAAGTGGCAAAAAGGTGTATAACGTAAGGTGTATAACATAACGAGAAATACTGTATTAAACATAACAAAAAATAAACTGACGTACAATGTATAATATATAAATGAGAATTTCCAAGTCACTAGAACCATCTAATGCAAAGCAGAAATATTGATGGGGAAGACTTGGTACATAATTATCTGAAAGTGCACATTAAAATTATTTTATTATACATTCCACACTTCATAAAAATAATGTTAATTTTTGTGTCACTAGAAAATATTAATTAAGACATTCTCTCACTCAATAGGAATATATAGAAATATGTACTTTTACTTTTGCATTCAAAGTACAAGCACGTCAAGTTCATAGCAAACAAAATGATTAAATTGAGAATGTATGATTCAGTCTTGCATACCGGGTACATGGTTTGTTGATGACATTGTCTGTTTGGAGCGAGAAGACCGTTAACTCTAACACAAAGTTAATGCCCTTCTGGCTCTCAACAGAAGGCATGTAGTACTATTATGAATGCTATTATCATCCTTCGATAAACAACTACTCCACCAACATCATGTATTTCCATATGTCCTAATTCTTCCTGTCCTGTTATGCTTACTACTTTTCAATGTCATATCCGCACACTCACTGGGTTTGGCAACAAAAACATGCATAGCAGAATTTATCAATTTAATTTACCTCTCTCTCTCTCTCTCTCTCTCTCACTCTCTCTCTCTCTTTCTCTCTCCCTCTCTCTCTCTCTCTCTTTTCCCCCTCTCTCTCTCTCTCTCTCTAATAATGATACCATAATCATGATGGCTTCTTTGTTCTTTCTGTTGCTCCTTCATTTTTGATTAAGTTTTTTTGTATTGCTGTCTTAAGTTTTTTCACACCTAAATTAGCTTTAAAAAAAAATCATATCTGAATTAACATATAACAATCCATTACACTGACTGATGTCACTGTTTGTTGGTAAAAAAACCCATAATAAATATGAATAATTCAATTTTGGAAAATTAATAACAAAAACAAGCATACCAAAATTATATGATCGGTGTCTATGTACACTGTACTATGATTCGATTACATGGTCTCTGAATAACTAGATTATGAAAATAACAGGTTTATCAGTGTTAAAATCATAAACAAAACAAAAATATACCAGAAAAAACATAGGCCCTGTGAAGATAAGAAAACTAACAGACCCGGAGATGGCAAAAAATAGTAGAAAGAGAAGAATCATGGGGCTAGAACAAAAAAAATATCAGAAAAACATTTTTAAATGTAGGCAAAAGTCACCTTGTTCAGTATCACTTCCATAATTGAAATTCCAGTAATATTCCAAAGATATAATTCCACAACTACCAGAAGAAAGAGTACAGATGAATCCTGTCTACAAGAAATGAAATCCAGATTTGATTCACACTCCTACAGATCCAACTTCTAAAAGGACTCAAGAAGTGACGAGTGTTTGTTTAGACTCTAACATGAATCCAACTGAGGCAGCTCATGTGACAACAAAATTACGATCTTCATAAAACCATGATTTGAATATTCTAAATGAATGCATTCTCTTCTGTCTGGTGACTATTTGCAAAGTTCCACTCGCATGTTGGTGTCTTGACAATATGTCTATCCCACCAAGGTGTAGTATCATTATGCACTAGACTTGCAAATAGCTTCTGGTCGCTTCAAGCTCCTTGCTTCAATATACTCTTCTTCAAGCGAAGAGACCCCGAGACGTGGGACGTTTGCCTCTGCGGAGCGCTTCCCATCGTTCTCATACCCCCTTGTCACCTGCAACACATTCCGCGAATCATTTATTGATCTCCCTCAATAAACTCCTGATTCCTCTAATCCAAATAGCCCGCTGAAAGGCAATCGGCCAGCAACATAGAGACCAAGACGGGAGGAAGCAAGAGAGAGAGGGGAGGGGGTGAGAAGGGGTGTGAGAGAGAGAGAGAGAGAGAGAGAGAGAGAGAGAGTGAAAACATCTACTGGCTCAATCTCCCATACACTCCTGGCTTGCTAAAATTGTCTGCTCTCCCTGTCTCTGCGGAGACAACGACTCAACAGATCATGTTTTTTCCTGCACTTCCAGAAGAAAATGAAACGGAGAAAGAATCCTGATGGAGCAAACACTCCCCAAATCAGCAGAGCCGAGAGTAATGAAATTATCGGCGAGCATCCGCAAAGTAAATTCCCAGAGTTCAGAAGGGGAAAGGAACTATCCAAGGAGAGAGGAGGGGGGAGAGCGAGAGAGAGGAAGAAGGTGAGGTAATCACGTTTACCAAGGATGGTAGCGACATAAACTTTAACAGCCCTCCTGCACAAATGCTTGGTTGGCTTGCAAGAAAATAGCATAGAGAAAATGCAAGTCAAGTAACGTAAGAAACTCTAACCTCTTTGCAATCCATCTTGATGGCAGATACTGTCATATAATGACCTTAGCAATAATTTTGAAACCCAAACTGAAGCAAGCAGCAAGAACAACAGAGGTTTTTTGTTGACACCAGAGAGCTGGTGTTCGACACTTTTGATGCCCATTGCACGTCTGCAAAGTGCAAATAGCCATTGATAACATGTCACACGTATCTCATTCTCAAGTTCATAAATGAATCATTCCACTAGACACACTTCCTGCAGCTATTCATAGTATACTACCTGATCACAACATTTATTGAATTCCTTCACCAATTACAGGTACACATGTACTAACCCTCAATGCACGATAATGACATTCCCATCTCTGTCTGTTTTTGAAGAGGAAATGAAGTCGATAACTACTGGGAATCTTGCCATATCTCTGTTGATAATAATGTCAGACAAGCATACAGCTTAATAATGATTACTTCGACGTATAATGAGCGACTACGGCTTTAAATTTCATTTTTTTTCCCGTCTCAAGCAGGCAAGACAGCCCATCTATATGCAAATCACAATATTTTCGCTCAGGAAGATTTATCCCCCTAGTGGCTGATTTTGAGAATTCCCAATATACAGTACAGTACAGTACAGTCGAAAAGAAATAAATTTAATTTCTATGGTCCTCCTTGTCAACAACAATGCTAAGTAAGGGAGTGGATGGAAAATGATAATGGCAATAGTCTGGAAGTATATTGTACTTCAAGAAGTAAAGGAAAATATTGTCCAATAATGACGTTTATTTTTGTTAATGTTTATATTTTTTTTCCTTTTAATTATTAATAAAAGACTTTGCTGCAGGTTCCACATTGATTGTAATGGAAGAAGTTGAGGTACATGAAATGGTATTATTCAATTCATTTCATTATTAAAGGTCATTGATTTATTGTAATCTCAAAATGTAATGAATATGGCTTGTCAACTGTAGAATTTATTCTGCTTTTTACTTGGCATTCAATAACATGAGTTTAATAGATTAAAAATAAAATGTTTATCGCACAAACACTTTCCTATATTACAAAAATTCAGTATAGTCTAGAAAAGAGTTCCCTCCTGAGAATATAAAACCCTCTGTCTTGGCGCAAAGGCTACAGCAAAATTGTAGCTCCGGGCAGAATCACATCTTTCCAGCCTACCTGTGCCACTGCTGTTTTTCTTCGGCGCTCCCGTTTAATATGTCAACCTCAATTTCTGTTGAAGTCCTTTTGCTTTTTCATGCTTGGATTACGTAAAGACTGCTGGCGTTGAACAACGTCATCAGAGGCTTTGACATTGCCTGAGAGTTGAACCTAACTGAACTTAACTTCTTTACTTAGGTGTAGGCCTAACTCATTTCTTATTAGGCCTGTTTTCATCAGCTCGAGTTTGCTAAATAACCGCTATTTTAACTATCTCGATCGCAAATTAACCAGTTAATTTGCGCCTTCATCAGCCCCGCAGTTGGAATTAGCGAGATATTGGTCAGGAAAATATCCTGAGAAATGATGGTCTTGTGATGAGCGTATCGGTCTGGTGAAGACGCAATTTCGAACTTTGGGATAATATCCTGAATCTGAAAATAGCGGGTTATTTTGCAAACTCAAGCTGATGAGGACAGGCCCACTATTCCTCACAAAATTATACTGAGCTGTAAAGCTACAAAGGCAGACATGTTCATAGACAGTTTTGAAGGAACATTTGATTCTTGGTAAAGATTACGACGTGATCTTTATCTGAAGTGCTATGAATACAATTTAACAGAGAAAAACAGACAAAATTAATCCTTTTTAAATAAGCAATATGAATAATGAGGTTTTCAAGGTGGTTAGAATGTTAGGGGTCATTTTTTCTTCAGTGTGCGTGCAAAAACAGATAAGACAAACAGAAACAAATGGTAATTTTTTTTCTCAAGCACTTTAAGATGTGAATTCATCCACTTTCATCTGCTAATATCAAAATGGCATAGTTCATCTTATTACGTCTTCCCACGTAAGTACCAGCAAGACGTATCTTTAATTCATGTTTGTAAAAGTCTGAAACACCCACCGTTTAATTGCACCATCAAGTATTCCTAGAAGTTGCAAATTTATATAAAAAGGAGGAGACCTTAATGACCTCTTCACAGGTTTTGTCCACTCCTTATTTCCAAACTTAAACCTTGTGTTGGAAATTTGATGTTTCTATACCATTAACACTCTGTACCACTTCAGATATTGATTTACTTGAAGTATGGCAAAGAAAATGACAAGTGGTACACAGTTTGGCATTCAAACTTTAAAGTATCTCTACATTCATTACTGGTCAGCAACAAAGAAAATTGTACAAAGGAAATTCAGGGAATTCATTACTTTTTCACAAGGGGGGGGGCAGCATTCCTTTCTCATTGTTCATAATGCTTAATACTTCAAAAGCCCAAAGTAAAAGTTACAATGTACATAAACAAATATCATCTAAACAAAAGTAAAATGATAAAGATCTCTAGGCTCTACAACATCACTATTGTCCAATTATTTGAATTTCAAGTTTTATACAAA